CGGCCGGGAGGGGGATATGATCAAGTAAAATGATGGGACTGGCATAAAATCAAATACAAACAGCAAAAAATATAACAACAAGCCGGTCCCATCTAGGCGTAATCGGACAAAATGACAGACGAAGTGTGCTCCTGATGTCCAATCTGCTCCGTAGCTTTGTTTTGGTCGCTGTAACCGCAGAAAATCCCGCTTCACGAAGATAGGAAGTTATAGATAGGATGAGTCTTGACCTGAATTAACCTGTGTCAAGAGGCACAGATGCACCGACTGATGTAATTGAGAGAAAATACCTCAATTTTTTATATTTTTCAAAATAAAACATCACTCAGACTCTGATCGTCAAGAAATTATATATATATGTACTTTTTTCTGTGCGGCCCGGTACCAAATGACCCGGTGGTTGGGGACCGCTCTAAGACACAGCCCTTCATTTGCATAATGAGACAGAAATGCATACAGATATGTAAAAACGACAGGCAGAAATAATTAGCGTTGGACAAATAAATAGGGTAAAAAAATACAAAGGAAGAATAAAACAGATAAAAATATTATAACATGCATATATATAAATACTTATAAAAAAAAGTAATTCATAAATAAAGTTGAAGAATATAACAGACAATAAATGAATAAGGTAATTATTGCAAAGGCAATTAAATAAAGAAGCTAATTAAAAGCGATATATAAATGTATGTCTCGCTGTATAATTTAATTTCTACCTACATTTATTTGTTTATTGTATTTTCGGGGGTAATTAATTATATGCTTATTTATTTATTGAGCATTTATTTTTCTCTGTTTAAGTTTAAATATGGTAGAGGCGGTCCTCCATGCAAATATGCTACAAACATGAAAAAAAAAGACTAGAATAAAAATAAGCACTACATTTTTCTCTTTTTATTTTCTTCTATTAATTGCTTTCTTTCTGATGTCAATTTCAGATGAGTTCTGGTTTACTTTTCTTTTAGATGAAGTGATGTTTTTAAAAAATAAAGCAAGACTGATAAACTAAAGATGGAAATGTTGTTTCTGCCTCACATTAACTGACAAGTATATCTTTATACCGCCGGGCTTTTCAACATGTCACACCAGGTTGGCCTGCTTTCACATCACATTAAGGCGAGGCGCTGTTTTTAGGTGGTGCATGTATGCTGTGGGAGTGATGCAATCGACTCTCATGTATTCTAGTAGCTCTGTTAGGCTGAATACTGCCAGTTCTGAGTGGAAAACCCCTTTATAGAGATGGAATTTCATCCTCCCCTTTAGGGATATGGATGAAAACTCTTTGGAGGTTAAAATTATGGATGCATTGCACACAAGATAGTTTACCTTTACCATCTGATGTATGTTCCTCTCCACTTGCCACTTCCAGTTAATTCTGCTCCATTGGATGGCTGCCCATTGTCCTCGGGCGACAGCGCTTCTGGCAGCTGCGCTCACATGGAATAAAGACCAACAAAACTGACGTCAGGTCTGCTATGAAGCATCTCTGTATAGGCCCAGCAGGAAACAAAGGAATGCATCAGTCTAGTGTTAAACCAGATCTAGTCTGTAAAATCTTACAGGTACATGGTTGACTTAATGTTTTTATTTGTTGAAATCACATGCTTTAAAGATCTACAAGAAGTTAATTAATTGAAAAGGTTCCTTTATATGTAACCAGTAGTCCAGTTGTTGTATATATATATATATAAATTTTTTTTTTTTTTTTTTTTTTTTTTTTTACAAGCATACATAGCCTAATTAATAGAGTCTATTAACCTAAAGCAATTTGCATGGTATGGGTGTAACATGTTAGGTACGCTGGTCATTGACCCTGACAAAGGTCCCTTACAGTAGAACTGCAGTCAGTCTCTAGGCTGGCATGGCTATCACTGCCCCTATATCGTTAGGGACTAATTTCCCACTGGGATCAGCTTCATAGTCATGGTAGGACACTTGTTTGATTTTATTTATTTTGCTCAGTCTACTCATAAGCCCACAGCCCGGCAAATGTTGAAAGGGCAATATTATTGACATTACTGTTAATATAGAGTAGAAATTTTACACATTCAGTTATAAAATGTCACAGGGGATGGTATGGGGGGAGGATTTTTAAGATTTTTTTAAGAAGGGGAATGCCTTTCTGGAATGAAGTACATAGTCTTAAAATTAAGCTCTTGCAAATTCAATTCAAACTCTCACCTCTATTGTATCTCTTTGGTGCAGATTCAGATAATACTCTAGATCCGATCTTCAATAAAATGATTGGTATATTTGCTTATGTAGGCAAAAAATGTATACTGCTCAACTGGAATCAAGCTACAGCATCTACAATTAATTTATTTAAAACCATAATGAATGACACAATGCAACTGGAGCACTATACTCACCACTTGAAAGGTAAAGTCAGGTGAAAGGTCACCTGACTTTCTTCTATGTGATATTCCATCTTGACCTAACACATGACTTGTAATCGTTTACCTGTGTTTTTTTGATGATAACATTGATAACAATAATGCACTTGACTTATTTTATTGTATTTATGTTTTTTATTTTTAATATTTTGTTTAACTATTTGTGTGTGTGTGTGTGTGTGTGTGTGTTTTTTTGTTACATTAAGTTTCTTTTCCTCCCAACCTACGTAAACACACTTAATAGTTGCAATTATTTTTTTTTCTCTCAGCTTACCTACATGTTCAGAATCTTATGTTTGTGTAGCAAAATGAAAATCCAAAAAATAAACAATTGAAAAAAAAAGAAGAGGAATGCCATCCCCCCTAAACTCGAGTTCTGTATGTAACCATTGGTTAGAGCACCCAGGCCCCTGATATGATGAGGGATAAACGTTTCCTAAATGTGGAAGAGATTATCCTTCCACTTTTGTAAAGTCAGAAATCCTGCATGTCTGCCTTAGTCTTTGGCGCCCCCTTGTGTCTGCAGCAAATATTGCATGATCACATATTTTCCTTCAGGGCTCATCATCGGCCAAAACCCTTTGTGATGTTTGATACCTGAAGAGGCCTGTTTCACAAAAACAGGTTTAACACATTCAGAGTGTGTAATTTTCAGATCATTGAAAATTATTCTATTATTGGGCTAAAATGTGAAGAAATCAGACTGACCAAACACAACTCAACTTTCAACTATTTCTGGTTTAAGACAGACCAACCATATTTTGCCTAAAAAAAAAACACATCTAAAGGATGTCTAGTGTTAGAACAAAAATGTGTTTATTAAAGTGCCTATTTAGACAAACTGATAAAAATCTAAATGGGCTGTTTTAACCATGATAATATTAGAGGGGGAAAAGAGTTTACCGGTTGAATGGTTGGGGATCATTGTATTATATTTAGCTGAAATCTCATAGTAGAGAAGTGCACCTGGAAATGCAAGTTTACTTGTATAGCACAATTCAGTACATGTACAATTACATAAATAATAAATAAAGTGCTTTACATGAATTAGGGAATAAAATACAAGAAAAATAAAAGCAGAATAAAAACAAAAAACATTTGTAAATGTTTTGCAAATAAAACAATTCGACCACAAAAAAACAGAATAAATGCAAGTTAAAAAAACATGATAAGTGCAGGTTAAAATAAACCAGTTGGACCACAACCTTGAACTAATACTATCTCAGTTAGCAGTTTAACTTCGATTTAACTTCAACAATCAAAGCCAACTTTAAACAAATGGGAGTTTAACTTTGACTTCAAAGAACTCAGAGTTTCAGTACTTTTGCAGTCCTCTGGGAGTTTGTTCCAGATCAGTGGAGCATAGGAACTAAATGCCTCTTCTCCATGTTTGTTTCTAGTTCTGAGTGAAAAGAGTAGGCAGGAACTAGAAGACTTGATTGGTCTGGGAGGTTGATACACTGACAACCAATCTGTAAAGTATTGAGGTTCTGATCCATTCAGTGATTTATAGACTAACAGAAGGATTTTAAAGTCTATTCTCTGAGCTACAGGGAGCCATTGGAAGGACTTCAGAACTGGGCTGAAGTTCTCTACTTTCTTAGTTCTAGTTAGAACGCTGGCAGCAGTGTTTTGGATCAGCTGTATATGCATATGTTTTTATTTTATCAATGGTTCTACTATTAGTGTTTAAATTGTTCAAAACATTTTTGGGGGATTTCCTTCAAATTGTCATGCTCCTCTGATACGTTTTAACAAACTATTATTCTCTCTTTGCGTAGTGATTGTTGTTTATAACTTTGTGACAATAAAAAACAGAAAACTGGTAACAGTGATACATATTTTAGAATGTGGTCGATTAATGTAAAAAAAAAAATCATAACATGAGGTGTAAAAGTTTTATTTCTGAATTACAACATATATTGTAATTTTGTAGGCATTAAGTTGTTTGTAAACACAACAGCTAACCAATGAGTGTTTGCGTTATATGACTCATCCAATTACACTAGTTTTCACTAGATGTGGATGGAGCCAATGATCTGCATTGGATGGCGCACATGACGTGAAATAAATATTAATAAACATTAAACTGAAGCCAAGAGTATTGAGTAATGTTTGTTTTTTTTTAAATGTAAGAATATAGAAAGTACAGATAGTTGTGTGAAAATGTAATGAGTAGAATTCAGAAGTAGGAAGAAAAATAAGTAATGGAGTAAAGTATAGATACATAAAAAGTGTATTTAAGTAAAGTAACGAAGTATTTGTACTTCATTACTTAACTACTCTGGTTTATAATAAAAAAAAAGATTTTAAATTGATTTTAATAATTTCTCAACAGGCAGCCAATAAATAGAAGCTAAGATAAGATCTCTCTGTTTTTCATTTTCATCAGAACTCTGGCTGCAGCATTTTGGATCACCTGCTGGCTTTAAAAATTCTTAACTAACAGTGCCCATCTAAAGGTAACACAATAAACTTTTTTTATTCTAAAAAAAAAAAAAGTCACAGTACCCTGCAATACTTTCATGAGCCACAAGGGGTCATGAAGCCCAGTGGAAGTTGCTTCTGGAAGCTCCTCGCGGGTTTCTGAGCTCTGCTGTGTAATAATCAGCTAAGCAGGTGACCTGCGGATCAGACAGAATAAAGAAAAATCTGCTTCTGGTGACTTTAATGATGGAAAACGGAGAGGGTCCCAGTGATATAATCTGCAATTCATGTGGGGAGGCCTTTAAACTTCCTGGTAAGATATTTAAAACGATTTTTGTACCTTTTAACTTCTTATAATTATGAGTTTGACGCGTGCTAATTAGCTGCCGCGCTAGCAGGTAGCTAATTATCCTATAGCCACTGCTAGCATTATGCATGCTGGGCTACAAATAAATAGGAAATATTCGTTGTTAATATGGAGAGTTGATGGTTTAGAGGACTGTACTGTCTTTTTTTTAACGCGGAGTTGTTAATTTTACACTGAAATTTTACTTGTAGGTGCTGCAACAAAGTCTATGAGCCGCCATTTGCGAAGGACCTGCTGCGAGGCAGTCAGGCTATTCCTGGCAGAACAGCAAACAGTTCTCTGTCATTTCTAGTTTCTGTGTCCAGTTCATGAAGAAGCTTTTATTTGTTTATGTTTTGTTTTTTTTAACCAAAAAAAAAGGAGATATAAACTGAAGCGGCGGTCTTTAACAGGGGGTCCGCGACCCCTAGTGGTTCACAGCGGTACTGCATATGGGTCGCGAAAATTTTGGTTGATTAGACTTTTATTTTTATATTCCCTGCTGCGATTTGAAAATGAATTCAACACACTGTAGTAAACGGATAAATGGAGCCAGAAGATGTCTTTCAGTCTTCAATGCACACATTCAGCGACACACAGGAGATCTTTCAAGCTGCGCAGTATTGTGACAAACCCTATATATATATATATATATATATATATATATATATATAGGGTTTGTCACAATACAAACACTTCAAATTCAATGTTGATATCTAGGAAAATGTTAAGTACTCAATAACATTTTCAATTCACTATGTATGTTATGTAAGTAAGCTTTATTTATGCTGTTTTATCCTAATGTATGTCATGTCATGTATGTCAGATGTTTCAGATGAAAAAGCTGATGAAAACCTGCCCCGTATGCTTTTATGCGGCCACATCTTCTGCACCAACTGCCTGGTGTCCATACAGCATGAAGGGGTCATAATATGTCCGGATTGTGAGGTAAAAAAATGACCAGTAAATGTTCTTTTTGGGAGGAAGCATAGCTTAGACATTAAACTTTCAATCCGTCAAGATTAATTAAACCCTTTTACTTAAATTTAGCATTAAAAGATCAGAAATTTCAGTAAAAACTGTTGGTCGGTTTGTTTAATTCAAAGGGTTTTTGTGTTTGATTCTTATGATTATACTGAAAAAGGTCAAATCTATATTTTTAGATTAAGTCAACACTTCCAGAAGGAGGTGTTTATGGTCTCCAGGAAGACAGCAGAATCATCGGCCTGATTTACACCGCAAGGGTGAACCAGATGAGAAGGTAAATGGCTTTCCATTACATGTGTTTTACTGAAATATGAGATCTGTTTTTGTTCTGCTCCTCATGTAAGACTGAAAATACGAGGTTATTTTGATCAACATCTGTCTTTGATAGATCAAAGGGGAAACGAAAGAAGAGATTACCCCAATTTAGCACTGATCTTGTTGAGGAGGTAGGTTAATATCTTTTCGTGCTGGAGTAATTAAGATTCGCCTTCTCTTTGTAAAAAATTTTTTTATGTGTTGTTGATTCTTTTGTTAATTTGTCTTGATATATCTGTTTGTGTCAATTTGTGTAAAGCAATCAGAAAAAATTCACCTGGAAAATGATTGAGTTAATCTGTCTGCAGTGAAAGGCTGCTCTAAATGTTGGATCATGCTGATGCGCAAATATTTCCGAGATGCAGCGCCAGAAAGTGGAGTAACGTCTCCTTAAAGCTGCAGGATGTATTTAACAAAAGTTTTGATCTATATATTAAACTTTTTTAAACTCTCCTCTCAGGTAGTTTATTGAACGAAACCTACATTTGATTTTTGGATGTTTTGTGATATTTATTAATTCTATATGTATAACTCTTTTCAGTCTGTTAAATTAAACCTGTTTGCAGGTTTTTCATACGTCCTTTCGACTGAATACTTGCTGCATTTGGCCTAAAAGTTTTTATTTATGTTTTTGGGATGTTTTGTTTAAATAAGGTTAAATTTTTATTCAGTTTTGGCTGATCACCTCGTCAGTTGCAGTATTTATACCTAAATAAAAGAAAGTTCATGTTATCGGCAGTTATCGGTATCAGCTATGATCGGCCCTCACAGTGATCGGCCGGAGGATAAGTGACAAAAATCTTTATCGCAACATCCCTAGTATTTAAATAAAAATCTTTTTGAATGGAAAGGTTTGTTATCCTGGTTGCAACAACAAGGAACTGTGTTTTCTGTAGCTTGCAGACATTGAGAAGATTGAGAAGACAATTGATGAGTCATTGTACCAGGCTGAATACAATCTTGCGCAGCTGGAAGACATCAATGAGGTGAGAGCTGCAATTAAGCCGGGCATACGCTGTACGATTTTTTTCAATCGTTGCACGCAGCTACAGCTCGCACTGTAGGACAAAACTGCGGGGTTTAAAAGTTCACGATGTTTGTTCTCACACTGTGTGGCCCGACGCTCTGAAGCAACCTACCTGCTCACTGTGTACGTCTAAAAACCACGTCGGTAGGGTTGGGAATTGATACGATTTTCACAACTCGACTCTGAAACGATTCAATTCCGTTCAATGAAAATTTTGGGAAATAAACTTATCTCCCCCTGATTTAAATAAACGAGCGTCACCTTCCTCTGGCTCCCTGAACTGCGGAGCCACTTCGTAGCATGTTTCGGTACGTTCATTGCAATAGCTAGAATTAGGGGTGGGTATTGCCAAAGAAGTCACGATTCGATTCGAATCACGATTCACAGGCCACGATGCGATTCTATCAAGACGCATCACAATACTTCAATTATTGCGATGCATTGCAATATTTTATCCTCCATGTTTTGTTTTTGAATGACTCGGCACAGTATCCCGTGGCCGGAAATGCTTGTGACACAAGGCAGCGTGCGTCAACACATTTGCAGCGACATCTACTGGACTGGAAGTTGTATTACACTTGTTTTTGGCTGATGTTCGCCAACCATTCATGCAATTTTATTTATTCATTTTTTGAAATTAATAATCGATTCTTGGTATCAAGATCACGAAAATTAGAATCACGATGCATCATCATCACGATTATTTTGCACACCCCTAGCTAGAATCATGTAAGAATTCCAGCTAGCAGTAATTCTAATTAAACATGCTAGCAAATGAAGGGCTGGATTAACGAGAAAGGCACACTGCTTTAATAACCCTAAAGAGAGGTAGGAAAGGGGTTTATTTCCAGCAATGTCATATGATTGACTAGGAACCTTATTAAGCACAGCCTGAAGTGACCCAAATCCGATTTTTTTTTTTTTTTCAGCGCTCATATGCGACCTGGATCTGTTCTTTTCATGACAGTCTGAACAACACAGATCCGATTTTTTTCCAATCCGACCCAGGCCACTTGGCTATGTGGTCCTGAATCCGATACGTATCTGATTTTTTTCAAACTACAACCATGGCAGATGATAATGCGGAGAGCAGTATTTATGTTTAACCATATTGAAAAAAATTGAGTTTTTATGGTTGGAAAAGACATGTAGATGCGCGCCTGTAGGGCTGGGTAAAATCGATTTTGAATCGATTCCTTTGCATTTTTGCAAAATCGATGTCTAGGGAATGAGATCGATTATTTTTATAGTAACGGGCGTGCCTTTCACATTCTGTGACAACGCTTTTCGCAAACAAGTTTGCACAGTTTTGTTCACATCTCACGTTTAAACTGTCCGTTTTACAAGTTGCACTTTGTGTTTAAAATGACAGGAAAAAATAAAATACGTGAGTGTTTTGAAACACAGTTGAACCACTTTCATTGTTGTAAAAACAGTTTGAATCGAAATTAATAGATTTAGAACTGTATGAATCAAAATCGAATTGATTCAGGACTTTGCTGAAAATGCCCAGCCCTACACAGGAGATCACATAAAAGTCGCATATATTTGGAAATATGAACGGCAACGCAAAAAAAAAAACGGATTTCACAAAAAAATCAGAATTGAGCATCAAGGCCTGCAGTGAGAAGTTAGGGAAAAGCATGGCATTCGTTAAAATGTATGCCATGTTGTGTGCGCCGGTGTTTCTGCATGTTGGATGTATTTCCTCCCGCAGATGTAATTGCCACTTTGCAATGATTGCAAAGCGCCTTGTTGCTGTCTTTCCGTTCTTCTTAAAATGAAGCCAAACTTTCGAGTGCTTTACCCGATGGGGCTTCATTTTTTTTTTTTTGCTTGTCTAGACTTACGCCTGGTCACGTCGTACTTGCTTAGTGAATGCCGTGTGCGTAACTTGCATGAGAAAATGTGACGTAAGTGATGCTGTCAAGCGCTAGGCTCTGGTGCTGCCTGGAACCATTAAGAGAATCTTAAAGTGGCACCGGTTCTGATCAGGAACCAGTTTTCGATTACCATCCCTACTTCGGACTCAGCTCCGCAGTGAGATGGGGCTACTTGGACTCGTCTATCTGGACGCCAAACGAGTAGGGATGGGGATCGTTAATATTTATTGATATCGATACCTTTATCGATACTCCTTATCGATCAGAGTCTTTATCGATACCACTATCGATACTTTTCTGTTATTTGGTGGAAAGACGATGCGACAATATGTTTTTAACAGAACTGGTATTGCTTAACAAGTGAGCATAACAAAACCGTTTCTAGCCTTCAATAAACATGGCTAATGTAATAGGCCACTTCGAAATGACATAAAACTAACTAGAATATATTTTCACAATTGTTGGTTAATGTATTGTCTACTGTCACTTTTCGTCATGGTTTTAGTGATTAGGAAAATATTTAACAAATAAATAATTGTATTTTAAATTAAATGTAATTTTTTTTATAAATGTTGGCATCAGTAGTTTAATTATATATTCTAAAATAATTAGAGCAATATACAACTGTATTACTCATGTTTCTCGCCAAAAACTCAATTTCCCTTTTCTTTACGTTACACTTGAACGCATCATGATAACCTAATTGTCGTTTTACTGAGCCAATCTGAACACATCATCACGCAGCACGTCTGAAACCTTATTTACTTTTCAAGCTAACTAGCTTGTATGCTGCCGATTACAACACGATTTCACAATTTCTATTTTTAACTGACCGGACAAGCTACAAAGTCTGTGTGTGCGCTCACTCTGAGTGGATGATGAAGACGGGCCCGACTGTGGTGCGGCGGCGGCAGCAGGAGGTGGAGGAGGAGGAGTCTTTTTAACCCGGAGAAAGTCGAAGGTACTGCATTTGGCCTTTATTTGATGCACAATACTAATGTGCTTGGCCATTGAGGTTGTGTTCCCTCCTTTACAAGAGATGATTTTGCAACATAAGTTGCATTTCGCTTCTTCTTTATCTTTGAGCTTGGTAAAATGAAGCCAAACTTTAGACCTTTTTGTCCGTTCAGCCATTCTCGAGTCGCGAGCGAAGTTAACTGCCAGAATTCACTTGTTTTACTTTTAAAATCTGTTTGCTTACAATTTCATTCCAAAACATTGGTGGACATGCTGCAGTGCTTGGATTGATTAGATTTAAATGCTGTGACGCGACTCGAGGGACACACAATTATGTTACAGGACCTCCGGGAGAAAAAAAAAACCGACCAGACTCGATAGTGGTATCGATACGCCCACACGTTATTGATTTTCAGGTTTTGAAAAAAGTGGAACTGGGTCCTTGATAGAACTGGGTTTCAATCCCCATCCATACAAACGAGTAGAAGAGGAAAAAGACGGAAGTGTCGATGCCTCCTGTTAAATATGAAGCTCACTACAGTGAAACTCGCTGCCTTGGCAATTTGTGCAGTTTTGTGCTGAAAGCCCAAAAAGAAAAGGCGATGACGTATTTGGACAGAACATGGCTGAGCAAACGTGGCTACTACAGTCTTTCAATTTTACAGAAAAAACTCCATTCACTCGCACCCCCCGCCATGCTTCTGTTAGGAAAATCCTTGTTTGCATACTGAGGATTTGCCCACGATCACCTTTCGAAGGCCGACTGAATTTCAAATGTGTTTGATTTTAAACTGACCTTACACTTCCTGATCGGGACGTGGTTATGAGGCAGATCGCCCCTCGTGACCTCCTCTACACTACACAAAGCACGATCAGGCTGAAAGTCAGCCCGATTGAAAAACCGAAAAGGGCAAACGATCGTACACTGTATGCCTGGCTTTAGTTGAAACATCAGATGTCTATGATTTGTTGTAGTTCCTAAAAAAGAAAATATACCTTTTAAATATCTTTCTTGTCTGACTGGTCTTCATCTGGACAGACCTTGAAGGCTGCTCTGTCGGAGCAGGTGAAGAAAGAGAAAATCCGAGTGAAGATCGAGATCATGCAGGCTTCTAATAAAGCTAAACATGCTGTTCAGAAATGGTATGAACTCAAAATTAAAAGGCATCTTATATGATTAAATATATTGTTTAAGTTATGTTTACATGTCAGATTTTAATAGAGTAGTTGAAACTTTTTGTGAAAGTCCAGAAATAAACATCTGTTATAACATTTTTGGGTAAACAGGAAGGAAATGCAGTTGAATCGGCTAGCAAACCTAGAAGCACAGTGTCCGTGCTGCCAAGCAGTGGTGTCTGATGTCCAGGAAAGGATTAAAGTCTTGGCGAATGCCATGCAGATGGCCAGAGAAGTACGCCGGGCCCCCATCTTGGAGCAGTACTTCTTCCTGGATAAGGTATGAGATTTTATATGTGTAACCCTACATGGATGGAGTCTATCTGGTGACCTTACTGGACTGCCAGTCTAAATCTTTTCTTTCAGAGTCTATAAAACAAACCTGTAATGCTGGTTGCTGTGTTTTCTCATTAACAGTTGCTAGAAACACTGCAGACACCGGTGGATCAGGAGGCCTTTGAATTGCAATGCATCAATGAGGGCCCTTCAGTAAGGTTGGTCTATAAGATTTGTAATGAAGTTTAGCGATAATTGGGTAAAAGTAAAAATAATGTATTACCTTTTTCTTTCATTAACAGGCTTAAAAGTTAAACATGAAACAAAACGTAGATGCATTGTATTAAAAGGCGGCATCTTTTTTCCTTATATTCTAAAAGGAAATTTGAATAAACTTTTACTGCTTAAAGCTACAGTGTGTAATAATTACAGGGATATAAAGTCAGAAATTTAATATATTATACATAACTATGTTATTTATCATCACCTATGAGCTCAGCCTTTTAACCATAATATTTGCGTTGCCTTAGAATTCGTTATTTATAATTACATAGGAGAGGGTCTCGCAGCCATGGAGGCGGACATCTTTGCGCTACGGCAGCGCAGAGCCAACAAACTAGCGATTGCGAGATCGCCCATTACGCTCGAAAATAACTACGGCAAGTTGAGAGAGATTAACTGAGACTGTACTGAACAGTAGATGGCAGTATTATGCCTGAGAAGTGTTTAGTCTGCCTGAAACCAAAGAAGAAGAAGAAGCAGGTATACGGCGCCTCAGTAACAAGAAAGGTGAACAAGGCGGCAGGCGTGAGTGACTTTGCAAACTGTTTGGCCAAACATCAGACGAATGGAGGATCATGCCTACTCTGTATCACAACGAAAAGCGGCGGACACCGAACCCCCGTCATCTAAGAAGCGTAAACACGACGAGAATAAACGCAAGCGTGACAAGAAACGACAAAAAACACGGATCAACATTGGCACGGCATTTACACGATGGAAGTCACTGATGGAGGAAAAAGGTTTTCAAAGTGACGCTCAAGTTGCCAGTTTTCTCTTGGACAGGTAATTAATCCTACACACACAATTGTCTAATATCACTGCAGTTTTTGGAGTACAGGATGCTCAGACCTGTCTAAAACAATAACATGCTGCGGCGTGATGATGCTGTTACTCTCCAGTATACTTATTCAGCAACGTCCCTGACGTTTCACAGGTAATGATTCAGTAATTTTCTGTAAAATAATTTTCTGGATATATACCTCGGTTACTTCTCTCCGGCTCCTTTGGAGATCTTCAAGCCTTAACTCCTCTGCTCTAGTCACCCCACTGGCACCTCTCCCTCGCCTGGTCCTAGCTGCACGCCCACCCCGGCCTCTCTGCCCTCGCCCTCTTCCTCTCCCTCTTCCTCGCCTTGTAACCCCCGTGCCACAAACAAGACTTGGACTCTGTAAACGGGGAATATATATTCTTCCAGCGAACACAATCTCGCTGTTAAACTAATGACTACAATTACTTTGTCTGTTTATATCACCATGCAAAGCAGCTCACCAAAACGTCACAACGACGTAGAAAAAATAGCGGGTATATTTATTATCTTAAGTCTACATGAAATCTATACCCTACACAGACTAATGAAATACTATCTGTAAAATTATCTATGTAAACAAACCTCATCACTTGAGAAGGTAGGTGATGCGGACGTCGTGGAAGACATTTTGTCCCGTAACGCTCGCCGTACTGTTGGGGGGGAGAAGCGGTGGGGGGGAGACGTTCATGTTGCTGCAGTCTGCACGTTAGATGTCGCTGAAAATTACACACTGTAGCTTTAAGACAAGATTATCAAAAGTGTTTTAGAGGTTTACATTAATGCTGATATATCCATCTGCAAAGTCCAGATAATTGTTTTGTTGTGGACTTTATGAGTATCTAAGTTTCTTATTGACTTTGACTTACACATGTAACCCAAAGTCAAACAGTGTTTGAGAATTTTAAACCTGTTACACTCCCTACCAGTTGGTGGCAGTAACAAATGTTACTTCTGTTTCCAACTTGACGACCCAATCCCAAACCGGCACCTGAACACTATCCCCCGGCTCACACCGACTCCGGTCTTACCGTTGCGGTGCGGTGGGTGCGGCGCCGCAGTGATTCCAAGTCATTAAAAAGACGTAAACCTCTCTCACCGGCTGCTGAGCTGTCCGGCTGCGGTTACCGAGACACTCCGGCGCTGCAGAAAATTCAGCAAGAAAGTTATCCTTGCGGCGTGCCGGAGCCCTCCGCAACAAGCTCTCGCAAATATCCTTATCTGGGCCGTGTTATCGCGTGAAGTTACGTGAACTCAAGTGAACTTCTGTTGTCGCGAGTTAAATCTCCGGACCTGTTGCCGGAGCCGCACCGCACCGTAGTCAAAACGGGCGGTGTGAGAGGGGGTGTGCGAGAGTTGCGGTCTCCGTCGGCTCGGTAACCGCACCGGAGCCAGTGTGAGCAAGGGGTAACCCTCGGTTAGCACATTCCGGCGGAGGGTCCGGAACATTAAGTGCCGATGTAGATCTTTTTGGGGCCCTGCCCCTTCTTATGCTGTCAACATAAGGCTAGTCTACTCGAACAAACTGTAGTGCAACTGTTTCTTAAAGGGGTCATAGAATGCAAAACTGAGTTTACATTGTCATAGATGAATAATGATAGTTCAGTGGGTGAAATGGACGTACAGAGAGGTTCAAACCCCATCTACACCTCCTTTCTCTGCAAATCTCACAATTCTAAACTTCCACCATAAAATGGGCGGACGAAGCACCGAGTTAACCTAAATTCTGGGATGTTGCCTTATTTGGTTCTGGCCTGTACTTTTGTCGTGCCCCGAAAATGACATACGACTAACCGACTGTTTCACTGGCCCAGGGGGTGTATATGAGGTTTCCAAACTGCTGGGCCGCTGACTAGACCAGACCTCAGCAGAGAGCCATGAGCCACCCGCCTTAGTTGGAGGAGGAGGGGGGGCTTGGGGCCGCTAACAGACATCCCAAGTCTCCCGGAAGTTCGGTTAGTCTCCCTGATATAGATAATTGCGATTATGCGTTCCAGGAGACTGGTTGTCAAGAGAGCTCACTGATTGGATTAGTCAGAAAAATAAGCCAATAAGTTCCGTGTTACTCTTGCAGTCAACTAGTTACCGCTCAGAGCTGTGCATCCTGTGAAATAGGTTGAATCCTCCAGTAAAAAACGAAAATATAAGATTTATTTTACAGCAGAATATACTTAAGTATGTCCACGTCTAGTGAAGGTGAAGAAAGATGAAGTGTGTATGTATGGGGCATGGTGCTTCAGCGGGGCAAGGGGTGGTTTGGGTGGTTTTTAGGTTTGAAAAGTAGGACATGTCCGGGAAAAAGAGGACGTCTGGTCACCCTACCATATAAACAATTTGATGTTTCAGTGAGTGAGTGTTTGCTGCTATGATGCGTCATGCTCAGCAGCTTCGGTCGTTGTAAACCAACCAATCAGCGCACAGCTCATCTAAATATTCATGAGCATACCATAAAAGGAAGAATACCTGTCGTTTCATTCTGAGGCTTATAACCAGGCTTGCATTAGGGCTCATAGAACAGCAAATATGCCATTTTCAGCTCAACCAATGTTACACACCCTTAGGGACCAGCACCAAATACCCTATAGAATCATTCTATGACCTCTTTAAGGATCAAATCTGTTTTGGAGTCTCACCATATTACCTATATTTACTGTTATCTTACATTTCATTGGCGATCTAAAGTAGTGGAAAGTAGAACGCAATCACTCTTCAAGTCTTCAAGGAAAGTACTGCGTTCTAAGACAGACTGAGCTCTGCCAACAAGTTGGCAAAAACAAGTCTAGCTTATTTTTATTCTTTTTATTAAGATCCGGAAGGACAAATGGAACATCTTAAAAATTAGTTTAGTTGAGATTTTAGACAAAACTGTTATTCTACTTGTAGAAAATGAACAGTTGTTGTTGACACACAGGCTCTATTCGAAATCCTGGGACACGTCCTTAGAAGGCCAGATTCGAGAACAATAACGTCATTGCGCAGCGCAAAGGTCTGGTCGGATTCCAAGACTACTCGTTATGCGGCCTTAAAATGCGTCCTTCTTTTTGTCTGATTTGAAGAACGGGTCCGATGTATCCTTGGATATCCCAGGATTCATTGCGAGACCAAGCAAGCCGGCTGCTCCGTTATCAGAGAAAAGGTTACTTGGCGCCGAACAGTGGTGAAAATTGGAAGTTAAAGGAATAGTACACCCAAAACATGATTACCCTTCATTTTCTACTCACCCCCATGCTGAACAACACTCTGGAGTACTTTTTTGATATCTCAAATGCATCTGGAGATCTGGGAGGCTCCTTGCTGTCTGCTGACATTCAAATAATGGAGGTCCATGGCGCCCGAGGCAGAAAGGTCCATAAAAGTCCACAAAAAACGTTTCAATATTCCTCCATACTGCTCGTCCAATGTATTCCAAGTGTCCTGAGTGGGTAGCATCCAGAATTTACTCGAAACAAAGTCATTTAGAATGTTTTTAGAGCATAAAAATCGAGCTAACAGCGACCTGAAGACCTGTAAGCCGGTCAGACCAAAAAAGGACGGCTTTAAAAACGACTTACAATCCAGGGGAGACAACTGAGTGCAAATGTTAAGTCTTCTGTTTCTTTGGTCTTAAAATATTTCTCATGCATGCTTGTGTTGCAGCTACGTTTTTCAGTCTGAGAATCTGAGCAACTGTTTGAAGTTGTCAATAAAAATGGAGTCCAACAGCTCAAACACGTGAGTTTAAAAAATAATATTGAAGCAATTCCATTTTTGATTGTGTTTCTTTTTTTTTCTTTCAACTCACCATGAATCACTAGTAAAATACTACTCGTTGGCCTGATATTTTTTTTATTTTTCTATTTGTTTTTTTTTTTTTTTTTTTTTTTTTTTTTTTTTTTTTTTTTTTTTTAGGTATACATGTTCTAGAATAAACCAGGCTCTTTGTTTACCTTGTATTTCTGTGGTGACAGATAACTTTTTTTCTTTTTATTAAGTGTAAGCACGCGCCCACTGGAAAACCACCAGTCAGACATCCCCATCAAAAACTCTTCATTGGAACCCGGCAAGGACCAAAACGGCTGTTCCAGTTCACCCAGTAGAAAGCTTCCCCTTCACGAAAACTGCAAACCAAACAGCATCTTGACTGATGCCTCCTCAACTCAAAGCTCCCATCAAGAGCAAAAATCTGCCCCCAAAATCAGCCTCTCACAATACAGCTCCTTCTCAGACCTTTCAAACGAGGATGTTATTGTTGAAGATGTCTTGGGTGATTACTCTGAGTCAGGTTTGTAAATCCATCAAACACTCCGTTTAGTTTAATATCAAATTGAAGAGATCTTAAAGTTTTTGACTTTATGTCTTTCTGCAGTTACTCCAACTGGTCCTTCAATGGCCAGCATTTACTGGAGATCCATATGGAAACAAAAAAATGACCTTAGTCGCAACAAGGGTAAGAAGGGCATCCCTTCCCTCATTATTCCATCCAGATTAAATAATTTAGTCTTGATGAATAGATCTCAAACCTTTTTCTTTTTATTAAATTCAATTCAGTTTATTTGTATAAATTCTCACAACACGTCATCTTAAGGCACCTTACATTCACCAGATCATCCAGTCAAATAGATTCAAAGTTTTCTAAGGAAAACCAGTTGATTGCATCGATTCATTGACTCGAATGCAATCCCTCACACTAAGCATGCTTGTAGCGACAGTGGAGAGGAAAAACTCCCTTTTAACAGATAGAAACCTCCAGCAGTACCAGGCTCAGTGTGAGCGGCCATCTGCCGAGGCCGACTGGGGTTCAAGGAGACGGAATCAGAGACACAAAAAGCAGCTGTTAAAGGCGGCATTTTTAACACTCACTTCCCCTCACCGGCTCTCAATATTGTCTGTTTTGTTCTCCAGCTCTTAATTTTTTTGTGTGTGTTTTGTATCACTGGCTTTTTTGCTTTAGTTACTCAGTGGGTGGTGGTGAGCCATGTTGTGAATCCAAGTTACTTCTATGTCCGCCCTGTGGTTGAGAGGAAGGAAAGTAAGATTCTTTCACAGAGGATAAAGGAACTCTGCTGTGGGGACGGCTGCCTCTTTACACTGAAAGACATCATAGAGAAAGGTAAGCTTTGTGTGTGGGGGGAGGGGGCTGTATGTGTGTCATCCTTAAAATTCAAATAGAAAACACATACTTAGTTTTTTATTTACATCATCTAGAAACAGAATCATCATAAAAACTCATAGATAAACGCAACGTCATATTAGACTTTATTAGATAAAAAGGAAATACATCACAAGTGAAAAAAATGTTTAGCATTTTTGTTGTTTATAGCATAAAATATTTCATTATGATAGCAGAGGACCCAAAATTCCTCATTCGGTCACGTGACCCACTGAGGAATGGCGTGAGGTCAGTTTAGTCAGGAATTAGTCATTTTACATAGTGAATCAATATTAACTCCATAAAGGATAAAAAGTCCATTACCTTTGTGATGGACTTTTTAATCCTTTAACGAGGACAAATACGAAGCAATTAGAGTCTTAAGGCTGATTTATACTTCGACACTAGGTCGTCTGCATAGGTGTCACAGTGAACGGAAAGACGTCCCCGCCCCCTCTGCAGACACTTTGCTGCACATCTCCCAAATTGTAGGTGACCGCAGACAGTGCCGTAGACAGGAGGCCTCTGATTGGTCAAATCTACAACCGCTGTACACTATGCGTGTTTCCTGTTTGGTACCTTACCGGCTTGTTTTGTTTGTATGGCCGCCATTCTGGAAAACGACTCGTGAAGATGGACCAGCTAGAAGAGCGAGGTGCGTGAGAACGCAGGGACCCTTTTCCCACCTGGATCCCCGCTCTTCTCCGCCCTCATGCCCCTCCGCTGTCTGACAAACTTTTCCCCACTTCCTCACCGCCTCGGCCGTATCTAGACCCACAGCTAATTTGTGATTGTCCTCAGACCTCACTTCAATGTTGAGAATAAATCAAAAATGTCTGCAACAAGCTCACTGCGACACACAGCTGCCGGAGGATAACAAGCCCTTTAGTGGTTTTATTAATTCTTGCTGGTTTATGCAGAGCTGATGAAAGTTCATTTTCTTTCAGAACATTTTCCATTAGGGATGGAACGGTTTTATGAAAACCGTTCGGTTCGACTGTCTCGGTTCGGTGCATGTGTGTTGCGTTCGGTTCATGCACAGCTCCTTTTTCTCATAGGCGAAGCGTGTACACTCCAGAGCAGAAGGTGGCGGTACTGCGACCAAAGCCAACCACCAGTAGTAAACAAGAAGAAGAAGCGAAGCAGCATAGCAGGGTGTAGCAGAAAAAAATCAGTTGTTGTGGAGTTCTGTGTGGGTATGGCGAGTCGGAAAGAACAGGAGTTGGAAGACGCGCCAGCAGCACTTTATAGGTCTGCTGTATGGGACTGCTTTGCATTTAGAGTGACCTACGATGACGGTGGAAAGAAAGTTGTGGATAAAAACAGTGTGCAAGCATTGTGCAACACGTTTTGTTTATGCTAACAGCAACACGACCAACATGTCAGGCTAACAATCAACATTTACCGAAAACCGTGACCACGAAACCGTGAACCGAACCGTGGATTTTGTGAACCGTTCCACCCCTGTTTTCCATATGGTTCAATGTTTTAATTAGTTTAAACCAGAGTCTAACCTTTAGATTGAAGAGGGGATCACAGGATTCGGATTGGTTCTGTGGTGGCTGGGTTTGGTTCGGTTCTGCTGGCGTGAAGCCTGGCGGTCAGTGTTGGAGCCCTGTGTGCGGTGCTAGCGGTTCTGCATAGCAGGCTGTGCGGGGCTGCTGTGCCTGGACAGGGAATGCGGTCCCTCTGTAACCCGATCGTAGTGAACGGTCATTGCACTTTTCTGCTGTATGAGTGGAAACATTGCCCTTTGGATGTGGTTTTTACCCAGTTCGGCTCAGGGCTCCGGGCCGGTCTCAACCTACGCTAACTGACTGTTATCCATCGCGGTTCTTGTTGTTCTGGAGCCTTGACCACAATGATAAGGGAATCCATCTGGAGCTGCAGCTATACTAAACTGCAACTAGCTACGGGTCGTTGTTTTATGAAAGAAAATATTCCTTAAAAAAATAAACAATGCTTCGAGTCAGCTTTATTGCCATCAGCCACTTTATTAAAGCTATACAACAGAGAAAACGAGCCGTTGCAACTTTGGTATATTGAATCCAGCTGAAGCTGTGAGAGAATGTTTGACTACACCAATGTCACAGCTGGGGATCGCTAGAGGTGCCCAGCATACTCTAAAATTCTCTCGATTTTTATTACTTGGAGCATTTTTAGCACGACTTAGACCAGCCACATGGAGATAAGAAAGGATAATCTACCATCACACCCAATAAGACTGCTCTAGATGCACTCCTTTCTATTTGACCTTTAAGATGTTATAGGCTTTTGGTCGAGTTAATCATTAGAAATACAAAACATAAATTGAGGTATATTTCCAGTCAAGTGGTTGAATCTATATATTTTTTTCTAAAAGAAATATCCAGTCAATGAATATTGGGAATCTGCAATCATTTTGGACACAAATTAGAAGAGGACTTAAGAAAAACCTGCTGAAAAACCATGAATATGCTTCACAAAAATGGATGGAATAAATGCTGTAGTTGGTGTCTCCTTTTACGAGTTTGATGGGCTTCCAGTCTTTGTAGAGTTTTGAAATATTTCCTTTTGATTTCACACATCCTGCGTTTTAAATAGGTCTTAAAGTGATTTATGTGCTTCTCAAAATTGTGTCTTAAATAATTATTAAGGTAATCGTGTTTTATCGTTTAATCATTGGACCAAGGGTGTTTAATTCTTAGTTTCCTTTTTTATTTTAGGCTCCATTGTCTTTATGAAAGGAAGGGATGGGCAATGGTGCCGTGGCAGGGTGGTTGAAGTCTTTCAGAATACTTGTGAAAAGTCTCTGAAGGTCTCCCGGGTCTCCCAGCTCTCCGGTTTGCGAGTCTTCCTCCTAGACTACGGGGCCATCAAATACATCCCAATCAAAGAGTAAAATAACTTGTATTTAGAAGAAAATTTCCCAGATTCTGTTAATTTTTTTTCTATTTCTCTTTTGATGATACTGGTAAAATATTAACTTTTTTCAGTCAGGGGAGGACGGATGAGTCCACTCTAAACTATGTGAACTGTGTTCTGAGGAAAGTGGATGAACACTTAAATGAAGAGCTGAGCCACATTCCTCCTCTGGCCATAAGGTGTTCACTGAAGGACCTGGTCCCATATAACCTAGTAAGATCACTAATGATTCCAGTTATCTCTCTCTAGCTACAAAAGAAAAGTGAATTTAAAACCTTGTGTGCAGGCAGCGGGCTGGAGTAAAGAGGCAAAGACCAAATTCTGCTCTGTGGTCGGTTCTGCTGCGGTGGAGATGCGACCTTTGGGGAAGGACAGAGTCTCTTTGTTGGTGGATCTAAGAAAAGCTCCCATGGATCAACCCACTGATGTGTCCATCTCTGTCAGGGAGTACCTCGTTTTCATCGAGGTGGCCAGGTACCCTCATTAAAAGCTTAGTTTATATGGTTTCATGGCTTCAGTCCCAGCTGCTTTAGCCTGCTCAACTTGTTTTGTTTCTCCTCAAAGGTTCTATTCTCCAGTCATACTGGGCATGAGATCTCTCATGTATTATCCTCCTGTGTATCCAAAAGCCAACACTGAGTTTGATGCAGTTGTGTGTCACATCAACAACGCCTCTGACTTCTACATCCAGCTGGTATGAAAACAAAATCATTTCAGCGAACGAGGTTTAAGTCAAGGCAGCTGTTGGTCATATTTTTTATTTGTGCTTCCGTCTCCCTGCTACCTCAACAGGTTGACAGCATGGAGTCCTTGTTGCTCACTGCCAAACTTCAGGATTGCTACAACTCACTGAAAGAAGATGAACTCAGGATCTACTGCCCTGAGATGGGAGAGGCTTGTGTTGCCTGCTTCCAAGACAACATGTGGTACAGAGCTCAAATTGAGGGTAAGGATCTATTAACTTTAATTTAATCCACCCTGTTCCTGCTTGTGTTACTGTAGGGTTTACTGGTGTGGCGCTATCTTCTGCTGTCAGGGCTTTAGCCTGATCACCTGCCTGGTGAACTGAGACGATGATGGTCTTGATGGCACAGGGGTCATGTTTTTTTTTTTTTGTTTTTTTTTTACAGCGCTTCCCCCATGCCTGCAAGTAAAGCCTGGGTCACAACTGTTGCATCTGACTTTTTATTCTCCAATGTATGACAGTGTGTGTATTTTTCCACACACTGACAGTGTGTGTATAGAGTGCTTCTTCTACACCTAAGCAGATCCTGAACCGTGCAGTTTTTTTTCCCTTTCAAATACCCTCAGACTGAAATACTGTCCTGCACCTGATTGGGTAAGATTATTATTAAAAATAAAAAGAAAACTTGTGGCTACAAGGCAAAGCTCCACTTCATGACCAGCCTGCACAGCGGACTCTAGAACAGAGGTCACGGATTTGCGGACTGCGGTCCTGATCCGGACCCATCTGCTGGCTAATTCGGACCCAACCTGATTTAAAACATTTATAAATTATCGCATATTGTCCAACGACAGTGTCTAACAGTGTCTAACTTCTCTTGCGCCGCTTCTCCTGTTTGTACTGTAAAGCCCTCCAGTGGCCCCTCGTTGCTTTAGTTTTTTGAGACTAGAGGAGGATTCATATTTTAATTTATACCTTTTCTGTCCTGAACTGCTGTTATGGGTAAGGTATTCTGTTTAGGGAACTGTTGCATTAATTTAGTGTGACCCAGTCTGCCCAACATGTCCTCTGTATGATTCCAAAGGGGACAACAGACTTTTTTCTCTTCCGATTGAGTGATTTTTTTCTGTATTACCCCCCAAAACATGCATGGCAGCCAGCTCCCAACCATCAGGGGACAGACGTGATACCGGCCTCGGGTCTCGCCAGCAGGCATGTAACTGCCTCAGGTACTCCTCTGAACGAGGGACAGAAAACGGAGTAGGAGCCCGCCCACACCTTAAAAACTCAGTACTGGAGGCAGCGTCCTCTTCTGCCGAAAGTTCAAGCTGCAGCTACCTCATTGCCATGCACCAACTGTGCTCCGGTATGAAAAAAAGCCAGTCTCAGAGGCTTGAGTAGACCGCGCCTCTTCCTTCTTATTGTCAATTATCAAATCAGGCATGGGACTAGAGGAGAGCCCAGTCACCAGGAGCGAGGCATCAGGCTGATGTGCTCGCTACAATGAATTTGTCTCTGCCGACTCTGAACATAACCTCTTAACCCTTGAGGCCAGGCCATAGTCAGGAACGCTTGAGTGGGGCTACTAACCTAGAGGGCAGGAGGTCTGACGCATCAAGAGAGAAAAGCTGGGCCAACCAAGCCCCCCTCCTTGAAGCTGCATTTCACGGGGAGATTTTCAGACAGTGCCTTCACAAGGTGGTCACGCCCAGGCAGCAAGGGCAGAGGTTGTGGCCACATCTGCCTGAAAACCAACGCCGCACTCCAAACAGCTATGGAAGCCATTCATGTCCAAGTTCACAGGACTCAACCAATTTAGACAGGAATAGAAAATATGCTGAAATCTGGAGAGGGGACGTGAACGCTACCATCACTGATTATAGCCTAATAAACAAATGAAACATATCCAACAGACAGGAAGTATAACCGGACAACTCAGAAAGCAGTCAGCAGATCTATTGATTACTCTGGGAGAGGGATGAATAAGGCTGCCATCACCAACAAGCGACATACATACCATGTAGGCGACAGGGCGTCCAGCAACAGGGAACCAAAGTATCGTCCAGAAAGCTTAAAAGCTGATGCATTACAAGACAAACCACACGTGAGGAGAAGTAAGGAACAAAGCCGTGGATGACGCCCCCATATATAGCTTCTGATTGGTGTCACAGGTGTGACTCTGTTGGTATAACTACCGTATTTTCACGACTATAAGGCGCACTTAAACGTCTTTTTTCCCCCTCAAAATGTGCGGTGCGCCCTATGGTGCGGTGCGCCCTATGTGTGTTGTAACTGCGACTTTTGAGACCACCTCATTGAGGAGATGATGAAAGAGTGGCTGAATGTAAGGAGACCAGGTGTTTTTTTTCCACTCATCACCATTAATCTGTAACTCCATGCGTGCCCATCTCACAGCTGATGTGAAGAACATGGGGAAACAAATTAACGCTGCTCGACATCGGTGTGAACCGGACCCAGCAGGTGCAGCAGAAGCAGCGAGTTTACATGCAAAGTCAATGGTTGACGCGCGTATAGGTGCAGCAAAAGGTCCCGCAGCGCGTTTTGAGCCGCAGGTGCAGCACGTCGCGCTGCTGCTGCTCAAGATGGAAAAATTGAAGTTTTGCTGCTGGACGCGCCGCATCAACCAATCAGAGAAGCTGATCTGGGAGCTGACAGCGAGACAGACAGCGCTCTGATGAAAGAGGAGATGATGAAAGCGTGGCTGAGGGAGGTGTAGCCTATGTGAGGAGACAAGGTGTTTTTTTCCACGCATCATCATCGCTGCGTGCCCATCTCACAGCCGATGTGAAAAAAAAGGTGAATCAAATGAACGCTGTGCTCGCCGTTATCCCGGGGGTCTGACAAAGGAACTTCAACCGCTCGACATCGGTGTGAAGCGGCCGTTCAAAGTAAGGCTGCGAGCGGCGTGGGAGCGATGGATGACAGACGGAGACCACAGTTTCAGGATAAGTTGAAGGCAGCGCCGGGCAGATTACGCCACCGTTTGCGGATGGATTGTAGATGGACTGTGTCTGCTGGCTCTGTTGTTCAAGCTTTTGCAAAAGCCGGCATTATTTCTGAGGAGCTGCGCTGCACGGAAAGTGACTCTGACAGCGCAGAATGGGAAACTGGCATGTCTGATTTAGCGCAGCTGTTTAATTCAGAAACAGAGGATGATGACTTTGATGGGTTTGATTAATACTTTGTAATAAATACATGAATAAAGCACAATCATACTCAGTTTTGCTCCCGCTCTATTTTTCTACCTGAAAGCTTAATTCAACAGCAGCGTCTCCTCCTCTTCAGCGCGGTGGCTGGCAGGTGTTTTTTCATCTAAATAATCTTAATCTTGCAGCTATATTTGCTGTGATCAGTGGGAATAAAGTAGTTTTAATATGTTTTTAAGTGAGAAAGTCCACCTGAAAACTTAATAATTGCAGTCAGTTCATCCAGATTATCTATTTCTGTCGGAGGCGCTCAGACCCCCACATACCAGCGGTGCACCGACAGTAGAAATCCCTTCAACAGCAGCCTCACCGCGGCGGCTGGCAGGTGTTTTTTCATCTAAATAATCTTAATCTTGCAGCTATATTTGCTGTGATCAGTGGGAATAAAGTAGTTTTAATATGTTTTTAAGTGAGAAAGGCCACCTGAAAACTTAATAATTGCAGTCAGTTCATCCAGATTATCTATTTCTGTCGGAGGCGCTCAGACCCCCACATACCAGCGGTGCACCGACAGCAGAAATCCTTTCGTTCACCGCGGCTGCTGGCAGGTGTTTTTCATCTAAATAATTGAAACTGCAGGCACCAGGATACCGGCAATAAAAGCGAACATATTCTGTCGGCAGGTTTCAGGATTTTAAGTTAATTTAGGAGTGATCACAGCGCTGTGTCATCTGCGATGTCTCTGTCTCACGGCCAGCTGCCAGGTTTGATTAATACTTTGTAATAAATACATGAATAAAGCACAGTCATACTCAGTTATGCCCCCGCTGTATTTTTAAATACGCAGTAGAGGTATTTAAATGTAGTAGAGGACATGTACCGGTATATAAAAAACGCGCCCTATAGTCCGGTGCGCCTTATGTGTGTGTTAAATACAGAAATGGGACACATAACTGAGAGTGCGCCTTTTAGTACGGTGCGCCTTATGGTCGTGAAAATACGGTACTCAAACTGCGCATAGGTGAAGGGAACATTCAGCGCTCTCAGCACAGCCCTCTGGTTGTCAGTAGGGATGAAGTAGAACTGTTTCTGCAGCCATTATGCTCAATATATTTCAGGGTGTGGGCATTTCATTATAATTCTAAAAGTTTCTGTGTAACCACTGTATGTGCTGAAATGTGATGAGGAGGAAGCCCAGGTGACGATCGGACAACTGGGCTCTCTCTTTTATGAGCCTAAAAGCTGATTTTCAGTGTGGTGATAATTTTTTTTGAAGCTTAACAGCCCAATTAAACTGAAATATGCTGGCTTATAACCCTGTCTTCTCTTCAGATTTCCCAGGTACTAGATTATTTGCAGTAATCCACAGCGAGCAAAGCTTTGGTTGGCTTTCATGTTCCTGTAAAAACATTAATACAAAGACTGTCTTTCCAGAATCCTCTCAAAATGAAACTGATTTACTGATACCTTTTGTTTCCCATCGCCAGCTGTTAATAATTTAACACATGCCTGTAGAAAATGATGATTTGGGTTCCACTGTGTGGTTGTAGGTCATCCCAGGGGCCAACAGGTGGAGGTGCGATACGTTGACTTTGGCAATAAGGAAGTGTTGTCAGTCAGTGACCTGAGGAAGATCAAAGATGAGTTCTTTGTGCTTCCTGCTATGGTAAGAGAACATCAAAAGTTGTCTTTTATAACACAGGACGCTCATTAAACCGCCTAAAGCTGTTTTATTGGATGCTCTTAGAAAATTATACAGATTATTTTTTATGTTTTGCCCTTTAGTTTCTTTGTGCTCTGCTGTCCTTCTTATTTCTGAATTAAATGTAACTTTGTCATTTTGAGTTTAATCATTATTAATCTGAGGAGGTTTGGAATTTGTAATTAGGGTTGTGTTTTTACATTTTTTTGTTTAAATGATTCCACTATCTGATCATTGTTTTTATTCTGGTTCCCATTGCTTCTTGATTCTGATTCTTTTAAGAGGAAGGATCATGTTATAACTGAGCTGGCTAACCATAGTCCTGTCTGGATTAAATAATCTGAACTTCTTAATGATTGTTGCTTTGTGGAAACAATTCAATTTATGCTTCTGACACTCTGCCTCTGCAACCGTCAAATCTGTCTCAAAAAATCCTGACGACACGTTGGACGGTCGAAAACCCGCACAGACCTCAAGCGGAAGTGCGCAGACAAAATGCAGCTGTGATTGCTCCTTGGTATGCCTTTCTAGCTGTCTGTGTGGTCGTCCTTCCCGATTCGGTGCTGGAACTGAGCCCAAGAGATGGAAGAGATGAGTGATGATTGGGAGCTGGAGAGAGTTAAGCAGGTGTAAGGCTCTAATTTAGGTGAGGTATTGGGGCAGATCATGACACTCAGGGAGAATTAAAATTTTAGAAACGGCTCCATTCGATTATTTGTTCCTGACTTTACGAATAATGAAACTGCTTTCAGAAATGCTGGTTCTATTTAATGCTTTGTATAGACATCCACTGCTAAATTAAATTGATTGCTTTCTTGTGAATTCCAGGCACTCCATTGCTGTCTTGCAGATGTGGTTCCTTCGGACGGGAAGAGCTGGAGTGAAGCCAGCACCTTAAGATTCGCCAACCTTGCTCACCAGAAACTGGTCACAGTGGTGGCAGCAGGTCTGGACTGGGAAAGGCTTTTCTTTTGGACATGCTCCTTTTTCTTCGATTCAAGCTTTTTCTGTTGTTGTTCAGATTGTTGTTGCTGACTTTACATCTGTTTCTCAGAAGTTCCTCAGGCGGGTCCATTGCCGCTCAGTATGTTTGTAGGAGGTGTGAACGAGCCAAAATCCAACATAGCTGAACTGCTGGTTCTGGAGGATTTGGCCCTCTTCAAAAATCGGTAATTCTTGTCTGAAGTGCAAGATTGAAGGAATTAGAGTATTAGTGTTGTACCCCAGTTGTTCACTTCAGTGTTGTGTACGCCAAAGATTTTCAGCTTGGTCCTGGAAAAAAGTTTAATGGCTAAAATAAATAGAAATTCCCCCGTTTTTTAATAATAATTTTCTTTTTTAACCAGCAGTTGAGGAAAAAGCTTAGCTCTCAGAGTTTTACATGTTTAAGCTTCCTTACTATAACATATTAAAGGATAAGATCGGTATAAATAATGCATGTTGCTCGTATCTTAAGGTGTCTCAGTATTTAACTGGTTTGCCTCCCTTGTTGACCGACCGACTCTTCTTTTCAGCAGACCGAATGTCAAAAAGGAGAATCCCTCTGGTGTTGATTCCGCTTTATGGGATCCACCGCTTGAGCTTTGTTCAGTCGCAGATAAAGCTGATGCTCCAGATCAAAAAACTGAAGAGAAGGAGAAAAGTAAGGCACCTCTGGAGCTGCAGCCCAAATCCAAGCAACATGAGCAGCATAAAGACCTCAAAGTCAGAGTCACTCATGTCAACTCGCCAAGCAGCTTCTACGTCCGACTCACCGATTCTGACTCTGAGCTTCAAAGGTAAGCAGGAAAGAAAAAGGTTGGTTGAATCCTGACAGCCCATGACTGTCCAAGTTTTTCAATTCACAAATACATTTAGTCCTCTGTTGGCACGGTTTTATAAGGACATAAATGAGGAATGTCATGTCAACATGCCGTTTGGAATATTCAAGTCACTTAAATGGACATGTAAGTAGAGATGTCCCGATCCAGGTTTTTGCACTTCCGATCCGATACCGATATTGTTTTTGGACTTCCGATCCGATACCGATACTGGCCGATACCAGCATATCCGAGCATGCATTTAAGTTTAAGTTAAAGTATTTAGCCTTAGTTGTAAGACTCATGTTGAAAAGGGTTTTAGTACTCTTGATAACATCTAGCCAGCTGAATTAGGTGAGATTGAATAAAACACAATGATTGGTAACAACAAACTTACCTGTTTATTAAGAGATAAACACAAACTGGACAAAATTATGAATAGCAATCTGAAATTGCACAGTGAACAGTAAAACCGTAAACAGTTAAAGGTGCAAGTATTACTGTAAGTTTTAATAAAAATGCAAAACAGACAAGAGTGGAAAATATTCTATTAACTTAGAATCAGGACTCTACTCTTGAAAAAAGACACTGCTTAAAAAAAAAATCAGTGCAAATAATAGTGAACTGTTACACAAAAATGCCTTATACTCCCCAATCTCCTCCACAACTAGTCTCCATCTACACATCATGCAGGATAAAATAATCCCACATGGCTGACATTTTCCCCGCTATCTTCCAATTCACCTGTTTTAATGGTTAGGCCGGGAGACAGACCCAAAAAGACCTGTGGGTGTGTTGAAGGTGTTCTGGAAAATGCGGACAGGATTCGGGGAACACTGGCGCAAAATAGTGAAATGGATCGTTTCAATCGGCGAAACTGGAAAATACGGACCGGATTTTTTTTTTAAAACTGGATAGGCAGTCTGGATCGGCATTTTACATTCTTTGCCGATACGCATTCTTTTGCCAATATCGGCAATCCGATCCGATCCACGTATCGGATCGGGACAAGCCTACATGTAAGTTTTAACAGAAAAATATATTTAAAATAGCCTTTTAATTTGACCCTTTACAACTAAAGCATTGTTTAATGAGCAGACTGGCATCTCAGTAGTTCCGCGCCAATGCATCTATAGGCCTATAGCCTATTTTTATTTATTTACTCCAGGGCAGAAGTTCATGCTGTATCAACTACTATGACATCAGTGTGTCCATGTTAAATGGGTCTAACCTAGCAAACAATCTAAGCATTAGATTTAAGATAGATGTTGTGGATACTTGCATGAGACAGGCAACCAGCACAACTCGGACACCAATGGCAACTCCACGTGAGTTTAATAAGTGAAAAAGAAATGAGGGCAACTTGTCAAACACAAGTGCGAGCCAAGACAACAAGCAAAAGAGTGCTGCAGTTCTAGGAAACCCTGTAAGGCCTCTTTAAAAGTGCAGTAGAAGATCTTTTCTGATGCATTTTTTACCATGTGGCTCAAAGATCTCCCCACAGCCGCTTAGCAAGCAGTGAAATAGAAGGTCTGGAAGTGAAACTAAAATAAATGGTCCCCGCTACAGTGAAAAATCAATGAATAACCTCAACCAATCACAAAACACGGTTTGTCGTCCACTATTGAATCCTGACACGTCAATCATGGTCGTCTGCTTGTCCCTCCCCCCTGTGCGCGAACCCTGACACATGAACGATTCGACCCCCCAATGCTCGTGCAGGACACCATGGCCGGAAGCTAGCCACTGCTATGCTACGTTCAAACCTAAAGCAGCAAAAAAGCGCGTGCTGCTTCATTTTTTATGCTTGTACAAGTTAAGTGAAAGCATCTTTGCCGCTCTGGCTGCGCGGTGGAAAAAGTGGGTCTGATGCGCAAATTATGCTTCTGACGCATAGCCTCTGCAACCGTCAAATCTGTCTCTGTGCCTCAAAAAATCCTGACTACATGTTGGACGGTCGCAAACCCATGCAGACCCCAAGCGGAAGTGCGCAGACAAAAAACAGCTGTGATTGGTCCTCTGTATGCCTTTCTGGCTGTCTGTTGTCGTCCTTCTCAATTCATTGCCCGTGCGCACCATTTTTAAAAACCGAGGAACAAATACAATGGACAACTATGACGAAAGGTTAATCAGTATTTTTGCCAACTCCATTAACAGAACCTGTTCCCCTTCGATGTCTAGCAACTCTAGATTCATCTCCGTGACCGTGATATCTTGCAGACGCGCCATTGTTGTTTTGGAAGATAAACACTCTTCCCGGCGTCACCAAAGTTCTCGTGACTCTCCGCTGAAGTGCTTGCGAGTTCTCGAATAGGTCCCTAGAAATTCTAAACTGACTGTGCAGAAGCATACCAGCAAAACTGGTTCTTGACCAGACCCGAGCGACATTTGATTTGGGCGGTTGCAGAAGTATAACCAGAAGTATAACCAGCCTTTCATGGTTTGAAATCATGCATGGCATGAAAGGTTATCCTGCTTAAACCTGCATGTCAAGGCCTGTTCTAAGTTTGCCAATGACCATTTGGATTATCCAGAGGAGTCATGGTAGAAAGTCATGTGGTCAGATCAGAGACCAATATAGAACTAATTCCACTAACCATGTTTGGAGGAAGAAGAATGATGAGTACCATTCCAAGAACACCATCCCTACTGTGAAGCATGGGGGTGGTAGCATCATGCTTTGTGGTGTTTTTTCTGCTCATCGGGGGCGACTGTACTGTATTAAGAGATTTTGATGTTTTGAGAGATATTGGAGAACAAACTCCTTCCCTCAGAGCATTGAAGATGGGTCGAGGCTGGGTCTTCTAACATGACAATGACCCAAAGCACATAGCCAGGATAACCAAGGAGTGGATCTGAAAGAAGCTCATCAAAGTTCACAACTGAACCAAATAGAGAATCCTTGTAGGAAGCTCAAACTATGCGTTTCTCAGCAACAGCCCAGAAACCTGACTGATCCAAAGAAGATCTGTGTGGAGGAGTGGGCCAAAATCCCTCCTGCAGTGTGTGCAAACCTGGTGAAAAAGTACAGGAAATGTTTGACCTCTGTAATTGCAAACACAGGCTACTGTATCAAATGTTAACATTGATTTTCTCAGGTGTTCAAGTACTCATTTGCAGCTGTATCAAACAAATAAATAGTTTTTAAAAAACCATACACATCTGGATCTTGTTTTTTTCTAGATTATGTCTCTAACAGTGGACAAGCACCTCCAATGACAATTCCAGACCCCTTCATGATTTCTAAGTAGGAGAACTTGTAAATTTGGAGGGTGTTCAAATATTAATTTTCCTCACTCTACTACTTCCTGTCACACGGTATTATGGAAAATAAAGATTTAGTTTAGTAACAAGTGGTGCAAAAACGGAGTGAAAAACCGTGAAATCCAATTCTATTTTATGTCTTAAGCACTTAAAAACAACCAGAGCTGACAAACGCTGACTGGTGTGGAGTGCTGGCCTAGTGGTAAGAGCATTGCGCTTGGTTGCTTGAGGTTCTGAGTTAAAATCCTACATTTATCACATTTCTGGAAAGATGCAGTAGTGTAAAAGCATTGGAGATGTTTCTGCAAGGAAACACATCAGATGAGTTTGGCAGCATGTTTGCAAGATCTTCTTAGTTCGGGGGAAGGGAAGTCCTAATGATGACGCATACAGACATGTTCACGGAAGTTTGATACTCCCAACTTTGCTTGGCTCATTGCTATTTCATGACTGTGCACCAGTACGCATTCTAAGGTCCATAAACCTGTGGATGATAAGGTTTGGTGTGTAGGAACCTGAATGGCCTGCACAGGGTCCTCAGTTTTACACCTTAAAACAGAGGAAGCTTCAGGCCATGCCCTCCCATCAAACCTCAGTGTGTGACCTCACAAGTAAGACGGTCAGAAACTTATTCCTAAGTCTTGTGGTTTAGATCCTGTGGATGTTATGGGGGCAGAGGATGCAACATCCTCAACCCTATGAATTAGGTAAAGGGGCCTAGTGGTTAGGGCATTGCGCATGGAATCCTGAGGTTCTGAGTTTGAGCCCCACTCCCACAGACTGCCACTGTGGGTCCATGAGCAAGACCCTTAACCCCACACTGCTCCCCAAAGGGATGGGTTAAACGCAGAGGTACATTTCTCAGATGTGAAATCAATAAAGTTAAATTATTATAATTAAATGCTGTAGTGCTCTGCAGAAAAAAAACACTTAAATAAAACAGCTAACACATGTAAAAATAACATTCACACAAATAGATTGGGTAAAAGATCAAAGGAATGAAAGATAAAAAAAAAAAGATGTGAAAAAAATAAAGGCCACCATCATTGCTAGGTGCTAAAGCCAAAATGGTGCCATAACTAGAAAGCCTTTGTATTCAATCAGATTGAGGTACAGGTGTAGGAATCCATAAAGTCATAGTAATAAATCTCTCTCTGGTTTGTTTAAGTAGAAGTCATTAGCTGTGTTTTATTTTTGCTGTTTATGTAGGGTATGTGAACTGGTGGAGCAGGAGTGCGCCCAAAAGGAGCTGCAGGATGTGGAGTGGAAGGCAGATATGCACTGTGCTGCCAACATCAACGGAGTCTGGGAGAGAGGACAGATGTGCTGCGACGTCACTTCAAACACTGCAGAAGTATTTAAACACAAAGTTATTTTCTTTCTGAAATGGACTTTCTGCCACCAGAAGTATTAAAAAAATTCTGCAGCATTTAGATCATTGAACACTCCCCAAATCTCACTCCCCTTGGCAAATTAAAATGTGAAGTTTTATGATTCTTCTAATTAAAAGAATTGGAACTGAGAATCGAAATAAGGAATCAAACAATTTTTCAAATCCTGTGTTGCCCGCCGTGGCAAATGCCACTTTGGAGGGACCTTCCATCCTAGGCTCAAAGGGAACATTTTCACTCCTATCCAGAAAGGCCCTTTGGGCTTGGCTCCTTTGTGATCAAAATGAAATGCAGATGAGCTCCCTGATGAGCCAGCAAAACATTTTTGCTTTTATTATCCTGGTGACTGCATTTTGAATTACATACATGAAAAACGCCTTCCAGCTGCCACAGCAAACCGTGAGGAGGCGACCAGCTTGTCCTGAATGATTAGATAAGGTTGGGAGCTTGGACCCTCCCTTGCATAGAGGTCACTGATGCCAGCAGCCACTCAGGGCCAGTGCAATGTCATTGAAGCTTCTGATAAGGTCACACAGGAGGAGTTCCCCATAACGAGATGCTAATCAGAGGATATTTATAACCTTAAGTTTTCTAACTTTGACTTAAAAGAACTCAGGCTTTCAGAACTTTTCCAGTCTACTGGGAGTTTGTTCCAGATCAGTGGAGCATAGGAAATAAATTCTGCATCTCCATGTTTGGTTCTAGTTCTCTATTTAACGTGTTGATTAGGGCTGCAACAACGAATCGATAAAATCGATAAAAATCGACTTTTAAAAGCGTTGGCAACGAATTTCATCATCGATTAGTTGTGTCGCGCGATTATTGCGTCATCCGCCGTGCCGTCATCACTGCCTCTTGACTGACTGCAGGTGCAGTGTTGCCAACTCAGCGATTTTTCAGACCCCTCCAGCGACTATTTTTCAAAAAAGCGACTAGCGACAAATCTGGCGACTTTTTTCCGGTGTCACTGGCGGCTTTTGGAGACTCTTACGTGAAAGCATGCATCGTTCCTACTCTGCCGTGGGGCGCCTCCCCCACCCCAACCGCGTTTTCCCGCAGGAGTCCCTCTCAGCGCTGCAGTCAGAGCCTCAGCGTCCAGACTGCAAATGAAGCGCGCATGCACCGGGATTGACGGCGCAAATTGATCACAATAATTAAAATAGCCTGCGCTTTGTAAAGCGAAAAAAGTGATAACATGCAACTTTTTTCAAAAGAAATTAACATGGAACGGAACCACCATGTTTGTTTGGTTTTAAAGTGGGGAAACGTTACGTTAGTTTCTCAGGTAGCTCATCTGATGCTTTCCTTACCGTGTTAGTAGGTTACAGACAGTGATAAGGTTGGCTACTTATTTTACTTTTAATTTCATTTGAATTGGCTTAAGCAGCGTTTATATTTACTTTATAAATAAATTAACTTGCAAATTATGAGGGCAAGGCTTTTAAAGTTTAAATCTTCTGGCAAAGTTAAAGTAAAGAAGATCCTGCAATTTATGGAAGTAAACCAGAATAAAAATCCAGCAAGATCAGTAATATGTCAATTAATTATCTGCCACATTCCCATGTAAATATCTGTCTTTGGAGGATGTGTTTTTTAGCACCCCTAGTTCTCTCATTTTTATTCCAAATACAATTTATAATTTGAATCACAGGGCTATTTTTATCTCTATGGTTCAGTATTTTCTCAAGTAGCAACTTTAACTGCTATACTTTCCTGTCTTAAAAGGCAGAACTATTCTAGTCTAAAAAAACTAATTTGTTGAAATCGGGGGACCTATTGTTTGAACACCTTAGGGGCTTTTAAAAACAAAAATGTCTTTTTTTGCGCTTTATGAAACAAAGTAGCCTATATTTTGTGGATGTACAGCTACATTTCTCATGTAAGTTTGCGTAGTTTTAACACAAACATTTATTTTTCATATTGCACCAGTACAGTTAACGAGCAACCTGTACTTGTGTGCTTGTTTGTTCTGTCTAAAATGTTTATTTTGGAATAAAGAGGTTAATATAAAAAATATTTTTTGTCCGATTCATCGATTAATCGAAAAAATAATCGTCCTATTCATCAATTTTTAAAATAATCGTTAGTTGCAGCCCTAGTGTTGATACACTCACCACACACCTGTTATGTATTCAGTGATTTATAGACTAACAGAAGGATTTTAAATACTGAGCTACAGTGATGGTGATGGCTGTTTCCAGTCCTCAGGTTGGCTTTGTAGCTATGATTCCTTGGTTGTCCTTGAGCTTCCTAAACAGTTTACGCTCTACAATTTGGACCTTTTTCCACATTCTTGTTATTGATAAAAATATGTAATTGAATTACATTTGTTACGTTTGTTTTTTTTGCAGTTGCGGACATAGGTTTACTGACTTGTGAAGCAGTTACCACCTTAAGGCAGGTTTATGCTCAGAAACCAGGTTTTCTGCGTATGCAGTGCAGACGCAGTGAGCGCAAATATGTCTCCGCTCCTTCTGCAGACACTCTGCTGCACATCTTCCAAACTGTAGGTGACTGCAGACAGTGCCGCAGACAGGTGGCCTCTGATTGGTCAAATCTACATCCGCTCTACAATATTCATATTTCCTGTTTGGTACCTTATAGGCTTGTTTTGTTTATTTGTGGAAAACGACTCGTGAAGATGGACCAGCTAGATGAGTAAGGTGCAGGAGAACGCTGGGACCATTTTTCAACCTAAATTCCCGCTCTTTTTCGCCCTCTTGTCCCTCCGTTGTCGCACAAACTTGCCCCCACTTCCTCACCACCTCAGCCATATCTAGACCCACAGCTAGTTCCTGATTGTCCCTCTTGCATGGTGGCGTGGAATAACATAGAGCAGACCACGCTTCAATATTGGGCATAAATCAAAAATATCTGCAACAAGCTCACTGCGACACACTGCTGCGGGAGGATAACGTTGGGTTACTTAACGTAATCCCTGGTTCTTTGATAACAGAGTGAGGTGTTTCACTATGGGAATCGCCTTGGCGTGACCAACTACGGAAGCTCCAATGACATCACGTCTGTCTGAGACAGACAGGTTGAGCCGTGTCCGTGGCTCCACCCACCAGCTAGATCACGGCCAACCTACCCGCCTCAACTCATTCTAGGCAGGTTTCTTTCCGTGCCCATGCAAGAAGGGATGTGTTGGTGAAACACCTCACTCTGTTATCAAAGAACCAGGGATTACGTTAAGTAACCCAACGTTCTTTTTCTAACTTCGCTCGGTGTTTCACTATGGGAGATATGGCCCACTCCCGGATTGCATGATGATCCCGAAGCCATATATGATAGGAATCACAACCCAGGTCTCAGTTGGACCCTAACATCCCTACTCCAAGCACTGAGTGTGCTAGCGATGGCCGGGCCACATCCAGCCTGTAAAACCTCACAAATGTGTGCGGCGTAGCCCAACTGGCTGCAGCACAGATGTCCTGAACTGACACACCACGGAACAAAGCCCAAGAGGTGGCCATGCTTCTGGTAGAATGGGCCCTCACCCCTTTAGGGGGCTCTGATCCTGCGCACCTATATGCCAGAGATATAGCCTCCACAACCCAGTGTGCTAATCTTTGGCGGGAGACAGGTTTGCCCTTATGAGCAGTAGCCCAGGATACAAACAGAGGGTCAGCTCTTCTAAAACAGGCTGTCCTGTCCACATAAGCTCTTAAAGCTCTCACTGGACATAAGCAATGAAGCTTCTGCTCATCTGCTGAAGAGAAAGGGGGTGGATGGAATGCCAGCAATTCCACCATCGAACACCTATATGCTGAATCCAACACCTTCGGCACAAAAGCCGGGTTGGGTCTCAAGCACACCTTAGAGAGCCCGGATGCCCACTGTAAACAGGCCGGACTAACTGAAAGTGCATGCAACTCACTCACCCTCTTAGCCGTAGCCAACGCTAAGAGCAGGGCAGTTTTCAATGAAAGGAACTTTAAGCCAACACCCTCCAAAGGTTCAAATGGGTGATGACAGAGGGCATCCAACACCAGAGAGAGATCCCATAATGGCACCAGAGGCTTAGAAACTGGTAACTTACGTCGGGCCCCTCTCATAAAACGACACACTAAGGGGTGCTTCCCCACAGGTTTATCACCAAACCCTACATGACAAGCAGAGATTGCGGCTAAATAAACCTTAATTGTTGAAAAAGCCTTACCCTTCTCCAACAAGCTCTGCAGAAAGCAGAGCACGTCCCCCACTGAACACTGAAAAGGAACGGTCTGTTTTTCCTCACACCATTCCTCAAACACTCGCCATTTACCACTGTAAAGATAGCGAGTAGAAGAAGCCCTAGCATTCTGTATGGTGTCGATCACCTCTGGGGGGAGGCCTGTTGCATTTAAATTCCACCTTTCACGGGCCAGGCCCAGAGAGCCAGGTGATCTGGGTGTGGATGATAAATCTCCCCTTGAGCCTGAGACAGCAGGTCCCTTCGAACGGGGAGGGGCCATGGTTCGGCTGACAGGACTTGGATTATCTCTGCCACCCAGGGCTTCGATGGCCACCAGGGAGCCACCAGAATCAAAGACAGCCCCTGTTCCCTCACTCTGACTAGAGTTGGGGATATCAGGCTGAGAGGAGGGAAAGCATAAAGCAACGCGTCTGGCCATGGGTGCGCCAGCGCATCCATACCCAGTGGAGCGTCTGGGTCTGACAGGGAGAAAAACAGCGGGCAATGAGTGTTTTCCCATGAGGCGAAGAGATCTACGGCAGCCCGTCCGTATCTCTGCCAGATCTGCTCCACCACCTGTGGATGCAGCTTCCATTCCCCATAGAGAGGGTTCCCTCTGGATAAAAGATCGGCCCCTCTGTTCAGAATTCCCGCTACGTGCGTTGCTCTGAGCGACAGAACTCTGGTGCTGCTCCACATAATTATGTCCCTGGCCAGTCTGTGTAACTGCAGGGACCTGGTGCCGCCCTGACGGTTGATATAAGCCACCACAGTGGAGTTGTCGGTCTTTACCAAGACGTGGCGACCCATCACATATGGCATGAAGTGCTTCAGAGCTAGGAACACTGCGTGCAGTTCCAGCATGTTGATGTGAAGCCGCCTCATTCTCGGCGACCATATGCCATTCACCGCTCTGCCCAGCATAGTTGCGCCCCAACCTGTCAGGGAAGCATCGGTTGTCATGGTAACCCTGGATGCTACGGTCCCCAGCGGGACGCCCGACGTGAGAACCGTCGGGTCTCTCCAGGGCTGAAGAGCCGCCACGCATGTCTGTGTCACTTTTACTCTGCGGCACAGATGACGGCGGGGACAGAGTCGCAGCGAGGCGACCCACCGCTGAAAGTCCCTCATCATCAGAAGCTCCAGATGGACCACTGAAATCACGGATGCCATAAGACCGAGGAGCCGCAGGCACAGTCTGAATGTAACGACGTTTCCCAACTGAAAACGCGTCATGCACTGGCTGAATGACAGGATTCTCCCCTCTGATAGTGTGACACGATAAGAGAGGGAGTTTATTTTGAGACCCAAATACTCCGTGAATGTATATCTGCGTAAGTGTCCAGATCCAGAATGGGGCGTAGTGATACGCCGTCTTTCTTTGGAATGAGAAAATAGCGCGAATAGAAGCCCTGGCGAACCTCCTCGTCCGGTACAACTCTGATCGCTTTTTTCTCTAACAGGGATGCTATTTCGTCTTTCAGGACGTGAGCTGAATCCCCGGTGGCAACCGAGGAGAGCACTCCGTTGAATCTCGGAGGTCTCGTGGCAAACTGCAGTCTGTAACCCTTGGAGATTGTATGCAAAACCCATGGAGAGACAGCGCATGCGCGCCACTGATCTGCCCGAGCAGAGAGAGGAGAAGCGTCGCTGCTGAGTGACGTCATCCCCTCTGCACTGCTGCGCTCGGCTCTGTTGTAAAGAGCGCGAGCTCCCTCTGCTGGGCGCAGAGGGGAGTGGCAGAGAGCCATTTGTGTTATTTTTTTTCTTTTTTGTGGGGGGCTTTCTGCTCTTGGCAACATGCCTGGCTGCAGAAAAGCTGTATTTATTTTCTCTAATTCCCCCTGAACAACACTTTGTAACATGGGGCACAGCTGAGTGCTTGGTGACACTGATAACGTGCTGTGGAGTGTTTTGTGACACTGTGTCCTCCACCCCAAAATGTCTTCTCTCTGAACGTGAGAGGGAGAATTTAACATGCCTCCTGGTGAACTGGGAACTACAGGAGCATCTGAATGCTGGACAGAGAAGTTTGCCCTGGTGCCTGGAAACCTTCTCTTCAGAGGGGAGATGGTTAACAGTGGGGTTAGGTTGCCCGCTTTTTCTTGCTCTCCCCAGGGTGGGATGGACGATTTTTTGCAGCGGCCGCTGCAAAAGAGTGCTTCCCCCATGGTCTTGGGTTCTCCGCTTTGCTTTGCTGGGTGGATTGTGTGGCAGGTCTCCTGGAAGGCTTGGCTCCACCTTGCCGTACTCTCACTGCAGCAGCCGCAAACCCAGGTCTGGGTCCCTGTGGGGGGGTTTGGCTGGGCTTACGAGGCAAACAAAGGTTAAAAGCCTCTCCCTCCTGTTTTCTGAGGTTACTCGTCTCCCTCATCTTCTCCAAGGAGGGGCCAAATAGACCTTTTGTCGGGTCATAGGGCGCATCCATGATCTCGGCCTTCTGGGAATCACTCAGGCCTGACAGGTTTAACCATAGGCCTCTTTCCCCTGAGACAGCCAGACCCATGACCCGACCACAACCTTGAACAGCACCTCTAGAAGAGCGCAAGATGAGATCGTTCACCACACAGATCTCATCCCATAGACTGGGGTTAGGTGTCCCCGAGTCCAGTTGGCGCCCCATCTCCTCCAAGATTTCACCTTGGTACGCAGACAGCAGTGTAACCGCGTTAAGTGAGCACACTGACTGACCCGCATATCTGTACATCCTTTGGTAAATGGAGGCTGTGAGGCGGTCCATTTTACCTGGGAGCGAGATGAGGATGCTGAAACCGATCTGCGGTTAGGGTGGAGGTGGTAAGCCACTGAAGGCTCTACAGCTGGGGGTTCGGCCAGCCCCAGCTCACCCATGCCCTGTATCTCCAGCTTAGAGAAGCCCTTGGTGGGAAGCTTACTCTTAAATGGGCTGGACCAGAAACGGCTCATTTCTTTCATGCAAGCGGGAACGGCTGGTAAAAGTTGCTTTGCTGGTGGTAAAGCTGGTGGAAGCCTTTTACCGTCGTACAGGTCCTGTTCTGCTCCTTCTGAATCCTGCGCTGCAGGCCAGGGGATGTTCAGCTTTAAAGCCGCCCGTCTGCACACATCGTACAGATCACTATCCCCCGGGGAGGTGACTTCTGCCCCGCTTGGAGGCCTGGAGTGATGACCCGGGAAGGTCGAGTCCTCCTCCTCCTCCTCCATGTCCTCCAGTTCCAGGAGGTCGGAGTTAGCGTCACCCTCCGTTTCGTCGATGTCTGCCTCGAGTTTCCCACTGTCCATAAGGCCCTCAAACAGAGGAGGCATGGACGGGTACTCCTCTTCCATCACGTCCGCCCAGCTCTTAGAGGCTAGCGGCGGATGGTTTTCACCCGCCGCCGCAACGGCTGCAGGTGAGGAGAAGCAAGGGTCCTGGCTGTTAGCGACAGCCACCCTAAGCCGCCTCTCCAGGATCCTTTCCGGCATCGACGCGCAGTGCTGGCATCCCTGAGGGTCCGCCAGCGATGCCTGAGCGTGCTTAGCGCCCATACATGCTATACACATCGGATGAGGGTCCCGCCCAGAGATAGATGCCCCACATGACGCTGGACACGGGCGGGATACAACCTCTTTAGCCTTCGGTTCCGAACCTTTGGCAGAGGTAGGAGCCACAGACATGACTGTGGTTAAACACGGAGCTCGTCGCTACACGTTAGCTCTTTACTGATATAAAGTCCGTTCGCCACAACACGTTAACCGGACTCTTATGCTAGCGATACACTGCTAGCCAAAAACCAAGCCCACCTTTACGTGTTAGCTCGGCTGACACAAGCGCTCTCTATTCCGTTAATTAAAACGGAGTAGATACAGGGACAGCTCGCCTTTACACGGTCACCGCTCCCAGCGTTTGTGTTCCAGAAAGTGCATCTGCCGAAGCGCTTACTCAGCACGGTACAGGCCTGTCCTGGTCCTGCGTTCAGCGACGTTTTCCTTTACGGAACGCCTGAGAACAGTTAAACAGGTCCAAGCTAACCTGAGCGCGCTGAGGGAGCTTAGTTGTAGTCTTCACACGGGAAGAAAGCGAGAATGAGTTGAGGCGGGTAGGTTGGCCGTGATCTAGCTGGTGGGTGGAGCCACGGACACGGCTCAACCTGTCTGTCTCAGACAGACGTGATGTCATTGGAGCTTCCGTAGTTGGTCACGCCAAGGCGATTCCCATAGTGAAACACCGAGCGAAGTTAGAAAAAGAACCAGTCCTTCAGGTCCCCTCGAGTTCCTAAACTCCCAATCATTGAGAAAAGTGGTGATCTTTTTAAAGGCTGTGTTGTGAGCTGTCGGCATTGTTTTCCTTGGGGCGTAGACGCACTGACCTGCTAGTGGGGGAATTTTGTCCCCAATTAAACTCTTTGTCTCTCTGTCTCCTTACTGAATGGCTCCAGGTAAGACTGTGTGACCATGGAAACATCATGAAGATCCATGTCAGCAACCTGCGCCCTCTTCCACCCTCTTTGATCGGCTCCCTGGTGCTGGAGTGCACGCTCAGTGATATCAGGTTGGTTTTAGAGAAATGCCATGAAATACTCTCTCCATTACTTTTTAAAACAGAATGAAGGATGTCGGTTCTGATTTATGATAACGACGTGTTGGAAGGCTTGTATAATATAAAGCAGGGTTTCTTAACCCTGGTCCTCAGGTCCCACGGTCCTACATGATTTAGGTCTTTCCCTTCCTCCTCACACCTGACCTGTATGAAAAGGTGATTAATAGGCTTTTACAGCATTAGATGGCTGCTGAGGAGGTAATGCAGTCATCTGAATTAGGTGTGTTTGAGTAGAGACACATCTTAACTAGAAGTACGGTGGGCCCTGAGGACCAGGGTTAAAAAACCCTGATCTAAAGCAACAACAGAGGCTTCTGAATTGTTTCACGTTGGTTGACAGATTAAGAAACATGAACTATTTGCCTTTTATCATTAACATGGCAGCTGTAGCAAACACATACCAGCTTAACCTGCACAACCACATTGCGACTAATAAGACACAGATGTGCTGTAGATAAACATAAGGGATTGGAGTTGAATTGGTTTCATATGAGCTGAGCCAAAGTGCAAATGGCTTTACCATCCAAACAGCGTACTCAAGCCTTTTTATCAGCAGACTTTAATTCCTGTTCAGATCTCTGAGTGTTTTTTTTCTTCCTGTTTTCTTGCTTCCTTATGTTTTTTCCCTATTTCCTTGATTCTGCTCTCTTCATTACATTGATTTATGTTTATTTGTTCTGCCTGTTCTTCTCTCCTTTGAGGCCCCATCCACACAAAGTCAAAACGAACACAAAATGCTAATATTTTCCAGAACGTTTGTCTTAAAGACGGAGACGTAAAATAAATGTGATCGACCACATGAATGCATGAAAACGCTGCAAAATGTATGCCAGGCCTGTAAGTGGCACTGTGGTGCCAAAGCAAAAATAGGTGAAAACAGGCAACAAAATGTTGGGCATGCGCAGTAATATTTATATAACAACCAAACCGGAAAACCCCTAGAAGAAGAGCCAAATCGAAAAGATGGCGGCAAGTACAGTACGAATGGGCGAACATGTACAAGTCTGGTTTGGACAGATGATGAAGTGGAACTGCTGCTTCGAGTTACACTTGATTATAAAGTGTTGTAAGCCCGACAGCAGGGTGAGTAGCATGAGCAGCAACCATTAAACACAGTACGGCGCCATTGTTGTTGTGATACTGTGTCGTGCATGCGTGTTTAGAGGCGACGCTATGACGCATGTGTGTAAGAAAAAAATTGCGGTCAGAGCTTAAAGACGGAAACGCGAAAACGGCGTTTCAAAATCTTCCCACTCTGAAGGCTGAATAAAAAAAAGATCGTTTACAGACCCCCGAAACGCCGGCTTCGTATAGATGAGAGGCTGGTTTGGTGAAAAATTAGTGAATTTAGGCCAGGGTTTGACTTCGTGTGGACGGGGCCTGAGTATCCTGGCGTCTCATCCTCCAGCTTTGCTTTATTCATTGGCTCTGTTCGAATTTACGGGCTGCGTCTTCCAAGGACCCGGTTTACCTGGACTAGATCCTTTGACGTCCTTGAAAATAAGGAGACTGGAAGAGTTCGTCGGCTTTTGGCGATTTATATATATATATATATATATATATTTATTGTAAAGTGAGCAAAGGCTACAATTATGATAATACAGAGTGGACTAAAGGTGACAAACACCAGGAGCATGAACAAATAAAAGCAAATTTAATTATATAAACCTCAGTTAGTTAAATAACATGCTGCTGTCATTTTGCACATCTCTGCTGATACTGCCATTTTCAAATATCCATTACTGTAAAAATGTCCATAGCTGCAGATTGGTTATTTATTCTCCAGGTGCACAGTTTTATATTGTTAAAACAGCTTACAGTACAGTATTTTATTGTTTATATTTTAACTCTTCGCTATTATGTTATTCTTATACATTTTCCAAGGTCCACATTTGAGTGACTCTTATCAGTAATTTTTCTGCTGCTGTAAATTTTCCCATTGTGAGACAAAGAGATTTGTATTTTATTCTATTCTATAAAAGGGGTAGAAAGGTATAAGTAAATCTATGCATGTATAAAAAAAATATATCTGCAAAATCTCTTATATTCAACAACAAAAAATACTTAGTTAAACAAATTGTGCAATAAAAAAAAAAATTCTATCAGATTTATAGTCCCCACACTGCAGGTATATTAGAATCTGTCCTTAAATTACAGTCAAACTCATTTACACAGTAACAGATAAAAACCTTTAGATAAATCAAACATTACCGCCACATATCTGACTCAATAACCATTAAAACAACTATTTTCATTCTTATTCAGACGGAACTATTCAGATACTTGGATTATATTAAACTGAACTTCCAATATTCACCACTCTTCGGCGTTAAGTAACCTTTCCTCTGATCATGAAGCAGCCGGCTTGCTTTTTCTCGCAATGAATCCTGCGATATCCAAGGAGACCGAGGACACATCCGACCCGTCCTTCAAATCAGGCAAAAAGAAGGATGCGTTTTAAGGCCGCATAATGAGGAGTTTTTGAATCCGACCAGACCTTGGCGCCGCGCTACGACGTGATCGGCCTTCGGAGGACGCAGCCCATAAATTCAAACTGAGGCGTTGTTTTCCTTCCTCCTCTCCTTCTTTTTCTTCATCTACTTCCTCCCCTTCCTAGATTGTGAAAAAGTAATCTAAAAATAAGTGAAGTGTGTTTTTGCTTCTCATCTCATCAAAGATCATTTTTGCCTCCTAAAGGAAATTAACTACGTTTTTTTTTTTTCTTCCTCCCCTTCCTTGCCTCCATTTTTGTTCTACCTTCCCTTTATTGGCCTACCAACCTTCCTTCGGTCTCTCCTTTACTCAAAGTTACCATTCTTTGAATTAAAAATGTTTTGGGACCAGAACCACATATAACCAGTTTAAAAACATTTTTAAAAAGCCAGAGACGATAAAGGACTCTAATCTCAGTACATATTGGGGTAAATTTTTTTATTACAGTTCACTCATGGTTGAAACTAAAGATGTCCTTTTTTAAATGCATTCGGTTTATTTTAAAGTATACTTTAAAACCTTAAGTGGGAAAAGAAATTAAATATCTTTTTCAACATTAAGATGTTTTCCATCGGTTTCTTTTCTAGACCAACAGGAGGCCAATCAACCTGGACTAAAACGGCCTGCGATGTGTTCTCCACCTACCTGGCAGGAACTGTGGCTACTATGACAATCAAGGTAATTTTTATTCTTACGGTAAAATGACTCTTGATCCAATATTGTAATGTAAAAAACTGTAAATCTCTTTATTGTCCCACAATGGGGAAATTCATTCTCTGCATTTGACCCTCCCCTTGGGGAGCAATGGGCTGCCATTGTGAGGCGCCCGGGGAGAAGTTAGGGGTTTTTGCTCAGGGAGGCTGTGGGGATCGAACCGGGTTCTTGCAACATTCTCAGAGCACAAGCGCAATTCTCTAATCACTACGCCAACACTCCCCTGCAATATTCCATCAGATGTTTTTTAATGGCTTGAATTCACAGCATCTGTCCTCCTATGTGCTTTTTTTAGGAGGTGAAGGATGGGCCTCCGTTCTCTGTCGAGCTGCACTGCTCCAATAGAACTGGAAAATCTATCAGCATTGCCGACTTCCTGGTCAGCGAAGGCCTCGCCATGAAAGAAAGAAAGCCAAGGTTTGTGTGTTTCACACGTTTTAGAAGTCCCTTGGTTATCATGAAAGACAGATATCCAAACACATCCTCTTTTTTTGCCAGCTTTAAAGGAATAGTACACCCAAAACATGATTAGCCTTCATTTTCTACTCACCCCCATGCTGAACAACACTCTGGAGTACTTTTTTGATATCTCAAATGCATCTGGAGATCTGGGAGGCTTCTTGCTGTCTGCTGACATTCAAATAATGGAGGTCTATGGTGCCCGAGGCAGAAAGGTCCATAAAAGTCCACAAAAAACGTTTCAATATTCCTCCATACTGCTCGTCCAATGTATTCCAAGTGTCCTGAGTGGGTAGCATCCAGAATTTACTCGAAACAAAGTCATTTAGAATGTTTTTAGAGCATAAACAGTAGTGTATAGGATTTCCTAAAAGCACGCGCCTGCGAGTTCACGACTCTACGGAAACCGCGGCAGACCAAACCAGATGAAAGTGCGCATTCAGCGTCTGCTCTGCCGATAATGCAAGTGTAGAAGAAGAAATGTGCTGTTTACCTGTGCAAAGAAAGAAACAACGAAAGAAAAATGTCTGAGGACTTCAGTGTTGAGGAAGAGCATGAGTTCTTTGCCGAGCTGAATGCGCACTTTCGTCTGGGTTGGTCTGCCGCGGTTTCCATAGCGTCGTGAACTCGCAGGCGCGCGCTTTTAGGAAATCCTATACGCTATTGTTTAGGCTCCAAAACATTCTAAATGACTTCGTTTCAAGTAAATTCTGGACGCTACCCACTCAGGACACTTGGAATACATTGGACGAGCAGTATGGAGGAATATTGACACGTTTTTTGTGGACTTTTATGGACCTTTCTGTCTCGGGCACCATAGACCTCCATTATTTGAATGTCAGCAGACAGCAAGAAGCCTCCCAGATCTCCAGATGCATTTGAGATATCAAAAAAGTACTCCAGAGTGTTGTTCAGCATGGGGGTGAGTAGAAAATGAAGGTTAATCATGTTTTGGGTGTACTATTCCTTTAAGAAAGACTATGCTGGTCGCAGAGTTTGAATGTACTCCTGGATTTTTTTTTTGCAGGGTTGCAGTGCAGGAAAAACCAAAAGAAACTGATGCCAGAACACCAGCCAGTGACCCAAAAACTGAGAAAAAGGAAGAAAACAACTCTCCTCCTCCATCTGGTTCCCATCTTTCTACATTTATCCCCTTCAGGCCTGCAAAGCTGCTCCAAAGCTTCAATATATCCACAGAAAAGGTGATCATTCAGAAAGAAACACACATTGCTGCCCCATATATACAATAAGGGAGGTTTATTACGTTTTCTATATTGAAATTACCACCTTTGATTATTGCTTCCATTAAATCGTTGTTTTTAACAGACATTTGTGGATATTTCTAACTCTTAATTACCTGTAAAAGCGAGGAATAATAAACAGCAGAGCCGCAGGTGATCAGAAGTGTAATAATTAGGGTTGTATTGTGTGTGTGGTTGCGTGTGCAGGTGAAGACCTCAGTGTATAACCCTCCGGAGCTGCCGCGTCCGGGTCACATCCTCGTCAGCATTTCTGCTGTTGGAGACGATGGTCTAATATATGCCAGGACACAGAACGCAGGTAAACAAAATGGAGATCAAGGGTGTCATAAACTCATCCCTTTAAAACGACACGTATGTGGTCATTTAAACCAGTTAGTCAAACTTAATTAATACATCTTTTTTTTTTATATAAATTATTTGTATTGAACCTATCAACGGGTTGGTTAAGGTGCTGTTGGAGATCTTGAAAAAAACGGTTCCAGCAAGCTTTATTTTTGAACCGCCCCTCGAAACCATGCCTTCAAAACACATGAACGTGCACGCTGTCTGCAGCGCGTCTAGAACAGCTGAAGCAGCGCTGATGATGCAGAGTGTAATGATCACCCCTATGAAACAGTTTAACAGCTAAATTAACCTAAAATACAGAAATCTGCCTTCAAAACATTTTTACTTTTATTATACTGGTGCCTGCAGTATGGATTATGTACATGAAAAACGCCTTTCAGCCACCACAGCAAACCGCAAAGAGGCGACTGGGCCATAGGCTGCTGTTGAACGGGATCCTTGTGACAGCGCACTGCCAGTGTAGGGGGGTCTGAGCGGCTTTGACAGAAATAATATTTGAAGGCAGGATGGTAATCTGGATGAATTGACTGCACTGATGATGTTTTCAGGTGGACTTTCTCACTTCAAAATGGATTCAAACTACTTTTTACCCACTGATCACAGCAAATATAGCTGCCATTGTTACAGGCAAAGAAAGGATCGGGTAGCTCCACCCAATGTACAGGTGCTGGTCATAAAATTAGAATATCATGAAAAAGTAGATTGATTTCAGTAATTCCATTTAAAAAGTGAAACTTGTATATTATATTCATACATTACATACAAACTCATATATTTCAGATGTTTATTTTGTTTAATTTTGATGATTACAAATGACAACAAATGAAAATCTCAAATTCATCATATCAGAAAATTAGAATATTGTGAAAAGGTTCAAAATTGATGGCCCCTGGTGCCACACTCTAATCAGCTAATTAACTCAAACCACCTGCAAAAGCCTTTAAATGGTCTTTCAGTCTAGTTCTATAGGCTACACAATCATGGGGAAGACTGCTGACTTGACAGTTGTCCAAAAGACGACCATCGACACCTTGCACAAGGAGGGCAAGACACAAAAGGTCATCGCTAAAGAGGCTGGCTGTTCACAGAGCTCAGTGTCCAAGCACATTAATAGAGAGGCGAAGGGAAGGAAACGATGTGGTCGAAAAAAGTGTACAAGCAAGAGAGATAACCGCACCCTGGAGAGGATTGTGAAACAAAACCCATTCAAAAATGTGGGGGAGATTCACAAAGAGTGGACTGCAGCTGGAGTGAGTGCTTCAAGAACCACCACACACAGACGTATGAAAGACTTGGGTTTCTGCTGTCGCATTCCTTGTGTCAAGCCACTCTTGAACCACAGACAGCGTCAGAAGCGTCTTGCCTGGGCTAAAGAGAAACAGGACTGGACTGCTGGTGAGTGGTCCAAAGTCATGTTCTCTGATGAAAGTAAATTTTGCATTTCCTTTGGAAATCAAGGTCCCAGAGTCTGGAGGAAAAGAAGAGAGGCACTTCATCCACGTTGCTTGAAGTCCAGTGTAAAGTTTCCACAGTCAGTGATGGTTTGGGGTGCCATGTCATCTGCTGGTGTTGGTCCATTGTGTTTTCTGAGGTCCAGGGTCAACGCAGCCACATACCAGGAAGTTTTAGAGCACTTCATGCTTCCTGCAGCTGACCAACTTTTTGGAGATGCAGATTTCATTTTCCAACAGGACTTGGCACCTGCACACAGTGCCAAAGCTACCAGTACCTGGTTGAAGGACCATGGTATCCCTGTTCTTAATTGGCCAGCAAACTCTCCTGACCTTAACCCCATAGAAAATCTATGGGGTATTGTGAAGAAGAAGATGCAATACACCAGACCCAACAATTCAGAAGAGCTAAAAGCCACTATTAGAGCAACCTGGGCTATCATAACACCTGAGCAGTGCCACAGACTGATCGACTCCATGCCACGCCGCATTGCTGCAGTAATACAGGCCAAAGGAGGCCCAACTAAATACTGAGTGCTGTACATGCTCATACTTTTCATGTTCATACTTTTCAGTTGGCCAACATTTCTATATATCCTTTGTTTTTATTGGTCTTCAGTAATATTCTAATTTTCTGATATGATGAATTTGAGATTTTCATTTGTTGTCATTTGTAATCATCAAAATTAAACAAAATAAACATCTGAAATATATGAGTTTGTATGTAATGTATGAATATAATATACAAGTTTCACTTTTTAAATGGAATTACTGAAATCAATCTACTTTTTCATGATATTCTAATTTTATGACCAGCACCTGTACATAAGACCCATTTTTTCCACCGCACAGCCAGAGCAGTAACCGGGATTTGGTCGACTACAGTGCAGCACATAGTCGAAACAGGGAGCCAGCCGGGGACGGAGCGACTGAACCCGGTGACGGTAGCCTGGACACCTGCGTCCCCATGCTTCCCCCCGCTTGCCTTACAGGTCCCCAGCCCTGGTCCCCAGCCCCCCTCCTCCGGCTCAGGAAGGGCGAATCACATCTGTCTTTGCTGAGGTCCGGTCCAGTAAGCGGCCCAGCAGTCGACACTACTACCCACCCCACCCCCACCCACCCCAAAAAAGGGGTCCTCCTTTTCAAAAACCCAAATCTGGTCAACCTCGCCGCACATCAGACCTAAACTTGTAGAAGCATCAGAAATGAAGCAGCAGGCATGTTTTTGCTGCTCTTGCTGCTTTAGGTGTGAACTTGGCATTGGGGGGTTGATTCTTTCATGTGTCATGGTACGCGCCCAGGGGGGTAAGGAGAAGCAGACGATCCTGATTGACTTGTCAGGAACCAATAGTGGACCACGGACCGTGTTTTGTGATTGGTGGGGGTTATTTATTGATTTTTCACTGTAGCAGGAACCATTTATTTTAGTTTCACTTCCAGACCTTCTATTTCACTGCTTGCTAAGCGCCTGTGGGGAGATCTTTAAGCCACATGCTAAAAAATGTGTCAGAAAATATCTACTGCACCTTAAAGTTAATGATCCATCTAGTCCACATAAGCAAAGAGATCAAGCTGCAGAGGTCCATCAGATGGGTGATAAAATTTAATTAAACAGGCAACCAGGGTCTGTAAAACAGGGTTGAAGCTACCTGGATTACGTTCCTTTTTACTTTTCCTTCAAACTCTTAAGACAAAAGTCTTTACTTTCATCTGAAAAGAGGACTTTTGTCTACTAATTAAGGGTTATCTTCTCTTTAGTCCCGGTGTGTCTGGTTCTCCTTTAGATAGAGCCTCTTGATGCTCCGTATCCAGCCTCCATCAACCACAGACCACTTTATCTCCTTTATTGGAGAACCTCTTCCTTTCAGCTAATTTTCTCTAAATATGTTAGAATTTCTAACATATTTCTCACAGTAGACTAACATTACCTCACACCTAATTCTGGATCTCTAAGCATAATCAGGTTTAAACTAATAGATAAGTTAGTGATCATGGAGATCCCAGAAATAGGCTGCTCTGCCAAATGGGACACAGTTGTTTTATTATCCCATCTGTTTTTTTGTTTTTGTTAGAGAATCAGCTCAAACAACTTAGGGATGGAATTCAGAAGAGCATCAAGACTTTGCCCAAGCAGAAGTCATACACCTGGAAATCAGTGAAGGGCTGTGCTGTCTTTGGATCTGACATGCTGTGGTACAGAGGACAGCTGCTGGAGCTGCTGGGAGGACACGTTAAGGTCAGGACTGTTTCAACAGAAGGAGTAGAGCTACTGCTGTTAACCGTTTCTTGCAGATTCAATAGGCAGTGATTGGAAAAAAGGAAACAAAAAATGAACAAAATATTAGAGATGTTTCTAAGATGCTATCAAGTATTGGAAAATCCATCTCTATTCAATGAAAATCGGCACAGGAATGTCCCAAACACAACTATGGGCGTTCAAGTTGGATGTAGAGCAACACAAGCTAGTTTCTGTAAAGCTAAACATTATAAATGTGCATAAAACTGTGTGAATATTCTGCTAATTTCAAAAATGTAACAGTTGCTCAATTGTGCTATGTGCATTAAAGGTGTAGTGGAGGATTTTTGCGAATTTTTGAAAGACCCATAATGATGTTTGTGTGAACAGGTCCAGTATGTCGACTCCGGTGCTGTGGAGAACATCCCAGTGGTGCATGTGTATCCCATGCTGCTGTGTGTGGAGGTTCCTCAGCTCTGCGTGCCCTGTCAGCTCCTGGGCACCAATCCTGTGAGATATTCCTTTGTGTATTTGTTTCAACTTCATCTATTTACTTGATTTAAATCTTAAATTTTGTTTTTTTGTTTGTTCCATGAACTGTTAGGTTGGTGGTAAATGGCACCACGATGGAGTAGCCTTGATGAAGGAGGTGTTGCTAAACCGCACTGTGGACCTGCAAGTTGTGGTAAAATACAAATGGGAATAAAACTGGAAAATTCATCAAAAGGCGATGAATGCATTATTTTAAATGCAAACAACTGCTTCCATATTTGATTCCATATTTGCCGATACTCACATTTATGTAGCCACAGATGCTTAATCTCATAAAGATGTAGTGATGAAATAAGCCACTGTTGAGGATCAGGAAGATGTGGATTGATTGTTATTGTTATAAAGGCGGTATTTAAAGGAATAGTACACCCAAAACATGATTAGCCTTCATTTTCTACTCACCCCCATGCTGAACAACACTCTGGAGTACTTTTTTGATATCTCAAATGCATCTGGAGATCTGGGAAGCTTCTTGCTGTCTGCTGACATTCAAATAATGGAGGTCTACAGGTGCTGGTCATAAAATTAGAATATCATGAAAAAGTAGATTGATTTCAGTAATTCCATTTAAAAAGTGAAACTTGTATATTATATTCATACATTACATACAAACTCATATATTTCAGATGTTTATTTTGTTTAATTTTGATGATTACAAATGACAACAAATGAAAATCTCAAATTCATCATATCAGAAAATTAGAATATTACTGAAGACCAATAAAAACAAAGGATTTATAGAAATGTTGGCCAACTGAAAAGTATGAACATGAAAAGTATGAGCATGTACAGCACTCAGTATTTAGTTGGGCCTCCTTTGGCCTGTATTACTGCAGCAATTCGGCGTGGCATGGAGTCGATCAGTCTGTGGCACTGCTCAGGTGTTATGATAGCCCAGGTTGCTCTAATAGTGGCTTTTAGCTCTTCTGAATTGTTGGGTCTGGTGTATTGCATCTTCTTCTTCACAATACCCCATAGATTTTCTATGGGGTTAAGGTCAGGAGAGTTTGCTGGCCAATTAAGAACAGGGATACCATGGTCCTTCAACCAGGTACTGGTAGCTTTGGCACTGTGTGCAGGTGCCAAGTCCTGTTGGAAAATGAAATCTGCATCTCCAAAAAGTTGGTCAGCTGCAGGAAGCATGAAGTGCTCTAAAACTTCCTGGTATGTGGCTGCGTTGACCCTGGACCTCAGAAAACACAATGGACCAACACCAGCAGATGACATGGCACCCCAAACCATCACTGACTGTGGAAACTTTACACTGGACTTCAAGCAACGTGGATGAAGTGCCTCTCTTCTTTTCCTCCAGACTCTGGGACCTTGATTTCCAAAGGAAATGCAAAATTTACTTTCATCAGAGAACATGACTTTGGACCACTCACCAGCAGTCCAGTCCTGTTTCTCTTTAGACGCTTCTGACGCTGTCTGTGGTTCAAGAGTGGCTTGACACAAGGAATGCGACAGCAGAAACCCATGTCTTTCATACGTCTGTGTGTGGTGGTTCTTGAAGCACTCACTCCAGCTGCAGTCCACTCTTTGTGAATCTCCCCCACATTTTTGAATGGGTTTTGTTTCACAATCCTCTCCAGGGTGTGGTTATCTCTCTTGCTTGTACACTTTTTTCGACCACATCTTTTCCTTCCCTTCGCCTCTCTATTAATGTGCTTGGACACTGAGCTCTGTGAACAGCCAGCCTCTTTAGCGATGACCTTTTGTGTCTTGCCCTCCTTGTGCAAGGTGTCGATGGTCGTCTTTTGGACAACTGTCAAGTCAGCAGTCTTCCCCATGATTGTGTAGCCTATAGAACTAGACTGAAAGACCATTTAAAGGCTTTTGCAGGTGGTTTGAGTTAATTAGCTGATTAGAGTGTGGTACCAGGGGCCATCAATTTTGAACCTTTTCACAATATTCTAATTTTCTGATATGATGAATTTGAGATTTTCATTTGTTGTCATTTGTAATCATCAAAATTAAACAAAATAAACATCTGAAATATATGAGTTTGTATGTAATGTATGAATATAATATACAAGTTTCACTTTTTAAATGGAATTACTGAAATCAATCTACTTTTTCATGATATTCTAATTTTATGACCAGCACCTGTATTGTGCCTGAGACAGAAAGGTCCATAAAAGTCCACAAAAAAACGTGTCAATATTCCTCCATACTGCTCGTCCAATGTATTCCAAGTGTCCTGAGTGGGTAGCATCCAGAATTTACTCGAAACGAAGTCATTTAGAATGTTTTTAGAGCATAAACAGTAGTGTATAGGATTTCCTGAAAGCGCGTTCACGACGCTACGGAAACCGCGGCAGACCAACCCAGACGAAAGTGCGCATTCAGCTCAGCAAAGAACTCATGCTCTTCCTCAACACTGAAGTCCTCAGACATTTTTCTTTCGTTGTTTCTTTCTTTGCACAGGTAAACAGCACATTTCTTCTTCTACGCTTGCATTATCGGCAGAGCAGACGCTGAATGCGCACTTTCATCTGGTTTGGTCTGCCGGCTTCCGTAGCATCGTGAACGCGCAGGCGCGCGCTTTCAGGAAATCCTATACACTACTGTTTATGCTCTAAAAACATTCTAAATGACTTCGTTTCGAGTAAATTCTGGATGCTACCCACTCAGGACACTTGGAATACATTGGACGAGCAGTATGGAGGAATATTGACACGTTTTATGTGGACTTTTATGGACCTTTCTGTCTCGGGCGCCATAGACCTCCATTATTTGAATGTCAGCAGACAGCAAGAAGCCTCCCAGATCTCCAGATGCATTTGAGATATCAAAAAAGTACTCCAGAGTGTTGTTCATTATGGGGGTGGGTAGAAAATGAAGGCTAATCATATTTTGGGTGAAATTTAATTACAATCATATGCCTCATATATACTAGCCCTCTGAAACTGCTCCGTTCTGAGTTTGGATCGAGCTTGGCTCTTACAACCATTTACACATCACACTAGCATGGGTCCTCCCCTCCTCTATGTGGTCCACGATACTGCAGCTCTCAAGGCGGGAATTACACAAACAAAAATGGCGGGCCAGGTCGCTCCACGCTCTTTTGATGCCATTTATTGTTAATAGGCTGAAGAAGTTCGTGTTGTGAACTAGGGGTGGAACGATTCACAAAATCCACGGTTCGGTTCGATTCACGGTTTCTGGTCACGGTTTTCGGTTCGATTCGATACATGTTGATTGTTACACCGAAATTCCATAAAAAAGTATGAAATTAATGAAAAAATCCCCCAAAAAATAATGGATTGTAATTATTTTAAATGATCCGCGGAAACCCTGGATCATTTCCGTATGTTTTGCTGCTTTGAATTTAATCATCTGGCACATGCTCTCTAACCTGACAACAGCCAGATGCAGGTCTCGCTCATGTCTCGCTCCGCCACATGCATCTGGCTGTTGTCAGGTTACATGCTCTCTACCATCTCCAAGGAACTCAGAGGGGATCGGACGAAGCCACAGCGGGGGCTGTAGGCTTTGCTTTGAGCAGTTGGTCTGGAGCGCAGCGGGGCGGAGCGGGGGTTGCTAACGGAGTATGAGGGATTTCGGGGTTAGCATGACATGTTGCTGTTAGCATAAACAAAACGTGTTGCACAATGCTTGCACACTGTTGCACTTTTATCCACAACTTTCTTTCCGTCGTCATCGTAGGTCACTCTAAATGCAAAGCGCTCCCATACAGCAGACCTATAAAGTGCTGCTGGCGCGTCTTCCAACTCCTGTTCTTTCCCACTCGCCAGTCCGACACAATTCTCCACAACAACTGATTTTTTTCCCCTGCTACACCCGGCTAAGCTGCTTCGCTTCTTCTTCTTCTTGTTTACTACTGGCGGTTGGCTTTGGTCGCAGTACCGCCACCTTCTGCTCTGGAGTGTAAACGCTTCCTCTATGAGAAAAAGGAGCAGCGCATGAACCGAACGAAACACACGCGAACCGAACCGAGAGAGTCGAACCGAACGATTCTGACGGTTTTCATAAATCGTCCCATCCCTATTGTGAACAAGTGAATAAATCTGTGAAGTACAAAGACACGGTGGAAAACACCCGAAATGAGTCAGCTGATTGTAAGTAGGAGATGACGCAGTCTGCACGTTGTTATCAGAGAACTGAGCCAAAGACGCACTGTGCCGAGCCCTACTGCTGAACAAGTGGAATAGAATAGAAAACCCCTATATTGTCCCAGAATGAGGAAACTCTAGTGTTTTCAGCGGCAAAATGTTTATAGAAAAAATGGTCACACAAATGTGGACCTTAGAAAATCTATAAGAACAACATAATAGTGAAGAGTTAAAAGATAAACAATAAAATACTGTACTGTAAAGTGTTTTTAACCATATAAAAACTGTACACCTGGAAGGTAAATAACCAATATACAGCTAAGGACATTTTTACTGTGATTGATATTTTAAAACAGCAGTAACATCAGAGATGTAGTAGTGTAAATGGGGCTCTATATCCTCCAAATATGGAGTCCTACTTTAGGACCGGATGTTACTGCATGATTGAGTTAATAGCATTAAAAGCAGTAAACGAAATAAAATGAGCCGTCTTTGTTGTAGGAGCTGCCTGCTGACCCCCGTGGGCCCGTCACAGTGGAGATCTTCGTGGACGGGATGAGTCTCAGCAGGATTCTGTGTCACCACCAACACGCCTCCATAGACTGGACTCTTTCAACTCAAAAGGTCATCATCCATGATACTTCAAGCGTTTTCCGCACATGAAAGCCTCCTAAAGTTGCTTCTGAATGTTTTTTTTCCTCCTGCAGGGTGTTTCACCGGTGCCTCCTGCCCCCATCCTGGATGAATGGGATTTCAGCACTGAGGTATAGCGCTCAAATTTTCAAGAAGAGGATACTTTTAAAGAGCTGTGTATACTTTGAATAAAGCTTCGTGGGTGGCATTCAGAAATTTAACATGATGAAGGTTGGAAATGAAAAAGCTTTTCATCGGGATGCTAATATCAGAGATTTTATGTTCAGGCCCATTTATTAAAATGTTCAGATAGCTAGGTAGCTGTTATCATTAACATTTCAGGATTTTGGAGTGCATTTAATTAATTAATTGGGTTATTTAAAGGTATTGTGGAGGATTTTTTAAAAGACCCGCCCATCTGCTTCCATCAATCCTGCTCTCCAACGTCTGCTCGTTGGAAAACAAAGTGGATAATCTCCGACTCTAACCCGTCAGAGTGATGGCGCACTCTGACGGGGTATTGGCTTCATCCAGCAGTACCGGATGGTGCTGTTGGCCTGGGAGAGCTAATGTTCTACCGCGCCGATAGAAAACAAAGAGCTCTGGGTGAATGGAGGCTCTTCTGAGACTGTTCCCAGGCGATACATGCGCCGCTTTGTTTTTAAAAGATGTAAATATAAACAATATAACCACGGATGTCTGGGGGAGGGACAGTGAATCGTCTAAATGTTATGAATGCTGGTGTACCATAAATGATAAATTATGAAATTATGAACAGCTTAGTTTGTGCCTTCAAGTCGTCACCCATAGAAGACGTTACTTGGATATAACCTAACGGAATATCATCAGAACAGCTCCATATGACACAAAACTCATATGGGTGAGTAGAACATGATGTAATTACGTAAAATCAAGGGCCAAATGTAAAAAAAAATTGAAATTCCCCTTTAATATAGAGCTCCTCCACACTTTTTAATTGGATGTTGCGACATGTCAGATAAAAACCCTTTGGTTTGGTTTTGCTGCAAGTGAGAATATTGCTAATGCTAACCTAACAGCACTGAATTGGATGAGCCACTTACGGAACAGGAGGAGTTAAACTTGTAGCTTTCCCCTTTAAAGCTACAGTGTGTAATAATTACAGGCATATAAATTCAGAAATTTAATATATTATACATAACTATGTTATTTATCATCACATATGAGCTCAGCCTTTTAACCATAACATTTGCGTTGCCTTAGAATTCGTTATTTATAATTACATAGGAGCGGGTCTCGCAGCCATGGAGGCGGACATCTTTGCGCTACGGCAGCGCAGAGGCAACAAACTAGCGATTGCGAGATCTCCCATGACGCTCGAAAATAACTACGGCAAGTTGAGAGAGATGAACTGAGACGGTACTGAACAGTAGATGGCAGTATTATGCCTGAGAAGCGTTTAGTCTGCCTGAAACCAAAGAAGAAGAAGAAGCAGGTATACTGCGCCTCGGTAACAAGAAAGGTAAACAAGGCGGCAGGCGTGAGTGACTTTGCAAACTGTTTGGCACTGTGTGGCCAAACATCAGACGAATGGAGGATCATGCCTACTCTGTATCACAACGAAAAGCGGCGGACACCGAACCCCCGTCATCTAAGAAGCGGAAACACGACGAGAATAAACGCAAGAGTGACAAGAAACGACAAAAAACACGGATCAACATTGGCACGGCATTTACACGATGGAAGTCACTGATGGAGGAAAAAGGTTTTCAAAGTGACGCTCAAGTTGCCAGTTTTCTCTTGGACAGGTAATTAATCCTACACACACAATTGTCTAATATCACTGCAGTTTTTGGAGTACAGGATGCTCAGACCTGTCTAAAACAATAACATGCTGCGTGATGATGCTGTTACTCTCCAGTATACTTATTCAGCAACGTCCCTGACGTTTCACAGGTAATGATTCAGTAATTTTCTGTAAAATAATTTTCTGGATATATACCTCGGTTACTTCTCTCCGGCTCCTTTGGAGATCTTCAAGCCTTTCCTCCTCTGCTCTCACCCCGCTGGCTCCCCTCTCTCGCCTGGCCCCAGCTGCAGGCTCACCCCGGCCTCTCTGCCCTCTTCCTTTCCCTCTTCCTTGCCTTGTAACCCCCGTGCCACAAACAAGACTTGGACTCTGTAAACGGGGAATATATATTCTTCCAGCGAACACAATCTCGCTGTTAAACTAATGACTACAATTACTTTGTCTGTTTATATCACCATGCAAAGCAGCTCACCAAAACGTCACAACGACGTAGAAAAAATAGCGGGTATATTTATTATCTTAAGTCTACATGAAATCTATACCCTACACAGACTAATGAAATACTATCTGTAAAATTATCTATGTAAACAAACCTCATCACTTGAGAAGGTAGGTGATGCGGACGTCGTGGAAGACATTTTGTCCCGTAACGCTCGCCGTACTGTTGGGGGGGAGAAGCGGTGGGGGGGAGACGTTCATGTTGCTGCAGTCTGCAGTCTGACCGCTAGATGTCGCTGAAAATTACACACTGTAGCTTTAACTATTTCTGTTTTTTTTCTGTTCACCTTAAATCCTAAATGCACCACTGTGTTCATTCTGCATATAACTTTTCGTCACAAATTCATAACTACCTCCAAGCAGATAACAAGGAACTGTGCTTGTTTTCAAAATCACTTCTCAGGGTCTGGTGGATCTTGACGAGCCGGTGTTGGGATCCTTTGTGAACCCAGACCTGCCGCTGAAGGGAGAACGATTTAGAGTCAGAGTCACTCATCTATTGACCCCCAATGAGGTACCTGCTAATGCTCTTAAAAAAAAAAATCAGATTGTTGTCGTTAATCCAGAATTGTGCTTAAAACTGATGAGTAGTTTGTCAATAAGTGGACTTTACCTTCTCTGACATGTAGCTGTTCCTGCGGCCTGTGAAGGAAACAGAAGATCCTGATATTGGAGAAACTCTTGATGAAGTTTTGTTGAGAATCAATGCAAACATCAGCTCTCTGCAAGACATGAACAGCTTTCAGAGTGGTAACGTTCCCCATTATTCCTAAATTAAGAAATGTCAATTTACTGAAGGTATTGCTTTTTCATATAAATTGACGCCCTTTGAAATATTTTGTTTTATTTTTAGTCAAATATTTTATTATACTCTACTCTAGTATTAGGGCCAAGCTAGAGAATTTTTTTTCTTCTACTTCGAAAATAAAGTGGTAACATTGTGAGAATAAAGTCCTAGCATTATAAGAATAAAATCATCATACAACGACCCGTTTCAGAAAAATTAAGCTTCGAGGTCCAGCCGGCATATGACGGCCGACCAGCTGCACCAAACAGCAACCTGAGTCCACTTTGACATCCTGCTCAATTTGATGCTGGTGCTAAAAGATTAGCTTGTTTTTCTAACCAGAGCCAAAGAATAACTTAACGTGATGCTCCATATTCATCATTTTAGTGAAGAAATTGCTTCTTGTAAAAGTTGTCGTAAAATACAACTTGTTTCTCGCAATTTTAGGACTTTATTCTCTTAATATTACGACTGTATTCTCGTAATTTTATTACTTTCGCATTGTGACTTTATTCTCGTTACGTTATGACTTTATTCTCTTAACGTTGCGACTTTATTCTGGTAATGTTACGACTTTATTCTCGTAACGTTAGAACTTTTTTCTCGTAACGTTAGAACTTTTTTCTCGTAACGTTAGAACTTTATTCTCGTAACGTTAGAACTTTATTCTCGTAACGTTAGGACTTTATTCTCGTAACGTTATGACTTTATTCTGGTTACGTTACTACTTTATTCTCGTAAAATTACGACTTTATTTTCGTAACGTTGTGACTTTATTCTCGTAACGTTGTTACGACTTTATTCTCGAAGTAGAAGAAAAACAAATCTCTAGCCTGGCCCTAAAACTCCATCATAATTTTCAGAGTTTTGTAATACAGCAGAACTATTTTTTTTTTTTTTTTAACAGTTCAGGTTAGGGCTGACACGCTTAAATGATTTAATCCTTCCTAATTGATATAGAATTAATCGTCAACTAATCAGATATTGAAATGCGGGTGTTTCCAGGGTGTGGGTCTTGACATGGTTATTAAAATTATTGTGATGTGATTCCTGAGGTATATAGAGGACCAAAAATATCATGACATACAAAAACATTAATGTTATCAAGTAAAAATATAAATTGTTGTTTAAAATTTCTAACATTTCTTTCCCAGTTATGTATGAAGGTGTTTGTTTGCAACAATTATGGAACAAAATTCCCTCCATAAACTCCACTCCTGTAATCGCTGACCTTTTTTCACTCGCCTCCTGTCTTGCCTTTGTTTCCTTAGGTGCTCCATGTTTGGCAGAGTACAGTGATGGCAGGTTCTACCGCGCCAGGCTGATGACGTTTACCAGCATTGAGCCGCTCACAGTTAGTGTTCAGCACGTCGATTACGGCTCGGATGATTCTCTGCCAATCAGCAAGTGAGTTACTTTCTAAAGTGCCTTGAAAATCTTCTAAATCTTTTGCTGAAATCAAAGTTTTCCTGCTTCACCAGCCTGACCTGAACTAAATGAATGAATATAGGCTACAGGCTTAGAGATGCATCGGCGCTGAACCACTGAGGTGTCAGTCTGCTCTTTAAGCCATGCTTTAGTCTTAAAAGGTAAAATAAAAGCGCTGTTTTAAAGATATTCTACAGCAAAAACATACATAACGTTGTGTTTTATTTTCTATTCTATTCTGTTTTCTTTTACAAAATGGAGAAAAAGGGTTTTTTTTTTTCAGCTCACAAAAAGTAAGGTCAATGAATGCTTTTATTTTTTGCTAACATTTAGCACTGATAACTTTATCCTTGAATGAAGTACAGTAACTCTGCTATTCTGTTTCACATTGTATGACTAAGTTAACTGTGATAGCATATTTTAAAGCCAATGAGCAGTGATGCCAAAATGTGCGGTTGTTGTGTTGGTTTCTGATGTTGGGAAGGAAGTAGGGCTGGGCGATATAGAAAAAAAGCTTATCGATAAAAAAAAATGCATATTGATCGATATCGATAATTATTGAAAAGATTTGAAACCATATTTTATGTGCAGCTCTTCCTAAACATTATATGATATTGCTAAATGATTTAATTTTAATAAAGAACACAAAAGCAGACTTCGAATTAAATCTTTATTTAACCAACTTTTTAAAGCATAACAGAATTGTTTTAAAGAAAAATTACTTAAGAGACCTGAGTTATGTTATTCAATACTGACAAAGAATAAATTAAAGTGACCAGAAAAGTGACCAAAATAAATATAACAAATAAATAAATGCCCTGCCGCCCCTCAGCATTTTTATCTCAATTGTTAGAACTACGTGGGAAACTGCCCAGAACTGAAAATATATATACATTTTCCCGAAATTCCCGAAGATTCCTCGGAGGAGAGCCGCGCCGGGGCCTACACAGCTCGTACTCCTGGGGGTGTGAGCAGCTGAGATGATTAAAAAAAAAAAGTTGGTTGTGTTATCAGACTTTGTTTTCACTGGTTCCCTACACATTTTACAGATGACTGTGGTTTGTTTTTTGTCCGACTTGGACTTGCCATGACAGAAATACTGCCAAACTACAAAAAACCTTCTTTGGAACAGTTTCCTCCGCCTCTCCTTGCTGCGACATCTTCATGTGCTCTGTGTTGTGGTTTGAGAGGGCGGCGCTTGGTGACGGCATGCCTGGGTCCGCAATTGCGATTTGTTGGGAGGAAGCAGTGACTAGCATATACCCACATGCTAGGCTACAATGAGAAGGAAGGAAAACTGCGTTTCTTTATCGAACTTTTATCGACTCTCTTTTTTTCTATTGCGCCACACGTCTATCGATCGATATATCTCGTTATTGAATTATCGCCCAGTCCTAGAAGGAAGTATCCAAATATCTTGGACTGTTGGAAGAAAATGTTGTTTTTCCTATTGAAATTTTGGATTTCATAGAATAGAATAGAAAATCCCTTTATTGTCCCAATGAGGAAATTCTTGTGTTTACAGCAGCAAAAAGATAATAGAAAATATGGTCACACAAATGTGGACCTTGGAAGAGAGTATAAAATAGCATAATAATGAAGAGTTAAAAGAATAAACAATATAAAATACTGTACTATAAAGTGTTTTATCAATATAAACACTGTGCACCTGGACATTAAACAACCAATAAGCAGTTATGGACATTTTTATAGTTATGGATATTTGAAAATAGCAGCAACATCAGAGATGTGCAAAATGACAGCAGCATGTTATTTAACTAAGATAGAAACTGCAAAATCAGCATGAATGTAACAACTTATTGAGGTAATTGGGAACAGTGGTGGTTCTAGAGTCTTCCAGCTGCTGGGAGGAAGGATCTGTGATAACGCTCCCTGGTGCATTTAGCAGTCTGTCACTGAAGGAGCTCTCCAGCTCTGCAACAGCTTCATGAATGGGGTGGGAGACATTATCCAACAGAGATGTTATTTAAGTTAGGATCCTTTGGTTCCTCGCCTCATGTTGAATTTTTCCCTCGCAATGAAGCTAATGTTTTTTTTGTTTTTTTTTTATAAAGTAGGTCTACTCTTTTGCAAACTCCATCAATTCTTCTTCTGTTGGCTACTATCATTTTCAGCAGAAAAGCATAAAAAAAACCCTCTTCACATCTACAGTGCTGTGGATGTAGGTTTTTAACCTTCAACTCTTGTTCTTCCCACCAGGCTGCGACAGATGCCCGCCGAGCTGCTGCAGTTCCCAACACAAGTAATAAAAGTTAAAGTCGCCGGCTTCAAAGCTCCAAGTGTCAAACAGAGCGAGGAAGTCCTTCCGTACTCCCCGGAATGGAGTGTGAAGGCTGCCATAGAGATGACAGATCTGCTGCACGGCAACCTCATAGCAACCGTTGTTGTAAGAACCAATCATCTATTTTGTTGTTGTCCTGAAGGAATACTAACCCCAAAATCCCACATCCTCCATAACCGCTCTGCTCCAGAAAGCCTGCATTCTGAGTTCCTTGGAGCTTTAGAATATGCATGAAGGACCAGCTCTACCATATTTAAAAATAAATACAGAAATAAATAAATGCTCAATAAATAAGCATAAAATTAATTGCCCCTACAAATACAGTAAACAAATAATTATAGGTAAAAATTTGATTATACAGTGAGATATAAATGTATAATCTATATCTATTTAATTAGCCTCTTTATTTGCCTTTGTAATAATTACCATATTTATTTTTTGTCTATTATCTTCAACTTATCAATTATTTCTTTAAGTATTTATGTGCTATGTTATATTTTTGTCTGGTTTATTCTTCCTTTGTATTTTTTCACCCTATTTATTTCTGCTTCTCGTTTTTACATTTCTGTCTGTGTTTCTGCCTCATTATGCAAATGGGGGGGAGGGGGGGTCTTAGAGGGTCAGCTTCTGCCCATTGGGTGGTTAGCATTTTACTGCATCGGTCGAATCTACAGGAAGAGAATCTGAAGTCACTGGCCGTTTCTCGATTCATAAAAACGCCAGTACGGACCCGTGTCAGTTCAATTCAGTTTATTTCTATAGCGCCAATTCACAACACATGTCATCTCAAGGCACTTTACAGTTCAACCAGATCATACAGTTAAATTGATTCTTGAGTCTAAGGAAAACAAGTTAATTTCATTGACTCGTAGGCAATCCCTCACACTAATCATGCTTGTAGCGACAGTGGAGAGGAAAAACTCCCTTTTAACAGGAAGAAACCTCCAGCAGAACCAGGCTCAGTGTGAGCGGCCATCTGCCGAGGCCGACTGGGGTTCAAGGAGACAGAAGCAGAGATACAAAAAGCAGCTGTAAAAGGCGGCATGGTCCAGGAAACACACAGCCAGGCAGACTAGCTCCGAGCCAGCTCCCATGTCAGAGGATGAAGAGAGCACATCCTCGCCAAGTATGTTCTTGAGAAGAACAAAGAAAAGTGTTGACTGTGGGAGAACGGGAGCAGCAGCATAAATCTGGGTCAATTGGTACAGAACCATACTGAGGACGTCACCACATGCTGGGCTCGTCAGTAGCTGGATTTCACCTGTCATTAATAGTTTCTAGATAATAAATGTTGACTTTTTTCATTTATTGGGGGAATAATAATCAACACAGTCAGGTAAACACAAATCGAATATAGATTTTGCCAAATAAAACAAAGAAAATAAATCAGAGCCAGCGATCCTTCACACACGGCTATGCTGAGAGAGGGTTGCTGCAGACGGGTTAGAATTAGGCCTGGCTGCTGCGGTCCTCTCAACTTTTGAATTTTCTTTTTTAAATTATGCATTAAATCGGTAGATGGACCATATAGTGATGCTTAAAAGTGTAATATTCTCGCCTATAATGATCTTAAAATTTACTTTTATTGAACAACAGCAACAACAGAAAAGAGAACTATTAACTTAATACTCTGAGCTTTAAGAGTTCAGAAGATGAGCCACTTAAAATGCTAACCAACCAATTGGCACACATTGATAGCATGGAAGAAATATGGTGAAAAAATACAAAGGAAGAATAAAAAAAGACTAAAATAATATAACATGCACATAACAGGGTTTCCGCAGGTCATTAAAAATCATTAAGTCATTAAATTAAGGCCTTAATTGGCATTAAAATTCATTAAATATTATTATTGTGGCATTCAAAAATATATATTTGTGCGGAACTTCTGGTTCAACTTCTGGTTGATCGTAAAGCCATATGTTAAAAGAAAAATAATAGAATGGGGGGAAAATGCTAATTTCAACAAAAATGGCTCCTGGGTACTTGTTTGTGGCATTAAAATTATTTCTAAGAGCATTAAAAAAAGCATTAAATTAGACTTACTCATTCCTGTATAAACCATGCATAAATACTTTAAAAAATAATTGATAAAGTTGATTAGAATAAGACACATTTATGTCTCACTGTACAATTAATTGCTACCTACATTTGTTTTGTTGTATTTTTGGGGGCTTCTAAATCTATGTCTCTTCCAGATTTACGATAAGTGTCTCTTGAATTTGTTAGATAAACTTCTAAGCTTTTCAGCGTAAAATAAATGTTTTGCTCACAGCTTTGCTCCGTATTTTGACGTGAGGGACGGAGAACATGGAATAGTTTCTATTGATGAACGTGAATGCGCCAGTGATCTGCTGGATGAACGTGAAGTCGGAGCGGTTACAGAGGATGTGGAATCTGGGGGTTAGCATCTTTTCTACAGCTCGTTTCTGATTGGTCCCAATTCTCTGCAGTCGGAGGAGCCGGAGCTCACAGTGCTGCTGAACAACCAGGAAGGAGGCTTGGTCCATCTGCCGCTGGTGAACAGCGGACTGGCTGAACTTTGCTGAAACTAGAAACCCAGCTCTGGGTTTGAGCCACTTTTGGAAACCAGTTGAATATTTCTACATTTTTTTTTTTTTACTGTTTATCTCGTTTGATCTCCAGGTGTCCATCATTATGGGATTCAAGTTCTGCTCTTAGTTTTCACTTTAAAAAAAGAGAGTTGGAAAACAGTGATTTGATTTGTTTGGCTCTAGTTAAAGATTTCTATGTGAAATTTTCTGTTTGGTTTTTTTACACATTAAAGTTCTCAAATACCATCAGATGTTTGCTGTGTTTGCTTAAAAAAAACCAGTGTTCAGACCACAGGAATCAATAAATATAAAATACATTTATTTTAGAAAACAAAAAACATTCACCTCCAAAAATAAATATTTAATATATTTTACACAGTAAAAAATAAAACTAATCTTTAATGCAGCCTTAATTGTATCGGACAATTTGTTTTAATGCTTTAAAGAAGCAGAGGCACCGAATGTCATCAAGCTGAGCTCAGTCTTATTCAAAAACTGAAAAAAAGACATTTGTGACGATAAATGAACAGAAATAAATGTTTTCTTTTATGCCTGCTTGTCCAGGAGGACGTTTCCATCTTTGTCCTTCACCCTTAGTCGCCCGGTTGGGTAGCGGGTTTCTTGGCGGCCATCGCTGTAAACGGTCTTCACCGTCCCGTCTGGATACTCCCTCCTCTTGAACTCGGCGGTGTGTATTTCCTTCTGGCCCGTGTTGAAGTGGATCTCTTTAGTGCCGTCCCTAAGACAAACGAGTCGGCATTAATTGAAACCTCGTCTGGAGGAAGTGTGTGATCAACAAACCCAACGTCTTTGGATTGAACAGATAATAGGTAGTGAGACCTGTGTTTTCTTTCCAGACCAACACAAGCTCACAAATGATGCATATAACATATCTCTCATCATCCGAACCATCACATGCTGAAAACAGTTGCTCATACAGCAGCAACTTGTTGGGTTGTTACAAACTGAATCAGCAGGCAGGGTGGAAAGACTTCTTAAAATAAAGAACCATGTTCCTCAATTGCAAGAAAATGTAAAATATTTAGATTCTCCTGGAAGTTTGAGCTTAAAAACTGGAAACTTAAAAATAGACAATTAGCCTCAGCAGTGAGGAGAAAAGTCCCACAAAATCAACTGTTACCTGAAGGTGAAGCTGTATTTCAGTACAGGTTATGCTACGTTCAGCTGAAGCAGCGGGTCTACATGCAAAGTCGATGGTCGACGTGCATCAAGTTGCAGCAAAAGGTCCTGCAGGAGCAGCGCCACATTAGCTTCTGAGGCACGTGACACGCTTCACAAGCAGCAGCTGCTGGAGTTGAAAAAATTGGAACTTTTGCTGCTGGATGTGCCACATCAACCAATCAGAGAAGCTGATCTGGGAGCTGGCAGGGAGACGGAAACAGCCCTGATGATGCAGAGCGCTATGATCACTCCTCTGAAACAGTTCATTAGCACCTAAATTACCTTAAAATACCGAAATCTGCCTGCAAAACATGTCCGGTTTTACTGTCCTGGTGCCTGCAGCTTGGATTAGGTCCATAAAAAAAAACGCCTTCCAGCTGCGGCGGGGACCGGGCCAGGGGCTGCTGTTGAACGGGATTTCTAGTGACAGAGCACCGCCAGTGTACGGGGATCTGAGCGGCTCCAAAAACAGTACACCTCTGTGGGAGGCTGTGGTGGCTGCTGCACGCAATGTGGATCGCAAACAGATAAAGACACTGACGGAATCCATGGATGGAAGGCTTTTGAATGGTGAAGAATCCTGGCTATATTGGTCACCGATTTGTTTGTTTTTGAATGTCGCAAATGTTTATTTCTGAATTGAGTTGTAACATTGGTTTAGCTGGTGAAAATAAAACAAACAAGTGAGATGGGTATATATTTGTTTTTTATTACGTTGCCTAATAATTCTGCACAGTAATATTTACCTGCACACACACACATCCTCACAAAATGACCAAATCTAAAAGAAAAACACATTAACTTCCAAAAATATGAAACTTTAAAATTAAGGAGTCTTTTGGGTTGTTTGTTTGAGAACACAATTGTGGCCTAATAATAAAAATAATTCTCAAAAATACAACTTGCCTAATAATTCTGCACACAGTGTGTTTCACTGCTTGCTAGGCGGCTGTGGGGAGATCCTTAAGCCACATGGTAAAAAAATGCGTCAGAAAAGATCTCCTACTGCACCTTTAACTCAAAGTGTTAAAATATTCTCGCTTTTATTATTCTGGTGCGTTTTGGATTATGTACATGAAAACTGCTAACATTTCTTTCATGCCGCCATGAGCAGTAGGTGAAAATCCCAACGAGGCGACCGGGCCAGAGGCTGCTGTTGAAGGGGATTTCCAGTGACGGCACCGCCGGTCCGACAACAAAATAATATTTGAAGGCAGGATCATAATTTTGATGAACTGAATACAGATGAAGTTTTCAGGTGGACTAAAAAAACTACGTTCTACTTATCTATATAGTTAAGTTGCTCTTCAATGCGCTTCAGGATCGGAAAAGATGCTCATGAGGCGCGTCAGAACTTAATGCGGACAAGCATTAAAAAAAATGCTTTTTTTGCTGCTTCCAGCACTTGCGGTCTGAACGTAGCATTAGTTTTACAGTATCAGACGGCGACATGATGTGTGAACTTACGGGTTGACCTGTATGATGGTGCCGTCTGTCAGCACGCTCTCCTCCCTCCCGTCAGGGAACAGATTCTTCACTGTCTGGTCTGGGAAGGTGATCTCTTTGCGGCCGTCTGGAAAATGTTTTTCTGGAACAAGAAAAAATATTTTGAAGCGGCTGCATGTAAAATATTTGGGTACCAATGTAACCCTTTGGTGCCTATTTAAACCGTCCATCTCATACGGGATCAAATAACTAAACTATCTGGTTCTCATCAACTTGCTAATTTGATTAGTTTACATAGCAGAGGGACTTGTGTTGAAGATGGATCAGATCATGGAGCTAAATTCTGAGAACTTAATCCTTGGAGCAGTTTTTATCTTTCGAGGCACAGCTGGAGGTCGGCTCTCACCTGTCTGGTTGTTGGGAAAGTGCAGGACTTCCATACCATCGGGGTAGGTGATGTGTGTGGTCTGAGCCTCGGCATAGTAATAGATCTGATCACAGGAAGGAGCAGTTAACACAACCGATTAACTATCAGGACTGGTCAAAGCTAAGCATCCAAGCATAGATCGGTTGGCTTGAAGGGTAAAAAGTCTCACCACTCTCTGATCAGCTGTGATTTGTTTAGTGTCTCCGTTAAAGAAGGTGACCTTGGCTGAAAGCCCGTCGGCTGAAACTTCTTTCCTGGTCCCGTTAGGAAAGACGATGAGACGATCGCCGCTCGGCAGAACCTTCTCTGTCTGAAAGGAAAGTTCCCATCAATCAGTGATTCTGAGTCATCATCAGAACCGTTTTCAGGATGTAAATCACATCCTGAAAACGTTTGTTACTCTAGTAAACCTGTTGCCTTTATCTCCACCCAGATTTCCTGTGATGGACTTTATATTTAAATGCTAGGCAGGTTTTCCTGCTAGATCTGTGAAATAAATCCATTTTTGTCTTTTCCTTCTCAGAATATTTCAGTGCTCATTAGATGATATACTTATTATAGCTTTGTTTTTAGATTTAAAAGACTTCACAAAAGAATTTATTAACTGCTATCCAAAAAGTGGTAGCACTGCATTCTGTTTAATTCATCTATTTAATGTGCTTCACTAATTGAAATAAAGAGTTTGTGATAATGAGGTAGTAAAAGGGTTCATTGGGAGCTAAATTCTCCATTAGAACAAGCATTAGACTAAGTGTTCATTATCTGAGCTGTATGTTTACTTTTAACCCAAATCAATTACGTTCTAAGCTAATTCAACAAAACCATCCATTAAATGTCTCATCTAGCATCTGACCATCAGTCTTGGCTATGGAAAACTATTTCTGGATTAGATTTTAGACAGTCTAAACCAGGGGTCTTCAACGTTTTCCAGGCCAAGGACCCCCAAACTGAATGCAAAATGGAGCGGGGACCCCCTAATTATATATATTGTATGAAATTGTGTTATATCAAACTGGTCCTATAGTCACTCTATTACAGATGAAGTCATGTAACGAAAGTCATTTGTCCCTGGGATTATTAAAGTATTTCTGAATCTGATTCCTGATTGATGGGACAGGTGTTGTGAATGAAACGGTGCCCAGGTTTTAAAGAGCTCCTGTGTGTCACTGAATGTGTGCATTGATGACTGAAAGACATCTGCTTTCATTTATCTGTTTACTACAGTGTTTTGAATTCATGTTAATGTGGATTTAAAGACATTTTAATTAGTGCAAAAAATTGCAGGAGGGAATATAAAAAAAAGTAATCAACCAAGACCTTCGCGACCCCCACGCAGTACCTCCGCGGACCCCCTAGGGGTCGCGGACCCCCTGTTGAAGACCTCTGGTCTAAACCATTACGATGGAGTATTAGGGCCAGGCTAGAGATATATTTTAGTTAGTAACATTATGATAATAAAGTAATATTACAAGAATAAAATCGTAACATGATGAGAATAAAGTTGAAAAATAAGGAGAATGAAGTCCTCATAAAACAACAGGTTTCAGAAAGAAAGCTTGGAGCTCCGACCAGAATATGGCGGCCGACCAGCTCCACCAATCAGCAACAAGATTCCACTTTGACATCCTGCCCAGTTTGATGCTAAAAGATTTCCTTATTTGTCAAAACGATACCAAAGTATAACTTCACATGATGCTCGATATTCCTCATTTTACGGAAGAAAGGGCTACTTGTAAGACTTCTCATAAAATACAACTTTATTCTAGTAACTTTATGACTTTATTCTCGTAATGCTGCGATTTTATTCTTGTAATTTTATGACTTTATTCTCGTAATTCTGTGATTTTATTCTAGTAACTTTATGACTATATTCTCGTAATGCTGCGATTTTATTCTAGTAACTTTATGACTTTATTCTCGTAATGCTGCGATTTTATTCTAGTAACTTTATGACTATATTCTTGTATTGCTGCGATTTTATTCTAGTAACTTTATGACTTTATTCTCGTAATGCTGCGATTTTATTCTAGTAACTTTATGACTTTATTCTCGTAATGCTGCGATTTTATTCTAGTAACTTTATGACTTTATTCTCGTAATGCTGCGATTTTATTCTTGTAATTTTATGACTTTATTCTCGTAATTCTGTGATTTTATTCTAGTAACTTTATGACTATATTCTCGTAATGCTGCGATTTTATTCTAGTAACTTTATGACTTTATTCTCGTAATGCTGCGATTTTATTCTAGTAACTTTATGACTATATTCTTGTATTGCTGCGATTTTATTCTAGTAACTTTATGACTTTATTCTCGTAATGCTGCGATTTTATTCTAGTAACTTTATGACTATATTCTTGTATTGCTGCGATTTTATTCTAGTAACTTTATGACTTTATTCTCGTAATGCTGCGATTTTATTCTAGTAACTTTATGACTATATTCTCGTAATGCTGCGATTTTATTCAAGTAACTTTATGACTTTATTCTCGTAATGCTGCGATTTTATTCTAGTAACTTTATGACTTTATTCTCGTAATGCTGCGATTTTATTCTAGTAACTTTATGACTTTATTCTCGTAATGCTGCGATTTTATTCTAGTAACTTTATGACTTTATTCTCGTAATGCTGCGATTTTGTTCTAGTAACTTTATGACTTTATTCTCGTAATGCTGCGATTTTATTCTAGTAACTTTATGACTATATTCTCGTAATGCTGCGATTTTATTCTAGTAACTTTATGACTATATTCTAGTAATGCTGCGATTTTATTCTAGTAACTTTATGACTTTATTCTCGTATTGCTGCGATTTTATTCTAGTAACTTTATGACTTTATTCTCGTAATGCTGCGATTTTATTCTAGTAACTTTATGACTATATTCTCGTAATGCTGCGATTTTATTCTAGTAATTTTATGACTTTATTCTCATATTGCTGCGATTTTATTCTAGTAACTTTATAACTTTATTCTCGTAATGCTGCGATTTTATTCTAGTAACTTTATGACTTTATTCTCGTATTGCTGCGATTTTATTCTAGTAACTTTATGACTTTATTCTAGTAACTTTATGACTATATTCTCGTAATGCTGCGATTTTATTCTAGTAATTTTATGACTTTATTCTCATATTGCTGCGATTTTATTCTAGTAACTTTATAACTTTATTCTCGTAATGCTGCGATTTTATTCTAGTAACTTTATGACTTTATTCTCGTATTGCTGCGATTTTATTCTAGTAACTTTATGACTTTATTCTAGTAACTTTATGACTATATTCTCGTAATGCTGCGATTTTATTCTAGTAATTTTTTGACTTTATTCTCATATTGCTGCGATTTTATTCTAGTAACTTTATGACTTTATTCTCGTAATGCTGCGATTTTATTCTAGTAACTTTATGACTATATTCTTGTATTGCTGCGATTTTCTTCTAGTAACTTTATGACTTTATTCTCGTAATGCTGCGACTTTATTCTGGTAATTTTATGACTTTATTCTCATAATGCTGCGACTTGATTCTAGTAACTCTATTACTTTATTCTCGTAATGTTGTGACTTTATTGCGGTAATTTTATGACTTTATTCTTATAATATTTGGACTTTATTCTCGTAATGCTGCGATTTTATTCTGATAATGTTATGACTTTATTCTGATAATTTTATAACTTTATTCTGATAATTTTATGACTTTATTCTGATAATGTTGCGACTTTATTCTCGTAATGTTGCGACTTTATTCTGGTAGTTTTATGACTTTATTCTCATAATATTATAACAATTCTCTAGCCTGGGCCCAAATACTCTGTTGTGCTTCTATAATTGAAAGAAATCACTAACAGGTTTATAGAAAAGGATTCTTCCTTTTGGGATTAAATTACTAAAAAAAATGCATCAATACTTTCCTCACATCTTTGAGGCCTAAGGAGCAAAATATATCAAACTGATAAAGTTGTTTATGAGCAGTTTCCTTTGTCTGGGACGTTTTCTCAAACCCTTTTTTACATGTTGATATAAAAAATAAAAAAAGGCGCCTTACCTTCCCATCAGGGTGAGTAATGACCTCCTGGGGTGGATCTAGTTCTTTAGCTTCAAAGCTTTCTTGGTTTTTTGGCACTAGATCAGTTTTCTGTAAAAGAAAAAAGCAACTATATCTTAGAGTCAGAGATCACGATGGAAAGAAGTTCTCCTTTAAATGCTTCATTTATATCAGAGGTAAATATTAATCTTTTTCTGTAAGCTAACTGGTTCCAGGGAACAGCCACTCACTGCAGAGCGGTCCTGCAGAGGCTCCCAGCTCTGGTCGGATTGTTTTTCTTGGTTTTTATACCCGGATCTTAGTTTTTCATCCACCTTTCTGGTAGGAAATGCTGAAGAGGAGGAAGATGAAGATCCTGAAGCAGCCGGCCTCCTCAGGCTGCTCTTCATCCCTGCTGATAATAAAAAAAAACCTGAGTGTCATTCTGGCTGCAGAAACGTTTTATTGTGCACAAAAACCCCATAAACTCCTAACTTCTTCAGAACTCCTAACTTCTGTCATCAACAGAACTCCCTCATATCACTCCTGTCATTCAGCAACTCCATTGGCTCCCAGTTCAATTTAGAAAACAATTGAAGAAAACTTATCAAAAAGAAACTCTTTTAATTTGCATTTAAAGACTGAAGCAGATCAGAACGATCGAGAGGCTTTTAGCAATGTGTGCAGAAAACTCTAAATGTTACGGAGAACAGAAACACGTTGAGGATGTGTGAGGTCTTAGCAATGACGTGCTTTATTAAATGCAAAATGTTTCTATATTTCTAAGTTATTTAGAAATGCTCTTTTACTAAAGTATCTCTCTTCAGGTTAATTGCAAAAATAACTTAATTGATTAGTAATCAGAGGTGCAGCTCTATTATTGAGGGCTCCATCTTGTGTTCTTTGCATAAAATGGTCTCTTCCATTTTTCCTGCAAACATCAGCAATGGCTTCACAGCCAAAGAGTAACTGTTGAGTTTTGCTTCCTCTGACCAGAGAACATTGTTCCGCTTTGCATAGTCATCCTCTATGCCTCCCTTTAGTTCACCTTAAAGTCGACCTTTTTGCACCAGAGCGAGTTTTTAAGGCTTCCTTCATTACAAAGGTAACAGACATCATTATCTTACTGTTCTCAGTGAGGCTGGTGGAGTATCTATGAGTGCAAAGTGATTTAATGTAAACATTAAAATAAAGCAAGGACGTTAGAAAAAGCTGGTAATTCATCTGAAAGTGATTAAATTATTATATGGGCTAATAAATGTGTTATTGATGAGGTTAACGTCATAGACTAACAAAACAGTATCTTCCACCAACAGGATGTTCACTAGTCTGAGACAAACGCGTTGAGGGAGACCAAAAAGAAGAGAATTACAATAATCAAGATGGGGGGTGATAAGGCTGTGGATAAGGACAGAGGCAGTGCGCATAGTAAGGGAGGAACGGAGGCGGTTAATGTTGGGAAGGTGGAAGTATGCAGACTGGGTAATGTTATTTATGTGTGACTGAAAGGATAGGGAGGAGACTCTTGACCTGAGGGGAGGGGGAGACCAAGGTGTTGTCAATGGGTAGTGACAAACTATATATATATATATATATATATATATATATATATATATATACACTCACCGGCCACTTTATTAGGTACACCTGTCCAACTGCTTGTTAACACTTAATTTCTAAGCAGCCAATCACATGGCGGCAACTCAGTGCATTTAGGCATGTAGACATGGTCAAGACAATCTCCTGCAGTTCAAACCGAGCATCAGTATGGGGAAGAAAGGTGATTTGAGTGACTTTGAACGTGGCATGATTGTTGGTGCCAGAAGGGCTGGTCTGAGTATTTCAGAAACTGCTGATCTACTGGGATTTTCACGCACAACCATCTCTAGGGTTTACAGAGAATGGTCCGAAAAAGAAAAAACATCTAGTGAGCGGCAGTTCTGTGGGTGGAAATGCCTTGTTGATGCCAGAGGTCAGAGGAGAATGGCCAGACTGGTTCGAGCTGATAGAAGGGCAACAGTGACTCAAATAACTACCGGTTACAACCAAGGTGGGCAGAAGAGCATCTCTGAATGCACAGTACGTCGAACTTTGAGGCAGATGGGCTACAGCAGCAGAAGACCACACCGGGTGCCACTCATTTCAGCTAAGAAAAGGAAACTGAGGCTACAATTTGCACAAGCTCATCGAAATCGGACAATAGAAGATTGAAAAAACGTTGCCTGGTCTGATGAGTCGCGATTTCTGCTGCGACATTCGGATGGTAGGGTCAGAATTTGGCGTCTACAACATGAAAGCATGGATCCATCCTGCCTTGTATCAACAGTTCAGGCTGGTGGTGGTGGTGTCATGGTGTGGGGAATATTTTCTTGGCACTCTTTGGGCCCCTTGGTACCAATTGAGCATCGTTGCAACGCCACAGCCTACATGAGTATTGTTGCTGACCATGTCCATCCCTTTATGACCACAATGTACCCAACTTCTGATGGCTACTTTCAGCACGATAATGCGCCATGTCATAAAGCTGGAATCATCTCAGACTGGTTTCTTGAACATGACAATGAGTTCACTACTCAAATGGCCTCCACAGTCACCAGATCTCAATCCAATAGAGCATCTTTGGGATGTGGTGGAATGGGAGATTCGCATCATGGATGTGCAGCCGACAAATCTGCTGCAACTGTGTGATGCCATCATGTCAATATGGACCAAACTCCCTGAGGAATGCTTCCAGCACCTTGTTGAATCTATGCCACCAAGAATTGAGGCAGTTCTGAAGGCAAAAGGGGGTCCAACCCCATAAAAATTTATGAAATTAATGAAAAAATCCCCCCAAAAATAATGGGTTGTAATTATTTTAAATGATCCGCAAAAACCCTGGATCATTTCCGCATGTTTTGCTGCTTTGAATTTAATCATCTGGCGCATGCTCTCTACCATCTCCAAGGGACTCAGAGGGGAGCAGACGAAGCCACAGTGGGGGCTGTAGGCTTTGCTTTGAGCAGTTGGTCTGGAGCGCAGCGGGGGTTACTGACGGAGTATGTGGGATTTCGGGGTTAGCATGACATGTTGCTGTTAGCATAAACAAAACGTGTTGCACAATGCTCGCACACTGTTGCACTTTTATCCACAACTTTCTTTCCGCCGTCATCGTAGGTCACTCTAAATGCAAAGCGCTCCCATACAGCAGACCTATAAAGTGCTGCTGGCGCGTCTTCCAACTCCTGTTCTTTCCCACTCGCCATACCCACATAATTCTCCACAACAACTGATTTTTTCCCCTGCTACACCCGGCTAAGCTGCTTCGCTTCTTCTTCTTCTTGTTTACTACTGGTGGTTGGCTTTGGTCGCAGTAACGCCACCTTCTGCTCTGGAGTGTAATTGCTTCCTCTATGAGAAAAAGGAGCAGCGCATGAACCGAACGAAACACACGCGAACCGAACCGAGACAGTCGAACCGAACGATTCTGACGGTTTTCATAAATCGTCCCATCCCTAATATATATATATATATATATTTAAACTATATTTGCAATTCAAATATAGTTTGAAAAGAGCTATTTTTAAAAATCCTTGGAAAGAATTTTTTAAAAATGCTTTTTAAAAGTTTCATTTCTGGATCTTTTTTAAATTCTGATTCTCATAACGTGTTCCTTGCTTGCAAAAATAATGGAATAAAATGACCTCCTCATTGCTGCAGCTGTTCTGACTTGAAGCAAACAAAGATCTGATGTTTCTGATTTTAACATTTCTAAGACAATAAGCACCCACAATTATTTCTCATTTCTATTTTACAGCTGCTTGCATTGGCCTTCCATCAAAACAAAAAGGATTAAAACTTGGAGCTATAACATGGCTAAATGTGAAAAACCCCCGAGGGTTAGTTCTATCCTTCCATGTACCTGCACCTCCTTGGCTGATTTCCTTGGAGTTCCTTCGTACAGAGTTGCTGCTCAGTGGGGGGCTGCAGCTGCTTTCTCTGGAGTCCAGAGGGCTCTGGGTGGGACATGAAGGCTGAATTAAAACCAGAACTATTGACAATACTATAAATACTTTAAACTTAGACTTTTTGTAAAGATTCACAGAGTAAAAAAACATCAATAAATGAGCTTCCAGGCTTACAGCAAATGTTACTCCTTTGGGAACAGGAGGCACGCCGCTGTCTGAGACTGAGGGAGCGTCTTTTGTTTGGACGCCTTTCTCGGCAGAGGCGGAGCTTTTCTTCCAGCCGCTGAGGCGCAGCTTCTCCAGGGTTCGAATCTGAAATCATAGGTTAAAGAGGTGGACATTTAAATAAACTACTGCTGAAACATCTGGGATCAGACTGGATTTCAGTCCTCCGTGTGACTGAGCGTTCAGCGGCGCACCTCGTCCTGCAGAGCGCCGTTATCCTGGTGGAGGGAGTCGATCTGTTGGCGTAGCCGGCTGTGTGTGGAGGCCCAACGACTCTCCTTCCTCTTCAGCTCCTCCTGCAGGGAGCTAAGCTGCTGCTTCAATGACTGTTGGATAAAACATTAAAGGAAGAGGTTTGACACTTTTTGTGAACACGTAAAAACTAAAAATTTAACTACAATTAATTCGTTTTAGGGTCTTGGACGTACAAACCTGGATTTCCTCTCGTTTCTTTTTGTCGGGCACGGCTCTGGCTGCAGATGCATGCTTCTCAAACAGCTTTCGCTCTTTCTGCAGTTTCCTGTTTTCCTCCTTCTTGTATTCCTCAAACTTGGCCAGCTCCTCGGCTTTAGTCTGCTCAAACTCCAGACGCTCTTTCCTGTGAGACGATAGAAGAAAGCAGCAGAAAAAAAACAGTATTGCTTCTATAAAGCTGAAGTATTTTGCAAGCGAAAATTGACAGAAATGCAACAGCCAAATGTCTCACCTGAGATCTTCCTGTCTTTTCTCGTTCTCTTGCCTGAGTTTGATAAGTGCGGCGTTCTCTTTCTTAAACCTCTCGATCTCGATCTCCAGCTCAGCCAGTCTCTCTCTGAGCTGTCTGGACTGAACCTGCTGGGCTGGAAGTCAGAACCAAGCATTAAAACACAGGAAGGCAGACGCTAAGCCCACCTAGATGAACAGTTTTATCTTAAACTGAGCAACTTTTTGGCAAAATAATACCTAATGATGGATTCAAAGGATGTCTGACCTGTGTCACCTTGTGGTTTGTTGTCAGAGGCAGGGGGAGGATCAGGCGGAGCTGCGTTCTGAGCTTTTGGCTTTAATGACGGGAACAATCTGGTCATGAGCTGAGAGGCAGGCGTAGGTTCGGCTTCCAGGCCTCTGCTTACAGCGACTTTCCTTAATAAGGTCTTCTGTGGTGGTGAAACTCCTCTAGCTGTCAGGTTTTGAACCGGACTCTCCTCTCGAATGGCCGTGTCCTCCAGGTCGTCCCATGTGTCGTCGTCATCAAATACGACCTTCCTCTGCTGGCTCTCTCTGTCCTCGATCAGAGTGGAATCATCAGCGCCGCTGGTGTCGCCGTCATTCTCCTCCTCCCTATCTGACGCTGAATCCTTGAGACTCTCCTCATCTTGGTAAGACCACTTGTCATATGTAGGGTTAGAAGGTGCTAAAAAACGAAGCGTCCCTTCGATCGTCACTTCTTTGCCTCCAAACTCGGAGCCGCTGTCATCCTGTCCTCCCTCATTCACGTCACTCTCTTTGCTCTTAAGCGGACCACCTATTACATTCCCAGCAGGCGCTCCTGACTCCAGAGGGAAACCGTTACACTCTGACACATCATCGGTGTGCTCAACACCTCCGCTCTGCGTAGGTTGGCTTCCTGATGTGGATTTAATGGGGGTGGAGGACAGTCGCCTGTTGTGGCGCCCAATGGCAGCTTGCCTTTTCTGCTGGTCCATGCGAAGAACCTGTGAAGCACAGAAAGTCTCTGAAACGCTGCAGACTTTGGAGATATTCTAATCCAAGTTAAATATAGCTATCTCTATATTTATGCTGCTATAGGCTTAGTATGCTGGATGACATGGGGACCAGTTTTTATCATTCTGCTTCATTCTATCTCTGCTCTCCAATTCTGCAGTATTTGTCAGTTAAACCTCTAACATTCTGCTTTCTCTACTTTTTCTCATCATAGTAGCTTCATCTAGTCTGTTCCTGTTCAGCTGTGACAGAGTCCTGGAGGAAAACATCAACACCTTTGATTATAGATGATAGAGTTTTGCCCGTTATTCAGGATTTTGTCCCGTTTCTCTCTATATGATGGTTCAATCCTTCGACATGAAAACCAGTTAACAAATTCTCTGCTTATCTTAGAGAGAGCCGCCACCTATGGAGCTAGTTTACTGTTAGCCTTTCTAACAGAAAGTAATTACAGACTTTTCTATGTTCCTTTTGTATGCCTCTCCACTGTCGCTGCATGCATGCTCGACATGAGGGATTCCTTCAGATTCAACAACAAAATGCAAGCTAATGTTTAGTGACTCTACATGAGGAGAGACGTCTGCCAAGGCAATGACTGGACGCAATCAGCTGGTTTTGTGGTGTTGTGAATGAAACGGTGCCCAGCTTGAAAGAGCTCCTGTGTGTCGCTGAATGTGTGCATTGATGACTGAAAGACATCTTCTGCCTCCATTTATCTGTTTACTACAGTATGTTGAATTCATATTAATGTGGATTTAAAGACATTTCAATTAGTGGAAAAACTTGCAGGGGGAATAAAAAAAATAAACTCTAATCATCCAAATCTTTCGGGACCCCCATGCAGTACCACTGTGGACCCCCTAGAAGTCACGGCTCCCCTGTTGAAGACCTCTGCACTAGTCGAAAAGGTTTTAGTTTCTAAGTTTTAGTTTTAGTTTTTAATTCTGTATCAAATCTTCTTTAAGGAAACTCTTACTATCTGATTATTAATCGATTAAATAAATACAAAAATCTACAGATTATTAATATAATCAGTTGCAGCCCTAGCATTACAGTAAGCAGGTCCACCAGACTTCTAGACAGCATCCGCCTCAGGCTGCTTAAAATGCTGGTCTGCTGTAAAGACTTTGAACTTTTTCTCTTTATATGATTTATTTTCAGTTAGGTTTTTAATTCAATTCAGTTTATTTATATAGTGCAAATTAAAAAAATGTCATCTCAATGCACTTTAGAGACACAATTCAACCAGAACATCCAGTCAAATTGATTCAAAGTTTTCTATCTAGGGAAAACCAGTTGGTTGCATCGACTCATTGACTCGAATGCAATCCCTAAGCATGCTTGTAGCGACAGTGGAGAGGAAAAACTCCCTTTTAACAGGAAGAAACCTCCAGCAGGCTCAGTGTGAGCGGCCATCTGCCGAGGCCGACTGGGGTTCAAGGAGACAGAAGCATCATTGTAATAAAACAACATCAGCGTCCAAACTTAGGAAAAATAGGACAGTTTCTATTATTCACCTTTGAGCTGTGCACATGGCTCCACCCACAGCTGTCTGTGTCTCTCTAACACAAGCCTGTAATGTGGTACCCCTTTAAATACCCTAGGCACATGTATGCTTGTTTTAAAACCTTATTTCATTGGCTACAAATCCCAACAGCCCACGTGGTCTTAACCAATAATTATAGAAAATTATGACGCGTAATACTGTGACAGGAAGTGACCGGATGTGGACCAGAAGTGAGATTTCGGGGACTATGTCTGGCTCAAATCACATCATAAAAATACGCAGACACTTGTGTCTTGTAGATAAGAAGACGATGTAAAGAACCATATCAAGCATTGCAGGCTAATAACCGAGGAAATAAGTATTAGAACTAAATATAAGCAAGATGCTGAGAATAAGCTATGACCAGCTGACTTTTCTGATGTCAACACCCTGATGCTATGGGCGATTTTCTCATCATGGAATATTTTTATTACTAATATGCTGGATTACTTTTAATCTGTGGACCCTTATCGACAAATGGAGCATAAAAAATTGAAGATTGGATTTATAAAATGGCTTCTAGATGCCTTCAAAGGTATGTAGCTGTGGCTGCTTTGTTATGTTTACATTTTGACATGCTGCTATATCTGTGTTAATTGAGCTTTGTTGTTCGCTGTGTCCATAAAATGAACTTAGTGGTTGAATTGTGGAGAATCTAAGCTTTCCAATGATGTCTAACATGTTTATATTGGTAAACATTTTACTGGTGGAATTTTCATGCATTCTGAGTTACTCTCAAAACTCAAACCTCTCACATGGGTCTATAGAGGTTAACCATAGATAGACAGGGTGTCTGCCTCACGGACTAAAACTGGAGGTTGTTTCCACAGGAGAGGAGCCTGATAACTAAACGATCTGCCTCACATTCTACTTTGAGAAATTCTAGGAACCACTAGTAAACCTGCAGATTGAGAGTGAAGTGCTCTGTTAGGGACGTTTTGAAATCTATATGAAAATCAGTTAATATGATTAAATCAGAAAAAAAAAGAATATATTGAATGTTAAATACCACATTTAGGGCAGATGCAGAAGTGTTTAAGGTTTGATTGAACAAAAGAAAAGTGTTCTCTGGATCTATGTGGATATTCAACCAACCACATAAAAACAGCTGCAGCATTTCAGCCGTACATAAGAGCCTCTGAGACGGAACAAAGAGCCCCATGAGGCTCAGGAACTCCAGGTTGCATTAGAGCCGCAACTAACGATTATTTTGCTGACTGATTAATCTGGCCATTATTTTTTGATTAATCAGATGGGAAAAGCTTCCTAAAAGAAGATTTTATACTGAAATTAAACCAGGTGAAGCTAAAACTAAGCCACTTAAGGAGTTCTGGATGGAGCATATTCACAGACAAAAAGGTTTTTCATCTTAAATGCAAAATGTTTATACATTTTTTTACAATGTGGGTGTAAATAACTACTGCTCTGAGGCCGTTGAGGCCGTTGCTTTTTTTAGTCTCTATACTCCAGTTAATGATTAATCGATTATTAAATCACAATTAAACCGATTAATTATTTCAGCCCTAGTTTGTATAGAATAATACAGGAAACATAAATATGCGAGTGGGAAGATCTGCCGACAGGAAAACTATTCTTAGAAATGTTTGCAGCAAATTCAAAAGGAAACGCGGCAAACACAGAAAAAAAATTATATTTTGAGAGCTTTCACTGCACGTCGCCCTGAAAAACTCTGAAGTAAGATGGTGGCAGCATAATGCTGTGGGCTTATGTTAGAAAAGACCCAGTCAAAGTACACAACTTGTTTAAGAAGATGCACTGGAAAAAAATCCAAATGTAGATAAGTATTTTTTTTCTTAAATTAAGTGCATTTTTTTTGGATTGAGGAGGTTAAAGAGACATTTTGCCAATGGAACAAGAAAATTTACATTTAAAATAAGAAAACACAATTACATTGTCCATTTTCAAGTGCATATTATCTAATTAATACTAGTAGTAAAAATACTCATTCCATTGGTGAACTACCTCATTTACCTACTCAAATTAAGGGTAAATACACTTAATTTATGAAATGTTTACTTTTTTCTATATCATTTTTCCAGTGTGTGGTAAAACCTAAAACTTTGTTGCTCAGAAATAATCGGAGCTGTGCTTTGGGATATCTGCAAACATTTAACAAAACATTTAAAATCAAAAAGAAGGAAAACCCTGCGCTGCTTTATCGCATAATAACTCTTCCCCTTCTTTGTGTTAACTGTATAAAATCTCAAACACTGTAAAAATCTAACACTAATTTTCTGAATTCTAGAACCAAACAGTGACCAAAACGTTTCTTGTTAAGAACTGTTGCAACATGTAAAAAACATATAAACTAACATTGTAGGAAAAAAAACAATCTGTATCAGATTTTTTTACCAAACGGGGTTTTGAATTGAGCACCTTCATGACAAAGGAGGAGTTGGATGAGAAGGACAGCTCCTCGGCCGCTTGCTCCAACAGCTCAAACTCTCCCAGCTCCATCCTTTCCAGCTGCCGTTTGCACTCCCACCCCTGAAGCTTCTCCTGGAACGACAGCTCAAAGGAATCCTGTGGAGGTCCAGCTTCTACTTCTGCTGATTCCACTCCAGAACCAGAACTTTTCTCCTTCCCATCGTCTCTTGCCGGCCTCCCTGGCCCTTCTATCAGACCCACCTGTTTGGTGACAGGATTCGGCTGCAGATTACAGCCACTGTTCCTCACAGCCTGAACTGGGATTCCTACATTTTGCTCCTTCTCCTGTCCCAGCAGGTGTTTTATTTGTCTGGATTTTGGCTCAGTTTGAACGGTAGCCGGTCCTGTGTTCTGTCTCTGATGACTCCCCAGAACCTTTATCTGTGGCGCCTTCTCAGCCCTGATATCCTGAGGCGGCGAACAGCGTCCCTTCAGTCGGTTTTCCTTGTTGAGTATGGCGGTTTTGCGTTGGACGGGAAGCTGCGGGACTCCGTTTGAGCCGCCTTTCAGGATGGAGCCAGGTGCAGAGTGGCTGCGAGTGATTGCTCTGGCTTCAGCTGGTGGTTTTTGGTGCTTTTTGTCCTTTTCCTTCTGTGATGAACTTTTTGAATTGTTGGTGAACCTGGAAAGGCCCTGGCCCCGCTTCAAAAAGGGCCTCTTGGTGCAGACCGAAGCTTCAGCTCTGGTTGGATTCTACAAATATAAAAAAAACGGCATCATTTAAACATGCAAAGCTGACAAACACAGTGGAAAAAAATATCTGGAAATGACTTCAATTTTAACCTTGTGAATTTTTCTAATTACAACATAATCTTCAGATAGTTGTTTTCTTACAGCTTGTTGCCGGGCAGACTTCAGTCTCTGCTCCTCCAGCCTCAGTTGCTCTTCCAGAAGCTCCTCAAAGGTTTTCTTCTGTCCCCCGATGCCTGGTTTTATCGGCCTAGAGAAAAGACATGTAGAACTGATTGTCTGATTGATTGTCTAACTGATTGTTAGAAATCTACTTGCTACTTCCTGTCCTTTCAATATTTAATAAAATAAAAGACTGTGTAATGCTGCATTACATAATAATGTGATACAATCAGACCTAAAAAATGCAGTAAAGCAAAACTACAGAGACATTTAGTAATATTTACCTCAAAATGTTATAAATTCACTTGACCTATATTTGTTATATTTTTTTGCAGCATTATCTTAGCAATGTTATTATTTAAAGTGGCGCCTCCTCTTTGTTAAAAATGATAGTGCAGCACAGTATTTACTAATTAATCAACTAGATTTTGTGTTCATCCTAATTCATATACATGTAATATATGTTTTGGACCCTAAGCATTTCAATCTTCCAAATTCTGTTAAAAAAAGAAGCTAAACTGCGATTATTTAGCTGCTTTCTCATGTTTTTTTAATGAGTAAGGAAGAAGCCCTATTGCTGGAAAATCAACAGCTTTTATGAATGCATGAACAACTTAAACCGTTTTGTAAAAAGACTGCAAAACACAATCTGATCAAATAAAAGGAGAAAATCTAAAATCTATTAAAGAAACTAAGTTTAAAACATAAAAAATTGAAAATAAATAAATAAGTACGGTAAGTAATGTTTTTAGAAAGTAAAATCTAAAAATAACAGAATAGTTACTCTTAAAACTTTTTTTTATTAAGATGTTTTTCAAAGTTTCATTTCTAGATTGAATTTTTCAAATTTTAATTAAGAAACCACTTTTTTACAATAATGGAACAAAATTACCTCGATAATTGCAGATAAGTTTTTTGTTATATTAAAGGATCATTCCCAAATCTTTTTGTAGAGACTCACTGTTTAGGAAAAGCTGCCATGCTCTTCTTAAAGCCTAAGCAATTGTAGTAAGAATATTACGCGATGCAACCTTGGAAAAAATTACATTTTGAGGCAGTCATTACAAAATTTGGATGTAGTCACATTTTTCTAGATTTTAAAGTTCGTATTTATTACACTGATACGTTATAGAGATGTATTCTATAATGTGGGGTTATTCACCTGTCCAGACTGGTGTTGGCTTCACGTTGCATCGTTGCACCGCATGGCTCAGAAATATTACCATGGTCCATGTTCTGTTTCAGATTCTCTTCACAGGAGTCTGCAGGAATTAGTGGAAAATCCATTTGCATTATTTATTTACAAAAAAAGCATGTCAATGTGCTTCTCTCAAACCACACATAACAAATCTCACCCTCACTGTTGTTTTCCTCGTCCTCATGTTCTTCACGTCCAGAGAGCTGCTCCTGGCTTCTTGTTGGTGTGAGCTGCAGCTCACAGAGTCCATGTTCCACCTCAACGCAGCTCCTTTCAGGGCTGTGCTGGACAGCGTTTCTTTGCCATTGTGCTCCTGGCAGCCCTGATCTTTCTGTTAAATGGAATAAAAATGGAAGATGTATTAATATTTTCTATTTTAGCTAAATAAACAAAATAATAAATTCTAGAAGCTTCTTTTACTAACCTGTGCAGATCTGAGAGACATTCACAATCCCTAGTAGCTTCTGCTGCTCCTCCTGCAGACACAGCAGCTCCTCCAGCTGTTGTGCTTTCAGCTGCTCATGCATCTGCTGCTGCCATTTCCTCAACTGCAGAAATGTGTATTTTATTTACACAACAAACCATAAACAGGCAAGTTAGAGGATCAACGTGAACAAATATATTTTAAAAAATGTTTTCCAACATCCCATTTAAATCCTTTTAAAGAGATGCTACAGGGGGAAAAAAATCAGAGTTCAAATCTCTCTGGCTTTGTGTAGCACTGGCCCTGCCCTACCTAATGCTGCAAACCACGTTTGGCTACTTAAGAGAAACATGTTGGTTAATAAGCTGCCTTCTCTGGAGGTGTAGATGGCACTAATTATCAACCTTATTAAGTTTGTTTTACTCCATAAAGCTAAAAGGTAAAGAACATTTTTGCTAAAGTCTATGTATGAAGTTCCAAAGAGTAAAGGTGCTCTAATAGGAGTTGGATTATTACACCAATAGAAACTGAAACTGATCACACAGGCCTACTTCCTACAGAATTAGTTTGTTTTAAGGGAACTTAACAAGATATGTTTGATTACAAACAAATTAACTCATGCTTCCACTAAATCCAGCTCCTACTTACTTCAAACAACGCCTTCGTATTTTAAGCCCCTTGAGGGTGAGATGCTTAAAATAGTAGGGGATGTAAAAGCAGTGCATGGGTATTATCCCTTTGGTCCTGAGGCTATTCTTATGTTATCGTCACTGCGTTGACTTTAATTCCAATGAGATCCTGCATCACTTCAGTTCAATTGTACTGATTCTGTTTTTCTGTAAGCGTCCAGTTTCACTATTTTGTTTACACATCCGGTTTAGCCAACGGTCAAAAATGCAACATTCCAAAATCAAAATTTTCATGGACATATTATCTGTAATATCGTTACACTTGGAGATGCTAATTAAATATTTTCCATTTATGTAATAAAAAAAAATATAACAAGAGTTTTAGGATTATTTTGTTTGTTTTTCTATCTCCCTCATCTATGCTGTTTTGAAACACCCACAGTGTGTACACAGTGTTGTAATCCTGGATTGGTTGGTTAGATTTAGCTAATCCTGAACTTTTTTGCAAGAGAGATATTTGCATTTAACTGTAGGTGTGGATTTATGATGGATCAAAAATCCTCATATTGCATGGTGGTGGATTTAATCGAATTTGATGCAAGTGTGTTTGGTTCTCAGTATAATCCAAGGCTTTTTTATAATTAATGTGTAACAGCTGTTTAGGTGTGAGAATTTATTTTTAGATGTAAATTCTAAGGTTTTCAAGAATCAAATATAAAAATATATATGTTTAATGTTATTCCCACATAGGAACCTGGATGTTTCCTGTCACAGAGGAAACATGAATAGTAACCATTCCTCCCTACCTCCTCCAGCTTCATCATCAGGGGTAGATCCTGGGTTTTGCTGGCCATCTGCTCCAAATTCTGGACCTGTCCATCTGAGGTATCCAGTGCTGGAGGATACTGATTGTTCACCGGTCTGGTTCCACCAACACATCCATCCGCATCCAGGAAGCTGCTATCTGTGGAGGCAGGCAGCGGGGCGAAATCGGAGGAGAAAGAGTCGTCTGGGTGCAGAGGGGCGGACACCGCTGCAGTCATATGCCGCAAGGACCCTGCTAAATCCGGGGATGGAGCGAGGATCACTCCGGCTCTGGTGCTGCTCGGCATCCACTTGGTTAGGAAGTCCACAGAGGAGCACGGAAGTGATGGCGATGACATGTTGACCCAGGCGCTTCAGGGAGGGTGTGCTAATCCGGGATTTGGCAAACAGATTACGGTAACAGGTTAAGGGTTAATTTGATCAAGAATGAGCAACGTCTAAAACACACTGTATGTTAAAGCAATTTCCAGATTAAAACAAATCGACATGGTTGATTTCTGCATAAACACAACGAGCCCCGGTGGTACCAGGTTTAAAAATAAAGGCTATAAATCTTACTGATAGATAACAAAAGTGAATTTAACGGCGACAAACTTCGATTCGGTGCTGTTAACTGTCCACAAAACGAACATTGAACATTTTGTATAATGACGTAGCAGTTAAAAGGCATGTTTACCCTCGCTGGTATAATATTTAACCCCAGATTTAACGGTGTTTAACGTTTGTTGCATTAATGACAAAAACACTTACATTGAAGGAATCCGTAATCGTGCAAAAACAACATTTATTTACCTGCTATGCTCATAAAATAAGTTTGACATCCGTAAAATTGGCATAAATAAAACGATTTTTGAACCATGCCACCATTATCAAAACAAAGCCCGCGAGAGCGGATGATTACTGATGCATTATGGGTAACGCAGTTCATGCGTCGTCTGTTTGATGCCTTTTCCACTTTTTAAAATATTTGTGATTAAAAATAAATAAATAAAACAAACTAATAAACTGCAGTATTTTATTACACTTTCAGCCTAAAAAAAATCTGTGAAAAATATGTGGCATTAAAGGCAAAATTTAAACATCCGGTTTAGCCAACGGTCAAAATTGTAACATTTCAAAATAAAGATTTTTATGAATATATTTTCTGTAATATCTTTAGACTCGAAGATGCTAGTTAAATGTTTTCCATTTATATAATAAAAAAATATAAAACAAGTTTTAGGAATTGATTCGGAAAAAATTTAAGCATCAAACTAGGAGGCGAGCTTTTACATCACAAGTCCTAAACCGGAAGTGATCTCTGCGTGCTGTGATTGGTCAATATAAAATACCGAACGAGTGAGACGTTGTAGCTTGTATAGAAAGTGAATAAAAGTGCTTGGGAAACGATGGACAAAGTTAAATGTGACGTTCACGGTAAGCTTTTATAAAAATTCGTATTATACGTTGCTAAACAACACACATAACCTACTTTACGCTTGAGGACTGGGTGTTTTTACCTCTTGGAAAACCCATCGTTAGTTTAAATGCATCACAAGGTGGATTGATTTCCTTTCTCTGTTTTATAAAATAAAAAAATGCTTATTTATCTCCAACGAGGCAGTTCAATTCTCTGTAAATGATTTATTCTTTCTTTTTTAAAATAAGACCTTTTTGTCCGTTCACAGGCACCGTATGTATGTTAAAAACCGGCGTGAGAGATGGGCCAAATAAGGGCAAGAGCTTTTACATTTGCATTGACAAGCAGGGCTGTGATTTCACTCAACAGGCCAGGTATGTTATAAAGTTCATCAGGAGGATGTGCTATTCAACATTTCAGGATCGAAATGGTCTGTTAGGCATAAATTTAAAGCAGCTTAAAAACGAACAATATTGCAAACCTCTGGGGGAAAGTATGTTTGTTTGTTTTTTTATTAACAATGGAGTTGGTATAGGTGCACTATAATGATCCCCAACATAAATTCAGCCATAATGTACAGCACCATCTTTTACTAAAGGTAAATACAGTAGATCAACACAAATATGTCAGTAATGTATGGTGTTGGTGGTAGGATGCCGTGGGCTTGTTCTTCCTTCACTTGATTTGTGTGTTTTGCAATGATGAAGGCATAATATGTTTAAGAACAGCTGAAAGCAGGTTAAAATTAATCATTTAGGCCAATAAGCAATGCTAAAAGGAAGACTGACCCTTTTTAGGTGGAAAATTGGACCTTTAGAAATAGTTTAGAGAGGCTTAATCATCTCCTCTGCCTACATCCCCAAGAATACCAAGTGGTTCTGGATAAGAGTTTAGCTTTATTGTTGAAAATAACTCTTCTAATTCTTGTACTAAATAGGTAAACAATTCACTAATTAGAGTAGTACTGCTTAAAAATATAAAATCTCTGATTATTTTTCCTACCTAATCTGATTAATGGTTTTTTTCCCCTCCCTTATGTTTCATAAAAAAAATGACAATGACTTTGGAAGTTGACCTCAATTTAAAGGGCAACAAGATTCAAGCTGTTAAAATGCTTGCTAAACACACAAAAACACAATGAAATTATAACAAACAAAATGTTAGCAGCTAGTGGTGTTACACAGTCTGCTAGTGAAATCTGTTATTGGTGAACAAAAAATGATGCACTGATGTAACTCAGATCTACGGAAACCCAAGAAGTGCATTGATGAAAACAAAAATCCAGATTTTTCAAAAATTAAATCTTCATAAACAGAGCTTTTTTATTACAACCCTAATACAATAGATATCAACTGATATATAAGGCTTATATAGGGCTACATTTTCCGGCCATAAGGAACACGATCAAATATGTCATCAACAATACTCAGAACTGATAAAGACCTACAGGAAATAAAAACCAAAACAAACAAAAAAAAACGTATTCTAAATAAACTTAGCCCTTCAAGCTATTAAATCTTGAAGTTTGATTTTTTATTTTTTTATTTTTTATCACTGTAAGAGGTTTTTAAAAAAAAATTATTTAACGTTAAAGTCACTATTTGTTTTTTATAAAACGTTCCGCTGGCATTATTGGTTATTTTGTCGTATTTGGATTAAATTGTCATATTCTGCCTGTTTTAATCTTTATTCTCCCCTCTGCCTGCTCCAGTGTCCCGCCATCGCACTGTCTGTGTCACGAAGATTCAGTGGTGGAGCTCCAGGCCATCAGCTTCAGTCAACAGCAGCAGAGCCACCGGTGAGGAGGCTGGAGTCGGGAAAATAGTCATTATTAATAAATAATGATGACCAACTCTTTAAATTAACATTCTTACATTATACTTATGGCTCATTTGTTCCAGACTGTACTACAGATGTGCTGTTGGAAAAAAGGCAGGGCAGAGATGGTGTGGAAATGTGCCTTGGACTGCTGTAAGGACAGCTGCATTATTCCCTTATCTATATGTAATCCATGTCTTTGACTTTGTTAGGTTATGCTGGACAGATTTTTGAAAACAGTTGTTTTGTTTTGAAATTACCTTTTTGTTTCTCTAAATATACACAATATGTGCTACGATAATTTTATTTCATTTTCCCTATAATACCTCAATATTAATGTATTTGTGTGCTGTTTTTATGTTTTATTTAAATGTTTTAGGCAGAAAAGGAAAGAAGAAGCCCTCTAACCGACTCCCAGCTGCAGCCCTCTTGTATTCCACATGTCAGAAATCCTTTTAAGGCTCCCGGCATGACGGAAAAAACCTCAGACCGGAGAAACAGTCAGAGTGTCGGGCGTGAAGGGAAAGATGGAGAGAAGAAAACTGTTACAGAGAATCATAATGCTGAAGGAAAACAAGGTTCCCATAAGGAAAATGTGGAGGCTTCAGGCTCATCTGAAACATATCGAGGTAAACTGCTTCCCCCTGGATTGAAGCTGAAGAAGAGGGTTTCAAGTGAGGAAAGCAACAACTCCAAAGCTGAGGGCGATGATAAAGCAGCAGAGAGGATACGAGGCAGCAGTGAGAAAGATTCAGCCGAGGAGTTAAAAGAAGAAAAAACAATTTCTACTCCTGAAATTACCGTCGATGTCAACCGATCTCAGAAGATCAGTCAAACTGGCCCAGATCTCCAGAGAAACAAACCACAGAAAGAAGCCGAAAGCCGCTCAGTGAGTCGGGCTGAACCTGTAGCAGAGAATGCAGGGTCTGCACCCAGTAGCAGCCAAGCTTCCAGAGAAGTCGTCCCGGCTGCCGTTAAACCCCATAAAACAGAAGCCTGTCAAGATGAGGACGATGATGTGGTGCTGGTTTCAGTGAAACCGGCATCTCAGAAGACTCCTCCGGCTTCTGCTGTCCAAAAGACCATCACCAGCTTCCCTGGGTTTCAGCCGGCTGCCGCTGATCCTAAAGGGATGCAGCGCCTCCTCAGTGCGCAGCTCCAGCAGAAGAAGGTTGGTGTTAAATGAACATTCAGGCTGTGCTGCAGTCTGATGCAAATACTAATGCACAGAAGTCATTTATTTGCTCTTCTAAAAGTTGCTTTCTTTAGTTCTCACACACTCTAACAGTAAATCTGTTCTAAATAACCTCAGTTGAGGTTTAAATAACCATTATGTTTGGATTTTAGAATATTCCAACTTGTTATGAGATTCTGATAAATAGTCAGTTTTTATCTGGACATTTTATGCTGCTTAAGGTTTTTCTGTGTAAATATTTTCTCCTTACTAGGCCACTCTGTCTGCGGTGAATGTGGCGGCCCTGCCAGATAAAGGAGAGAGGCTGAGGACTCAGGTTAAAGAACTGGAGGACGCTCTGGAGTCCCTGAGCCTCACTGCTGCTTCTCAGCAAGGTGACTTATAACCCCCAAAACACTGGCAACGCTTCCCTGCCTCCTAATGGCATAGGGGCAATTACCTTAATTTAAGTAAACATTTTTAAAATCACCTTGAAACTCATTCATGCTCCAATAGGTTTCTTTATTTGGGGGATTTAAGAGAAAATCTAGAGATGATCATGATTACAAGGCTTTTAGCTAGCAATGCGTACTGCCGTACGTTGCACGCCCTTTACTAAAATAATGACAAATTGTACTCCCTCATTTTCCCCAGGAAACTTTGCTCAAATGTTCAAAATTACACCAGCAGCAGATGCTGGAGTTGGCAAAAATTGAATTTCTGTTGCTCAATGCACCAAATCAACCATCAGAGAAGCTGATCTGGGAGCTGGCAGGGAGACTGACACAGCGCTCCTGATGCAGAGTGCTATGGTCACTCAACTGAAAGTGTTTATTAACGCCTAAATTAACTTAAAATGGCTAAACCTGCCGGCGAAATATGTTCGCTTTTATTATTCTAGTGTTATCAAATATTATTTTGCTGTCATAGCCGCTCAGATCCCCACATACCAGTGGTGCGCTGTTACTGGGAATCCCGGGAAACGGCTGCCTCAGGCCGGTTCACCTCTCAGGAGTTTTTGTGGCGACTGTAAGAAGATGCTAGCATCAGAATAATAAAATCAAACATGCCGGCAGGTTTTAGCCTGACGTAGTCCGACTCTATTCTAGTCAGAATATGAGTCTGATACTGCTCCATAGAGCTGTGATTATGGGGCGGGTTTCAAACGAACCAGGGAAAAAAATGCCTCTGCACTCAATTGGATAGACCTACAACCAATAAGAGCAACGGAGTGCGTGACATAAGTTAAGCAACGCATAGGTGTTGTCCACAAAAATCAAAGCGTGCAGTTGCATGCCTAGAATAAGAAGATGAGCCTTGATCGTGTTTCTCTGTTCCTCTTTTAAAATTAATTTGCTGTCGATATCTTCTAGAACAGACCTAATAGCAGAATCTACACACCTCAACTCTCAAGTGGCAGCCATTGTTGTTGTCACCCATGCGTGCTTTGGTCACGTGGTTGATTACGTTACTGTTGGTCATCTGTCCATCATCGTATAAAGCCCGCCCTGACAATTTGATTGGATCGCCTGACAGTGGGCGATAATACTCGCGCTACTATGGAGCAGAGCCAGACCGAACTTCCCGATCTCAAACTTTGTGGGCGGGACTAAGTTCGGAATGGCACCAAGGCTAGGCAGGTTTGGCCATTTTAAGTCAATTTAGGCGTTAATAAACTGTTTCAGAGAAGTGATCGTAGTTATCTGCATCATCAGTGCTGTGTCCGTCTCCCTGCCAGCTCCCAAATCAGCTTCTCTGATTGGTTGATGTGGCACGTCGAGCAGTAAAAGTTAAAACTTTCCACCTGCAGCATCTGCTCCTCGTGAAGCGTTATATGTGCCTCAGATGCTCAGATATTGATGAGGCGCTGCTTGGATGCGTCGCTCCTGCTGCTGGCGACTCGCTGCAGGACCTTTTGATGCACCTTGATGCGCGTCAACCATAGACTTTGCATTTGAACCAGCTGCTTCTGCTGCCCAAAGCACGTCGGATGTGAACTGTGAAATTAATTGTGCGAGATGTTAGTCAGTTGAGCTTTAGATAAACATGACAGAACGATTTGCTTGGTTTCCTCCTGGTTAGATCCATGTACCTCACTTTTCATTGAAACGGCGTGAGAGCAGCGTCAGGGTGAACAGCGCACATGACGCAACCTTGGTTTTCTTACTTTACTGCTGTGGTTTCTCAGTGGTCAGTCCCAATTTTGACTGCTTAAGATGTTGTAATTTTCAAGTATTTATGAATCCTAACTTGCCAAGAAATGTTGAAGACAACATCCAGTTCTTAAAATAAGGAATAACCAAGTCAGATTAATCAATGATTGAAATACTAATCAATTAATTTGGTATCTTAACTACTTACAGCAGTAGTTGAGACAAAATGCTACAGATGTAAAATTTAGACATTAAAAATGTACTTTTATATACATTTGCTATATAAATATATGAATAAAGAAACTAATCGTTAATGGAAAAGTAGTATATATTCTATGTTTATAGATATAGGCTAAAGAACTAAGGGATTCCTTTGATTTAAAAAAAAAGTATCTTTTTTTTGTGAATTGATAAGATAATCAATACATGAATCGATTCCTAAAAATAATCATGAGGTGCAGCATTAGAAAATACATTGTAATAAATCTGTTTTAACCTAAAATTTTCTCTGAGACGGTTTTACGGTTAAAAAGGTGAATTTCTGTTTGTTTCTTCTTTTCTGTGGCGTTTAAATCCTTTTCAGAGTCTGTTGATGAGCCTAAGAGCAGCGGTTCTGCTGCTGGTCGGCCTGTGGTGAATCCATTCAACAGGCAGGGTGGTACCATGCTGCTCCCCTCCCCTCCTGTACCGGGCCCAGTCCAGCACCAAGCCTCAGGCAGCTCCTCGGGGATTCAGCTAAGCCAGGGAAACAGCCAAATGTTTGCAGGTGAGCTATGCTAGAAATACTTGAAGTTTTTAATGTTCATTTAGCTTTTCATTTGGTGATATCCATGTTATTTTTTCCTTTGCAGATCTTCAGATGCATTCCTATTATGGCGGCAGGATGACGAACGAGCGTCTGCTGGCGGTGAAAAACGCCACCTGTGAGGCCATCGACCATCTTCATAAATCCCTGGAGTCCTGCCCGGATGCTGAGCAGGAGGCCTCAGACCCCAGAGGCATCAAGGTGCACCCCCACCCTCGCCGCCCACCCCACCCATCAGATTATGATATAACCAAATGTGTCTCATGCTATTAACATGTTACAGTAAGATTACTCGTGCTGAAAACTGAGAAACGCGCTTTGTCAAGTTGTTGTACATCAAATGTTTATGATTTTGATTTCTGATTTTTCTATTTAAAATAGACAGTTGATACAACGTTCTTTTACTTAGAAAGAGTCCTGTGTGAGTAACACGGCTTTTCTTTTGTCAGGTGTCACTATTGGCCCATCAAAGGAGAGCTTTGGCTTGGCTGCTCTGGAGGGAAACTCAGAACCCATGTGGAGGAATTCTGGGTGAGTTTTATTCACGTATCTTTAAACAGATATTAAATATAGCTGCAGCTCGTATAATCAAGCAAACTAAAGATGAAACAATCAGATTTTCCTTTTTGTTTTTCAAATCTTACTGGTTCTGATACATTAATTTCTATCTTTTTAAATTATTCTAATAAAGAGGTCACAAATTAGTGGACCACAGTCCGCTAATGGTCCCACCTGCTGGCTAATCCTCATTTAAAACATTTGAAAATTACCGCATGTTGTCCGACAACAGTGTCTAATCTCACTTGCATCGCCTCTGCTGTTTGTACGGTAAAGCCCTCCAGGACCAGGCAACACACGATGCATATTAGCCAATGAGCTGCTTTCAGTCTGGGTTGCTGCATCTAGCTACTTTTAGACACAGCAGGCAAATCTGGGGCAAGCCGGTGTAGGTACCAGATCTGCTCGGGGCCCCTGCTTATGACGTCAACATATTTAAACTCGACTCAGACAAACTGTATAGCAACAGTTTCTTAAGGATCAAATCTCTTTTGTAGTCTCACCATATTATTACCTATATTTGCTATTAATTTACATTTCCTTGGCGATCTAAAGTAGCCGAAAGTAGCAAACAATCATTGTCATTCTTAAAGGAAAGTGCTATCTTCTAAGACTGAGCTCTTTTTTATTCTTGTATTAAGATCTGAGGGCAGTGGAGGACAAAGGGAAAATCTTAAAAACGACTTTCGTAGAGATTTTAGACGAATAAAACAGTTATTCTGCTTGTATAAAACGGTTGTTGACGTTAAAAGTAGTGTAGCTTAATATGGATAACTGACAGAGCTAAAAGAGGCTAATCTGTTAGCTACTGAGCACAGCTAGCTACAGTGCTCTCCCCTTTACACCATGGTCTTGCAGTTACTTTGTTCACCATAAACGTTTTCTTTTTTCAGTTTTGTTATCGATTAGGTAAAACTAGATTGGTCATTAGACACGCTAACACTACAGATGCTCCCGACTTGGCATACTGACGCTCCGTGATGTTATTATCGTTACCTGGGCAACTACAATGTTTTACCTCATGTGGCAACGTTCAGCCAATCATGTAGCATAACATCACTGGCATGCGCAGATCTGACCACCCGAGCACATCTGGTGCCTACAATGAGCCGTGGGTAACGATGATGAGAAAACATGAAAGAAAGTGTAGACTGCTGGAAGAAACAGAGAAAAGTGAAAAAGTGTGCTTAAAGACGAACCTGCACACTTTGAGTATGTTTGGCTCAACCTGCTGCTGTGAAGCTGGATTCTCCATCAGGAACATAAATATGGATCCAGGCTCAAAATGAGCACCTTGATATGTGCTTTAGAATGGTTTTGCCTCCATTCAAACCCAGGTTTAAAGCCTTGCAGGGCAGCATAAAGCCCACTGCTCTCATCAAGCCGTAAAAAAGGAATAAAAAACCAAACAGTTCAGTTGTTTTATAAAATATGTGAATCAGGAATTGTCTATATAACGAACTGAACGATTGTTGTTCTCTACTTCAAAAAAACACTTTAGATTTTAAGATGGAAAATGTTCTATTTTGTTTTTATGTATATTTTTATTTAAAAGTTCAATGTATAACATGGATGCATAAAAAACCTCATTTTATTTCAGTGTTAGATTCTGTTTAAAGTAACGCATTATGATTAAAAATGACTCCAGATCCTTACTTGTTGTGATTTTCTTTATTTAGACCCCGCTGATTTTTAATTGGTTACCTCTGTTCTAATGATTTAAACCTGAAAGTGAGTAAAAAAGAGCCTTTTTTTGGTAGTTGCCTAATTTGCAATGTGTTATCTGACTGAAAATCAACACTTTCCCAGTTTAAAGTGCAGCAACATTAATGCCTGTGTTGATTATATTATAAAGTGAAAATAAAGAAAGCCATTAGTTTTGGTGCATTATTCAATAGTATGAAGAATTTGCCTTTTTCTTTTTTCTTCTTTGCAGTATTGACCTGCAGGTTAAAATGGCTGAGGTGTTTTTAAAGTAGGAGCACTCTAATCCCCTCACGGTTTATTTGCTTCAAATACTTTTTTGAAAAGTAAAAAAAATACTCCTAAATATGAGCTAAATGAAGGCCATTAAATGAAAGAGCCTTTTATAAAGATTGATTAATTTGCTGTTTTACTTATATAAGTAGAATCATTAAACTTTGTAAAGTTCCCATGAAAATTCATTTTGCTTCTTCTTTTGCCTTCAGCGGACGACATGGGCTTGGGGAAAACTCTCACCATGATTTCTCTCATCCTGAAAAAGAAGATTGAGGCTAAAAAGGAAGATGACAAAAAGGAAGGGAAGAAGCTGGACTGCTGGGTGTCTAAAAGTGGTAATCTTTGTTATTAATCCTCTGTTTTATCTAAGGAAATGCAGCTTAGTGATTTCTAACACAATAAGAATATACAACGGTTATCTGGTTTGTTTGGTTGTTTCTTCGCATTACAGATTCCACCGTTGTCGTCTCTAAAGCCACTCTGGTCATCTGTCCTGCCTCTCTGATTCATCACTGGAAGAAGGAAATTGAACGACATGTGAAGACGGGCAGGATGTCTGTGTATCTGTACCACGGACCCAGCCGCGAGAAAAGCGCCAGAGCGTGAGAACCCTGTCGCTTCTGTCTCTATTCTAATTTTTTACTGTCCATCTGTCTGTCTTCAATCCTGCTGTCCAATCATAGAAAACCTATCAACGTCCTTTTGGTCACATTGTTGGTTTTCTTTCCAGTCTGAAAGAAAGACGCTTGCCTTTATTGGGAAGCTGCTATTTCTTCTAGTGTGTTGCTCATTTCTTTACTGGAAGGTTGAGCAAAGTCAGAGACCTCTCATTATGGGCGGTTCTAGACAGACTGTTATTTTCCCTGTGCTGCAGACATAATGCCAAAAAAACTCTAATGACGATATTCTTTGGAACAGACATGGTGACGAATGGGTCCTTTTGACAATCTTTATAGTTCTGTTTTAATTCATCCATCCATCTTTTTCCGCTTATCTGGTGTTGGGTTGCGGGGGTAGCAGCTTTAGTAGGGAGGCCCTGACGTCCCTCTCCCCAGCCACTTAGGCCAGCTCCTCCGGGGGAATCACAAGGCATTCCCAGGCCAGCCGAGAAACATAGTCCCTCCAGCGTGTCCTGGGTCTCCCCCTGGGCCTCCTCACAGTGGGACGTGCCTGGAACACCTCACGAGGGAGACATCCAGGAGGCATCCTAACCAGATGCCCAAGCCACCTCAACTGGCTCCTCTCGATGTGGAGGAGCAGCGGCTCTACTCTGAGTCCTCCTTGGATGACTGAGCTCCTCATCCTATCTCTAAGGGAGAGCCCAGACCGGCCATGACCCAAAGCTCATGACCATAGATGAGGGTAGGAACGTAGGAACAAAGCCAAGCCTGGAGGTGGGGCACGCTGGCGAGTGCCTGGTGGCCGGGCTTTAACCAATGGAGCCTGGCCGGGCACAGCCCGAAGAAGAAACGTAAGTCCCCCTTCCAATGGGCTCACCACCTGTAGGAGGGGCCAAAGGGGTCGGGTGCAATGTGTGATGGGTGGCAGTCGAGGGCGGGGACTTTGACGTTTTGATCCCCACCTGAACAAGCTGTCTTAATTCTGATTAACAAATTAGGGTGATAGCTTTTGTAGTGTTAAGATTGATCAGTTTCTGCTAAATGTTATTGTGAACCAAATTAGAGAAATTCTCTGATTTGCTTCAGTTGAATTGACCAGTTTAACTTAAAGGAATAGTACACCCAAAACATGATTAGCCTTCATTTTCTACTCACCCCCATGCTGAACAACACTCTGGAGTACTTTTTTGATATCTCAAATGCATCTGGAGATCTGGGAGGCTTCTTGCTGTCTCCTGACATTCAAATAATGGAGGTCTATGGTGACCGAGACAGAAAGGTCCATAAAAGTCCACAAAAAACGTGTCAATATTCCTCCATACTGCTCGTCCAATGTATTCCAAGTGTCCTGAGTGGGTAGCATCCAGAATTTACTCGAAACGAAGTCATTTAGAATGTTTTTAGAGCATAAACAGTAGAGTATAGAATTTCCTGAAAGCGCGTTCACGAGTCTACGGAAACCGCGGCAGACCAAACCAGCGCATTCAGCTCAGCAAAGAACTCATGCTCTTCCTCAACACTGAAGTCCTCAGACATTTTTCTTTCGTTGTTTCTTTCTTTGCACAGGTAAACAGCACATTTCTTCTTCTACGCTTGCATTATTGGCAGAGCAGACGCTGAATGCGCACTTTCATCTGGTTTGGTCTGCCGGCTTCCGTAGAGTCGTGAGCGCGCATGTGCGCGCTTACAGGAAATCCTATACACTACTGTTTATGCTCTAAAAACTAAATGACTTTGTTTCGAGTAAATTCTGGATGCTACCCACTCAGGACACTTGGAATACATTGGACGAGCAGTATGGAGGAATATTGACACGTTTTTTGTGGACTTTTATGGACCTTTCTGTCTCGGTCACCATAGACCTCCATTATTTGAATGTCAGCAGACAGCAAGAAGCCTCCCAGATCTCCAGATGCATTTGAGATATCAAAAAAGTACTCCAGAGTGTTGTTCAGCATGGGGGTGAGTAGAAAATGAGGGCTAATCATGTTTTGGGTGTACTATTCCTTTAAGTTCCACTTAGGATTTGGTCACATTCATTTTAAATAGGTAAAAAATATGAAATATTCCTATATAATGAATTTTAATTGACTCAATATTCCAGAGAACAGTTTTATTCTATCTTTTAGTAGATATCTATTTAGCAACTAATTATTTCACTTGCTTTTTTTCCCCATTGTAAGGGATTTTTAAATTTTACGTACAATAAAGTTAACATTTTTAAAGCCAAATACAGATTTTAAACTGGAACAGCATAACAATTTGAATTAGATTAAATGACATGGAAATTTCACTTTATTCAGTGCAGTGCCACAAATATAATTTTGGTTCTGTGGCTCACTTAATATTTTTTAAAGATGAATTTTTTGGTTTCATGCTTTTTGGTGCCACCATTTAAACATGGTGGCCTCCACCCCGGCCCCACCTAGTAAATATGGTGTAGAACCGCCTCTGCCTCTCAAAGCTGAGGAACACATTTTCATGACTTGGACATGAACCGAAAAATAACAGCTGCTGTTATTGTGCAGGTTGGCGAATAAATGATTGATTTTGTCTAAATTTAGAGCACAAATGATCAGGCTCTGCCTCACATGATGGATGTATGTGGGTGTTTAGTTACTGGGAAGGCGTGGCGTGGTTGAAAGTGCTTAAGTGTAAAAGTAATGAAGGTAAAAATTTTAAGGACAGATGCTTTACTGCACTTCCATATTAAAGTAACATTTTTATACAATTCTGGATGAACATTTCCTCATACTTTTCTTAGTTTTAAAATTATTGTGTCAGTGTCAAATTTCACTTTGCATCAACCACAAAGAAATTGTCTGGATGAAACAAATTATTTTGGTAGATATTTTTTTTTTTTATATCAACAGGTTATAATGAAAATTAACTGAAGTGAAAAAAGTCTGTTTAAAATGTAAGGAGTAGAAAGTAGATATAATTGCAAAAAATGTAAGGAGAAGAAGTAAAAAGTTGCATGCTGCTGCAAGATGCTGTGGTAGCCATGCTGGTTCAGTATGCCTTCAATTTTGAAAAGATCCCCAACAGTGTCATCAGCAAAGCACCTTTTCTGCGTTGCACAAAGACACAATGGTTGGAACCAAAGATCTCAAATTTAGACTCATCAGACCAAAGCACAGATTTCCACTGGTCTAATGTTCATTCCTTGTGTTCTTTAGACAAAGCTAATCTCTTCCGCTTGTTGCCTCTCCTTAGCAGTGGTTTCATAGAAGCTATTTTACCATAAAGGCTGATTTACACAGTCTCCTCTTAACAGTTGTTCTAGAGATACAGTATGTCTACTGCTAGAACTCTTTGTGGCATTGACCTGGTCTCTAATCTGAGCTGCTGTTAACCTGTGATTTCTGAGGCTGGTGACTCAAATGAACTTATCCTCTGGTCTTCCTTTCCTGAGGCGGTCCTCATATGAGCCAGTTTCTTTGTAGCGCTCGATGGTTTTTGCGACTGCACTTGGGGACAAAGTTTTGCCAATTTTTAAAGTAATGATTGCCACTAGTTTTTCTTTATTTAGCTGCTTTTTTCTTGCCATAATACAAATTCTACCAGTCTGTTTAGTACGACTATCAGCTGTGACTTCTGCACAACACAACTGATGGTCCCAACCCCATTTATAAGGCAAGAAATCCCACCTATTAAACCTGACAGGGGACACCTGCGAAGTGAAAACCATTTTATGTGACTACCACTTGAAGCTCATCAAGAGAAGCAGTAATCAAAGCAAAAGGTGGCTATTTTGAAGAACCTAGAATATAAGACATATTTTCAGTTGTTTCTAGGGCTGGTTATTTTGGCCAAAGTCCTGAATCGATTTGATTTTGATTAATGCATTTCCAAATCGATTCATTTAGATTGGATCTGTTTTTACAATAATGAAAAGTTGTTCAACTGTGTTTCAAAATACAGTTTAAACTTGAGATGTGAACAAAACTGTCTCAAAAGTGCAAACTTGTTTGTGAAAAGTGAAAAACTGAAGCCTCACTCAACAAGCAGACACAGCAGACATGCATGAGCTGCATTATCTCCACTGCACAAACCATATTTGCAACGTTGTCTTTAAAAACTACATGGTGTTTGCTGGTCAACCTCCCTTTGTTAATGTCTTCAGTCAACCTATTGGCTATATTTACAGCTGTCTGGCTTGAATTAATCTTGAGTGCATCTTTCCTGCTCATTTGAATGTGAATGTCACGTGTGTCACTATAAAACTAATCAATCACATTCCCTAAACTTCGATTTTGCAAAAATGTAATCAATCAATTCAAAATCGATTAAATAGATTCTTTTTTTACCCAGCCCTAGTTGTTTCACACTTTTTGTTAAGTATATAATTCCACATGTGTTAATTCATAGTTTTGATGCCTTCAGTGTGAATCTTCAATTTTCATAGTCATGAAAATAAAGACTTTTGTTGCTTTTTTTTTTTTTTTTTTTTACTTTTTACACTAGTCTGTGAAGGGTAAACCATCGGCCTCCTGTAAAGTGGTTCAACTTACCACAAGGAAAGGGCCACAAGAGCCACACCACAGTCAATGAGTCAGTGTCACAGACGGTTGTTAATGTGGTTTTCCGGTGAGACAGTTGGTGAAGATGACTGATCGAATCATAAACACTCGTATTACCATCGCACGGACTTGGATGATGATGTATTAAGGTGAAATGTAACTTAGTGCTGCTTTAAAGCCCAAGTGAATGCCTTACGTTATTTTGTGTCTCTCCTCCAGATTAGCAGATTACGATGTGGTGGTGACCACATACGGTTTGGTCAATAAGGAGATTCCAGTCCAGAAGGAGGATGCTGATAACCCCAGCAAAGATCCTGATCAGATGGTAAATACAGCAAATATAAAAGTTTGTTTTTATGTAAAAACAAAACAATAAAATCCATTATTATTCTAAAGGGTAGAAGGTTTAGGATCATTTTAGACAAATATAAAGGAAAGAATGAATTCACCTCAGCTGATATATTGTACCTGCAGCCTTCGGGTTCCTCACCTCTTCTGCGAGTATCCTGGGCCCGTGTGGTTCTGGATGAAGCCCACAACATTAAAAATCCCAAAGTGCAGACCTCCATGGCCGTGTGTCAGCTAAGAGCCCGCGCACGCTGGGCCGTCACCGGGACCCCCATCCAGAACAACCTGCTGGACATGTACTCACTGCTCAAGTAGGATGAAACCCGCTTTCTTTGACAGGATTATCAGCTCAACTTCTGTCCTTCAAATTCTTATTACTTTAATCTAGGGAATTAATATTTATTGAATAAATGTTTTTCTTCAATATTTTAAAGTTCAATTTAAATAATGATTCCATTCAAAAGACATCTTTACAAATTATATATTTTCTTTTTTTTTCATTAAGGTTCTCAATCAACATTCTTTTGAAATATTAAAAAGTTAAACATTTTGGAAAAAAACATTTTTGAATGAATAACGTTATTTCAGACAAACCAATAATAAAAAAAACAATATCTGAGAAAATTAAAATTCACTCTCAAAACCTTTTTCATTATTATTAAAAAGTGTTTCAGGGTTTCATTTCTATATTGGATCTTGAGGTTAATGTACAATATTTATTTATTTACTTTTTTCCTATTTCCATTTACAAAATAAGTTATTTGTTTGCAATAATAATGGAATTATTAATTTAACTTAATTCACTCCATATAGAGGGCTGTTTGAATTCAGCTTTCTTGAGAAGCCTGGAGAACGTCTCCTAACTCAGCATTTGTCTCTCAGGTTCCTGCGTTGTTCCCCGTTCGATGAGTACAAGCTCTGGAAAGCTCAGGTGGACAACGGCTCCAAGAGGGGCCGAGAGAGACTCAACATCCTGACGAGGACTCTGCTGCTGCGACGGACTAAAGATCAGCTCGACTCGATGGGAAAACCACTGGTAGGAGAAAATATATATATTTATTGACATGCAATAAGAGTTCCTACTAACTGCTAAGAAAGACTAAATCCAGGTGCTGCGTGCTATAGGTGGATCTTCCTAACCGGACCTGTGAAGTACATGAGCTCAAACTCTCTGAGGACGAGCAGGCCGTATATGACGTGGTGTTCGCTCAGTCCAGGTAAAATTACAGCAAATTACATTTTTGTTAATGGAGAACACTATATATTTTAGTTACATACTGAGAGTTTTTTTTTTCTGCACGTTTTTTTTGTTGTTTTAAATGTTTTTTACTATCAGAAAAGTTTGTTCCTAAATTTGTCTAATGCAAAAAACTCTCCTCCTCTTGCATGTTTCCGCTGTCCATAGCGTTCCTTGAAAGTGTTGTTTTGAAGTCACCAATTTATTGCTACTTGGTTATAGACTTTCCCATGAGGAACCTTAGCACTAAATTGCTAACTGGTTAGCAAGATGCTTCCGAGAAACCGGCCACAACCAAAGAGCTTGCGAACCTTCCGCCACAACAATCCCGCCCTCTTGATAATCGACCAATCACGTTCACTTTATTCACTTGTGTAAAGTCGGGCACCGCTTGGGAGAATTCTGAAATGCAACGGTTGGAACGGCCGCTTCCCTACGACTTTAGCGAGTGGGCCTTTTTTTTTTATTTATTTTTTTTTTAACTTCCTGATGTTCAACAGCCTGAAGCCAGGATTCTAACCCTGACACCCTCGCCTCCAAAGCTACAAAAATACTACACTTATTACACATACCATTATCACTAAAAGAGGCAAAGGAATAACTAAACCTCTGACACAAGAGAGCAAGAGAGAGGAGACGAAGAAGAGTCATAAAAGAGTCAAGGGAGGGAGACAACAAAGCAATGGTAAAGCAAAGCTGGCGCCAGCCTAGGCTAGCTACTCCTTAGTACCAGAAATAAAATCGTGTAAATGCGACAAGTGCAGCAGAGGGTGCTATGTTTGAAAGTGCATCTGGACAGTTAGAGTTACTTAGATGCAGAGATATCACAGTAAAAAAGAACTTAAATTAGACGGAGATGGACTGAATAACAATGCAGCTTAGCATTTAAAACAGTAAGTGAACTTGATATGTCTGACCAACAGCAGCAGTAGCAACCTCTAGTGGCAGTTCAGTGACGGATGACTGCCACCATCTAAGACTAGCATATAGCTATGATAAAACCACTTTTATAAAGCTGCAGCCTATGAGGACAGTGGACCGCTGTGACAGCAAATCCCATAACGCATAATGAGAAAGTTGAGCTTTAATGACCGTCTGAAACCCTAGCTCACCAGTGATATACGCCTGAAAGGGCGCATGCGTAGAAAAAGATAGCAAACGGGACGAGCACGTAGGACGGCCTTATGTGAACATATCACCAGAATGATTGACAATTAGGAGAACCACTTATTTAGATGATCCACCCAGAAATAAAAGTTTGTCCTCTATACCTTTAAGAGGGTCTGATGTGTCACTGTCATGTGACCCACGGCCTTGCTTTCTGGTAGTCTGAGCTCCTGATTAACATGAAGGCAAGGAAGTTTGTTTATATAGCACATTTCGGTGGCAAGGCAATTCATAGTAAAAAAAATTATGTAAAAGTTCATATAATGATTTTAAAAGAGCGTACGAAGTAAAAAATATATGAAACGTAGAGATAAGAAATATTTTGGATTCACTGACGCAAGATTGAATCTGAAGGTCTGAATGTGTTCTTGTCTTCATGAGTAACTCCAGGAATTCTCAGCCTGCTGCTCCAAAAGTTTTCCGCTATCAGATTCCAAAACGATGAGAAAGACGGTTTAATTTGGTGACTGCATTGTGCTGCCAGTGGCCTTTAGGGGGCGCCAAACCTGGAACTTAAGGAGCTAGCACCCCTAGTGGCTAATAGTTGTAGTGTTGATTTAAAATGTGCAATAAATGATTTTTTTCTTTGCCCACCAGATTTGTTTATTGATAGATATTGGTTTAAATTATCAGGTTTTAAAGTAAAAGATTGAAAAAAAGAAGAATCTATAGATTTGCCAAATAACATTTATCAATATTAGACATAATAAGATATGAAACTATATCTAATTGTTGTAGAAATGACTTTGGATTCCAGTCGGGGCAGGAAAACAATCATTGTTTTTAATATTACACAGAATTACCAGGACAACGGCAGATATGATGGCTTTTATGTTACCAGACATATTTATAAATGTTTTTCCTTTAGATCTACTCTGCAGAACTATCTGAAGAGACATGAAGGGAAGGATTTGGACAAGGGAAAAACTTCCAGTGTCAATCCGTTTGATAAAGGTTAGACGTCACCTGACATCTAGCATGCTCTGATAAAACCAGGAACTAAGATCGTGCCTTTTGCTCTGGCTGCAGTGGCCCAGGAGTTCGGTTTATCCCAGCCTGATCCCGCAGTGTCCAGCTCTCAGCAGGCATCCAGCACTGTTCACATCCTCTCACTGCTGCTACGTCTCAGACAGTGCTGCTGCCACCTGTCGCTTCTTAAGAAGGTTCGGAGGCTCTTTTATTTTATTTAAATTTTTTCTATCTCCTATTGAACTCATCTGTATAGAATGCATAACAGTTGTTCCTTCTTTTCCCACCAGACATTGGACTCATCGGAGCTGCAGGGTGATGGGATCGTTCTGTCGCTGGAGGAGCAGCTGAACGCCCTGTCCCTCTCTTCAACGCCCTCTCAGTCAGTCCCTGACCCCAATGACACTGTAGCCTTGAACGGCACGCGGTTCCCCTCCAAGCTGTTTGAGGAGACCAGTAAAAGCACCAAGGTGACTCCAGGGTTCCCTTACATGTATTTGATCATGGTACTCTCTCTCAGCAAAATAAAAGAATGAATAGGAAATATGTTAGCATAGTACATTTTGTGCACGTACTCTAAGCATGATATGAGTTTAAAATTAATTTAAATATAATGAAATGTCAACATGATCCCCCTGGGTCCTGTCTGTCTTGCAGCAAAGCTGGATAGTGAAGCTAACTGGTGGTTTTCTGAAAACGTTGCACTTAAAAATGTACTTAACCACAATGCAGCTTGTGTCTTTAATTTACCTCATGAAGCCTCTGATTAGTGTCTAGTGTCTAGTAAAATTCGACGTATGCGGTGTGGATTCAGACGATGTATATAAATTCATACATTGTTTCGTTATGTGAGGGTAACTTTTGGTACATTTCAACGAAATTTCAAAAGATAAATTACTGAAAGTAATTTTATCACATGGTGAATTGATTGACTTTATTGATCATCAGCTCAGTAGTCAAAAAGAAGAAGGTGCCAAAGGAGGGAAAATATATATATGTATATCCTCACCTATCCCTCTTTTTCTACTAAAAAACTTTTAGATTTCTGCCATCACTTCTGAGCTCATGACGATAAGAGAGAAGGGCGACAATCAGAAAAGGTAAAAAGAAAAAAACATGACTTTTAACAATACATATTTTTGTAGTTTTTCATCTGTTGATTCACAAAAAGTCGCTTTTAAATTTTTCGCCACTCTTTTTTTTTTTTTAACCTCCCAACACTGATATCGATCTGTTGACCGCTTGTGTTTCCTGCCGGCTCGCTGTGCAGCGTGATCGTGTCGCAGTGGACCAGCATGCTCAGCATCATAGCAGTTCATCTGCGGCAGATGGGCCTGACTTACGGGGTCATTGACGGCTCGGTGAACCCCAAACGGCGCATGGAGTTGGTGGAAGAGTTTAACACCAACCCTAAAGGACCGCAGGTACACCTTCTTCTGATTCTTCAAATCAGTACATGTATTTCTTTAAATAATGCAATAGTTTGTGTGTTTTTCCTTTAACATGGTTTCTTTTTTCTAGGTTATGCTCGTTTCTCTGTGTGCTGGTGGAGTTGGACTCAATCTTATCGGAGGAAATCATCTCTTCCTCATAGATATGCATTGGTGAGATCACAGCACACATAATGGAGCACAGTAGTGATGGATCAAGCAACACTGATGCGCCGGCATGTGTCGAGCTCTAACAGCAAAACCATGTGTTGGTGCACATATCGTCAACAGAAGGTCAAGTGACCGATACAGGAGCTGTTTTGGACCGACTGATGCACTAAACTATGTTTATATGCGCATCTGTCAACACAAAGAATCTGCCAAAAAAATTAAAATCTGATCTTTTGCGAATTATCATCAAATTAATCAAGAAAATGGATTATCCTCAAGGGAAAAGAGAGATTTTAGGCGACTGGGACCATTCTGACCTCATATTTGATTTAATGTTCTTGCTGTGTCACCCTGTTCCTCTCAGTTATCACTCAACTCATCTGAATTCAAATTGACTCTTAGTTTGCTCTTCTTTGTGTAGTTATCTTAAATAATTAAACCCTACTCCTATATGCTCAGTTAAGTTCTATCTGAAAATATCAAACATATTTTTTATTTAAACGAAAATAAGAAATAATACATCAAAGCAAACAGTGGTGTTAAATGTAATATTATAGGTCATGAAAACCTGAGGGAAGTTGGCCCCCCCACCTTCTTCAAATCAGACAAAATTAGTGTCAAACGTTTGTGCAGCAAAAATTTTTGTTTGTGCCGCTATCATTTTAAAGATATAAAGAAATATTTCTAGAAGTCATCAAAGGTCAACCAGCTCCCCCACCTTCTTCAAATTAGACAAAATTGGTGTCAAACGTTTGTGCTACAGTTGTGCGGCAAAAATTTTCATTTGTTCCGCTATGATTTTTTTTACCGTTTAAAAATATATGATCATTGGTCAGCAACTTATAATTTATATGAAATTCAGAGTTTCAGAATGAACAAATGTTCACTGACCTTTGATGGCTTCTACAATTATTATTAAAATGATAGCAGTACAAAAAATGTATATATTTTAAAATATGCATTTTTAAATTTTTTATATATTTTAAATATTTTATATTTAAAATTAATTTTAAAATTTAGATTTTTGTATGACAAAAATTTTCATTTGTACTGCTATCATTTCAATTATATTAATAGTATTTTCTAGAGGTCAAATAACATCTGTTTTTGCTGCACAAACGGAGCCGAGTTATTTGATACCCACTTTGCCTCGTTTTGGGAGGGGGTGTTTGGGGGGGCTTGATAGGGGTTTGATAGCAAACGAAAATTTTGGCTGCACAAACCAGCACAACCGTAGCACAAACGTTTGACACAAATTTTGTCTGATTTGAAGAAGGTGGGGGGGGCCAACTTTACTCAGGTGTCATGAAATCATTGTCAGTTTAGTCTGTCAGTCTGCCTGTAGGGTTGTTAAACGTCCAGCAGGTGTCAGTATTCAGTGACACGGTATCGAAACAATATCAGTACAGTTTGCAAATGTGTCAAACGCTTCATGATGCCTCATGAACCCATCACTAGAGCACAGCTTTCAAACAGCAACAGCATATCGAAAGGGGGCAGAATGCCAAAGCATGGCTGATTTGTCAAATATGTGTCAATTTGAAAACCATTTATTATTTCTTTCCACATCAAAATGATGTTCTCCTTTACGTTCATCTGTCAAATAATAGAATAGAAAATCTCTTTATCGTCCCACAATGGGGAAATTGTGTTGTTCCAGCCGCAAAATGTTATAGCAGAAGTGGTCACACAATGTTCACCTTAGAAAAGTGTATAAAAATAACAGATAAGAAAAGAAATAAAATTTTGTACTGTACAGTGTTTTTACAATATTAATACTCTATATCCAAATAAACATCAGTTTGATTTTCATGTATCAAAGAAGATGCATGAGATTGAATATTTTAAAAATGGCGGTGATGTTTTCTTTATTTTAAAAGGAGAATAATAAAGATCAGACAAATGCATTTTCTATGTTTCTGACTAATAATAATACAATTAATTCAGCCTTTGTTTGGTGCAGTGCAGTAGTATTTACAATGTATTGCGTTAGAGAACCTAACAAAATCCCTGGTCCCTTTAAATTCTTTGACAGGAACCCAGCCTTGGAGGATCAGGCCTGTGACCGGATCTATAGAGTCGGACAACGTAAAGATGTCACCATTCACAGGTAGCTCTTATTTAAAACAGAATAATCCCTTTTAAAGGCTTCCTAAGCAGCCTGGGAATAGATGGAATTTAAATTTGATGTTCTGGAAAGGTATGAAAGTACGGGATTTAAGGACTGAAATGTATTAATTTATTCCAGACTTTGTTCCCTATCTTACAGGAGCATCTGTATGAATTGAATTTTAAATTTAAGCTCCTGTCACACCTTGATGATTTATCCAGCGTATGCCTGATGTACGAAAAATTTGGCAAAAACGCTGGCATACATTGGATAAGTTATGGGTAAATTTTGTATAAATTATGAATAGCTGGCACACGTGACATACGACGTACATCAATAGATTTTGAGCATGTACAAAATTTTTTGACGTATGCTCATATATGGGTCATAAGTAACAGGTAAGTTATCTGATCATTGATATACGTTTCTAGCTTTTTCAAAACCTATGAGTAAGTTATGCATATTTATCAACGTTTTCGACGCTTTCCAGATGACCGCTTAACGTGTCTTTTACTTAAAGCTACTGTATACTGGCGTATTGGCAGCGTTTTGGTATAAAAGGGGGTTCACAGGAGGAAACTGTCGGTACTCTTTCAGACATCACCCACATCATAGGGTGGTGTGATGGATCCTCCCTGCCTTCACGCCCACGACCTACAAACTTCCTAGCAGACATGACGCTGAATCTGATGCGACTGCAAACCTTCATTCTTTCTTTTTATTTTTTTTTATTTTGGTGGGTGCCAAACAGCAGCTAGGTTAATGCTGTGATCAAATAAAAGTTTTTATGCAGGCCTGGTGCCTCCTGGTGCATTTCTGCCCCCCTCAGGATACTGGCTTGTGACATTTCATAGGCATTAGGCTGCCTTGCGTTATGCATAGGCTGTCGTTGGACATAAGTTCTGGACTCGTTATGAATACGCTATGTATACACCCAAAATTGAAAAAAAAAAAAAAATACTTAGAAAGTTCAGAGTATGCCAGCGTTTTAGGGGATTCTGGGCGTCAGGCATACGCTGGTTAAATCGGCAAGGTGTGACAGATTATTTCAGTAACTCAGTTCACCAAGTAAAACATTATGTTGGTTAATTAGACATAAACTGATGTTTTTTTAGATCTAAAATCATATTTAACATTAGAATATTTCATTAGACCAATAAACATTTTAATGCAGAAATGTGGGATTGATAAGTATGTGCCATACCTGCTTAAAGGTTGTCTTCATATGATAATGTAATTAAGTGTATCAGAATACATATTTCTGACCAGGTTATCTGCCTTCTTTGGGTTCACCTTTGATATTTGTTGGTTTATACATCATTAAAAATAACAGCATGTGGGGTTCCCCAAGGATCCATCTTCGGGCCCCTTTTATTCTGTATCAACAGGCTCCCCCCTAATTCACCATGAATAGTCTTTGCATGTTGTCTTTCCATCCTTACTTCCTTTCCTCCACATGTGGTGTTCTTACTTTTCCACCTGTCTCCTTACTTACTTCTGTCCTTTCCTTATCTCCTTTTCTTTTTACCAAATTTCTAGAGCTACGCTGCTCAATGTTGCTGCATCTGGGATTAAAACAAGTGACAAAACGTTTCCCAAATAAAAAAAAGAAGTTCTTTATTTGTTTGAATTAAACATTAAGGGTTTCTTTTTTGGTTCTATCTCCTTTTTTGTGATTTTATCCAATGTTTCCTTATCTCTTTCCTTTCATTCCTTCCTTCCTACCCTACCCCCCTTATAAAATCGCTTACTCTTATCAAGCTTCATTTCTTAATTTTCTTTTTTCATGTTTCAAAGTTATAGAACTCTGTCACCTACATTCATTGGAATATATGGGATCCCTGTTATGTTAAAAGTTGATATTTCTTAATAAATGAAATATTACGAAACAACAAATTTATAAGTAATGTAATAAATACAAAATATATGGTTTAAGTTTGTTTATTTTTAAATAAAACTATTTATTGTTAGCAAAGTGTAACCTCAGTGTCTGTACAAATGTATTTGTTCAATTTGTGATTGCAGGTTTGTGTGTGAAGGAACAGTGGAGGAAAAAATTACCACCCTGCAGACAAAGAAGAAAGAGCTGGCCCAGAATGTGCTTTCAGGAACAGGAAGCACCGTCTCCAAACTCTCCTTGGCTGATCTCAAAATCATTTTTGGTGTTTGAAACTAAACAAAAGTCTGTTGGTCATCCTTTTGAATGTTTACACAGGAGTTTGCGTTAATATTTCTGTATGTATGTAAACGTCTTGATCCAAATGATCAAATAAGAATTGGATTAAAACTGTTAAATTAAAGGCAATATTAAGTCCGGTTGGTGACTTCATTTGTCCTAAGCTTGTTACTCTTCTTACTGCAGCTGCTGCTTCAGTTTTTGATCTACTCTTTTAATAGTTGCATTTAGATATTGTAAGAAAATGGCCACATAATCAGCAATGCTGCAGTAACTGTGGAACTATAGATCTGTTGTTGCAGGTTGAATACTTTGCAAACACAATGTTTACATATTGTGTTCCTTTCTAGGCTTTTTTCTTTGTTGGTGTTCAAATATGTTCATGTTTGTGTTGTATCAAGTGTGTATTAAGACTTTTTTAATAAATTAAGGCCACCATTAATTCACTTTGATATCAGACAAGTTAAAACGTATTATTAAAGACAGTCCAAGTACATCACTCTGTTAAAGACCTTATATGAAAACATAAATAACAAAAACTTGCTATTTAAACTTACAGATAAATTGATTAAGGATTGCTGCACAGGTCAGATTCAAATCTGACCTGTGGTTCTTTGTCGCATGTCTCTCTCCCTTTCTCATACCCCCTTTGCTGTCACCCTACTGTCGAAAACTAGTGACGTAAAGACTCAAAAAAATAAATTAATTTATTAGGCTTTTATTCAAAAGGTACTTTTGACTCTTTTAAAATATGCATCACTTAGAGCTGGATCTGTTGATCATTTTAGTAATCCATTAATCTTTTATTCAATCTACTCTAAAAATACTGTTTTATTAAGCTAAATTGACATTTCTAAATGTATGTCTGCAAAACCCTTTATTTAACATGATTCGCTATTTGCAAAAGGTAATGTGGAATGTAATATGTAAACCATCAATATATATATATGTATGTATATATATGTATGTATATATGTATATATATATATATATATATGTGTATATATATGTATGTATATATATACACTATATTGCCAAAAGTATTTGCTCACCTGCCTTGACTCACATATGAGCTTAAGTGACATCCCGTTCCTAATCCATAGGGTTCAATATGACGTCGGTCCACCCTTTGCAGCTAGAACAGCTTCAACTCTTCTGGGAAGGCTGTCCACAAGGTTTAGGAGTGTGTTTATGGGAATTTTTGACCATTCTTCCAGAAGCGCATTTGTGAGGTCGCACACTGATGTTGGACGAGAAGGCCTGGCTCTCAGTCTCCGCTCTAATTCATCCCAAAGGTGTTCTATCGGGTTGAGGTCAGGACTCTGTGCAGGCCAGTCAAGTTCATCCACACCAGACTCTGTCATCCATGTCTTTATGGACCTTGCTTTGTGCACTGGTGCACAGTCATGTTGGAAGAGGAAGGGGCCAGCTCCAAACTGTTCCCACAAAGTTGGGAGCATGGAATTGTCCAAAATGTCTTGGGATGCTGAAGCATTCAGAGTTCCTTTCACTGGAACTAAGGGGCCAAGCCCAGCTCCTGAAAAACAACCCCACACCATAATCCCCCCTCCACCAAACTTTACACTTGGCACAATGCAGTCAGACAAGTACCGTTCTCCTGGCAACCGCCAAACCCAGACCCGTCCATCAGATTGCCAGATGGAGAAGCGCGATTCGTCACTCCAGAGAACGCGTCTCCACTGCTCTAGAGTCCAGTGGCGGCGTGCTTTACACCACCGCATCCGACGCTTTGCATTGCACTTGGTGATGTATGGCTTGGATGCAGCTGCTCGCCCATGGAAACCCATTCCATGAAGCTCTCTGCGCACTGTTCTTGAGCTAATCTGAAGGCCACATGAAGTTTGGAGGTCTGTAGTGATTGACTCTGCAGAAAGTTGGCGACCTCTTCGCACTATGCGCGTCAGCATCCGCTGACCCCGCTCCGTCAGTTTACGTGGCCTACCACTTCGTGGCTGAGTTGCTGTCGTTCCCAAACACTTCCATTTTCTTATAATACAGCTGACAGTTGACTGTGGAATATTTAGGAGCGAGGAAATTTCACGACTGGATTTGTTGCACAGGTGGCATCCTATCACAGTTCCACGCTGGAATTCACTGAGCTCCTGAGAGCGACCCATTCTTTCACAAATGTTTGTAAAAACAGTCTGCATGCCTAGGTGCTTGAATTTATACACCTGTGGCCATGGAAGTGATTGGAACACCTGATTCCAATAATTTGGATGGGTGAGCAAATACTTTTGGCAATATAGTGTATATGTATATATAAACAATTGAATCTTTAATAGAATAATTGTTTGCTTTTTGTTCTGATAATTGATTCATTTATCAAGTTAGTTTATAATCATTTATGGACTCATCCAGTTACTCGTTTCGGCCCTAGGACCGGTGGATTAGATGATTGCATCTGATGAACTTAACAGGTTTGCTTCAAACGTAAAATGTTTTAACACATCGGCATATTTCGAAGTTTTTTATTTGTTTGTTTTGACCAAGCTATTTATCTGTGAACATATTTGATGAAAGAAAAAAAAGTATTTGTTTTTTCAGCTTGCATAAAGAAATGCGTCATTTTTTCCCGCTATTATTTTTATTTTTTTTCATAAACGGAATCCAGATTTCCGTTTTTACTACGGGAGGTGGGGGACGTGAACGCCTCGCGTTGAAGACAGGGCGGCTGGTTCTCAGATTCAGCGCTCAGTCCGGCCAGCAGCTCCATTAGAGCGGACTGTACCGATGAGGTGCGCTCCTGGCAACACGGCGGCCTGAATCCCCAACCCCCCAGTCTGAAATAGCATTATTTTGAATAAATCCGTCAACCTTACAACCATGGCGGCTGAAGCAGATAAAGTGGAACCGGCTGAAAGCGAGCAAGACGAAGAAGAAGATGTATATGAAGTGGAAAGGATCATTGACATGCGGGTGGAAGAGGTAAAGCTAACGGCTAATTAGCTGCCCGGCTAGCTCGACAAACATGGCTGGCATTTTCCTCTCACGACGCGTAGCCCTGCTAAATCGCTGATCAGGGTCATCACGGAAATTAAATATTTCCCCAAATGCAATTCAACTAAATTTCGCTGCAGTTAATACTTATTTTGTCCCACACGCGCGCGCTAACGGTGCTGTTGTTTTCTGTCCCGCTGCTGCTCCATACGTTGCACCGATTCCCTGCACAACTTCTCCTGTGATGTCCGCTTCCCTCTCCCCTGCTGAGGCCACGGGCAGGCTAATGTTTTCATAACTGCTGCTTATGCACAGCGAGCACTTTCAATCCTCCAAAAACACAATAAAATGTTTCCACTCGGTGCATGTTGGTGGATCTAATGTTCTGGTAACTTAAGCGATTAACGCACGCGAGTTACCTAAAGTCAGCTAGCATGTAAGCTCTGTTGCAGCTTGGTAGAAAACTGATAAAAGGTTAAAACTGGTTTTATGTAATCTTTACGGAAACTGGGCATGCTTTTAAGTTATTTAAATTGCCTTAGCCCATTTTGGAGATTAATAATAGCGAAATACAGTTAATGCTTTTATAAGAATGTAAACAAGCAGCCAATTTTGTATTTTAGTGACGCTAGACCGTCAGCGAAGGCGTCCTTTCCAACATGAGGATTTAATACAGTACATATTTTATTTATATAAAGTCATATAAGCTGCTCAGTGTATGTAGGTAATGTTTATATGGTGACGCCTTTCACAGACATAGAGGTCACAAAGTGATCCACTAAACTACAATGCAAATAAAATACATTTACTGTGACAAAAGACATGGTCATAAAACTACGAGAGTATTAGGGCCAGGCTAGAGATTTTTATTGTATTTCGAGAATAAAGTAACATGAGAATAAAATAACAAAATTACAAGAATAAGGTCCTAGAATAACGAGAATATGGTCGTAAAATTACGAGAAAAAAGTCACGAGAATAGTCATAAAATTTCGAGAATAAAGTCGTAACATTGTGAGAATAAAGTCGTAACATTGTGAGAATAAAGTCGTAACATTGTGAGAATAAAGTCGTAACATTATTAGAATAAAGTCGTAACATTGTAAAAATAAAGTCGTAACATTAAGGGAATGAAGTCGTAACATTGTAAAAATAAAGTCGTAACATTAAGGGAATAAAGTCGTAACATTGCGAGAATAAAGTCGTAACATTATAAAAATAAAGTCGTAAGATTATTAGAATAGTCGCAACATTGTGAGAATAAAGTCGCAACATTGTGAGAATAAAGTCGCAACATTGTGAGAATAAAGTCGCAACATTGTGAGAATAAAGTAACATTGTAAAAATAAAGTAACATTGTCAGAATAAAGTCGTAACATTGTGAGAATAAAGACGTAACATTGTGAAAATAAAGACGTAACATTGTGAGAATAAAGTCGTAACATTGTAAAAATAAAGTCGTAAGAAGATAATTAGAATAAAATAGCAACATTGTGAGAATAAAGTCGTAACATTGTGAGAATAAAGTCGTAACATTGGGAAAATAAATATGTAACATTGTGAGAATAAAGTCGTAACATTGTGAATAATGTGTGAAAATAAAGTTTAACATTGTGAAAATGAAGTTGTAACAATATGAGAAAGTCTTAGAATTACGAGAAAAAACTTTTAAAATTACGAGAAAAGTCACATTGAGAATAGTCATTGAATTACAAAAATAGCCATACAATTATGAGAATAAAGTCATATAATTATGAGACTAAAGACCTAAAAATTTATGAGAAAAAGTTATATTTTATGACAACTCCCACAAGAAGCAATTTCTTCCCTAAAATGAGGAATGTCGAGCATCATGTGAAGTTTTGCTTTGCCTCTGGTTTGACAAATAAGGAAATCTTTTAGAATCAAAGGCATTATTAAAATCAGACCTAAATCTGTCATAAATTCTATGTGAGAACCTTTTTCAGCTTTTATTTATTTATAATCTGTTTTAAAATGTAATCAAATTTCAGTTTCAACACTTGAAGTTTTCTACCATATTAGACTGTTTTAATTTAACTCAACATCTTTACTTTGATTAGAAATAGAACATCAATTCACAGTTTTCAGTGCAACAATTTTAGGTGGCATAAGTTTAATCTATGCACAGCGATTAATAAATACATTTAGTCAGATTTGCTTTCACTGTCCTTTACACTTAAAGCTAGTAGAGATCTGGATTCTAAAGTATAAAAAATGTTTTGGGGACTTTAAGTTGTGGAACATTTGGTTTAAATTTATAGAATTTTTTAACACAATATTTACCGACAATTTAACTCTATATTTTCTAATATCATGCAAGCCTAATTTAAAAAAAGTACTGAAACAAATTGCAGGTGAATAGTTCTGCTTAGATTAAATCTGTAAAACCGATATGAAGTTATAGTTGATCTAACGGCTTTTCTGTTTGTTAGGGTGAAGTGCTTTACAGAGTTCGCTGGAAGAATTACTGCTCAGATGATGACACCTGGGAGCCTGAAGCCCATTTAGAGGACTGCCATGAGGTTCTGTTGGCTTTTAAGAGGCATCAAGCCGAGCTGAAGTCCAAGAAGGAACCAGAACCCAAGAAAATCGTGGTAAGTGTCATTGAGTGCAGGGTTAGTAAATACCATTCATTGTGTTAACAATACAACTTTTAATAAGCAGGCTTTGTGAGGCATAATGCTGACTATCATCTTCAGTGATCTAATGTTAGGGTTAGCATGTATGGTTGGTTTGAAACTCACAGTGCCTCTTCCGTCAGAAAACAACCCAGTAACAGCTGCAAGACCTGTGCTTATCAAAATATCAGTAAAATAAATGTTTTGCTCCTTTCGGTTAACTCGGGCTGGCAAACCGCAGCTCTGGAGCCGCATGCCCCCCCTGACCTTTTTCAAAAAAGTATGAAAATGTATTTATTTTTTTTATATATGGTGTGGAGGAGGTCAAACAAAAATTATGTTTTCCAATGCTGTAAACATTTGTATAATAAATACATTTAAACAATCATTTGCGTCATAGCCATAGAGATCAGTGGTCATAACTTGCAACCAGCGTGACGCGGTGCCGGGCAAACAAAGCTGCAGGTAGGTCTCGGACCATGGATCCCAAAGGGAAAAAAAGGAAGATAGCTGATGAGAAAAGAGGATTAAAAAAATATAAAAATAAAAATTTGGAAAGGCATTTCCAGGGAAGGCTAAATATACAGCCGACCACCAAGCTGGGAGTGAGAGAAAAAATACGATTGTAGAACTTCTCGATAAATTAGAGGAGCGCAAAGATAAGATTTAAGAACTGGATTGCATCTCCAAACTCCACTACAGCTGCTAACTTTGTTTCAAGCATGGACAAATGTCCACAGATCAAACAGGTAGTGCTCTGATGCAGGGATGGGAACTTTCTTCCATTTTTCCCCAAATCCTAAAAATATAAATCACACCAAGGAACGCTGGTGATGGAGGATGTGGGATTTCAAAGTTAGAGATCTCTGTCTGAAGGATGTCAGATCATGCTTGGTTCCTCATGACTCAATCAACTCCTCCCAACAGAAACATGTCCACCACAGAAAGATTCCTTTATGGTGTATCTATAATTTCATCAATGTATCAAAGCTTAAACCGCACGTTGACTGGCCGTGATTCAGCGCATGGTTCCCTGCTCCTCCCTCACCTCATGCTGCCATGTGACATTTGCTCCAGGATAAACATTTAATCATGAATGCTTATTATATATTTAAGACCACATAGTTCTTTTCTATAGTGGGACAATACACTTAGAGCCCATGTTGCCATACGAGGCATATATGAGACTTTTACATATTTGCGGCTCCAGACAGATTTATTTATTTATTTATTTTTTTTAAGTCCAATATGGCCCTTTAAGCAGTTTGGGTTTTCGATTTCTGGGTTAACTGATGATGTCTCAGTGCTGTAGTGTTGTCACCAGCCACTAGATGGCACAGCTTTTGAATCTTAAGCAGCGCCTCAATGGTAATTTCAAGAGAAGTAATGGTAGAGCGGCGGCAGGTTAGAGCTGTAAGCCTTCTACACCAAACCAAGCTTCTGCTGCCCTGGCGTCCTCTTCCACAACATCTTTATCCCCGCTTTCCTCCTCTAAATAAAAAATAGACTCATCCACGACCTCTGACACAAAACTCTCCTCCTCTTGCATGTTTCCTCTGTCCATATCATTCCTTGACAGTGTCGTTTCTAAGTCACCAATTTAGTGCTACTTGGTCCCAATGGAATATCCCATTTTGAACCTACTAGCACTAAGTTGCTAACTGGTTAGCAAGATGCTCCTGAGACACTGGCTACAATCAAACTTGCTTGCGAACCTTCTGCCACAACAACCCCACCCCCTTGATAAACGACCAATCACATTCACTCGTGTAAAGTCGGGCACCACTCGGGAGAATTAGGAACTGCGACGGTTGGAACAGCTGTTTCCCTACGACTTGAAGTTATCACTTGGATGGCGCCATTTTTCTACCTTTTTTAAAGTCACGGCTAACAGCACAATTTCCCAGCACTGAAGGCTGAATTAGGCTAAAAACAGAGCGCTGTATCAAAGCTGCCATCCACTTAATCCCCGTGCTTGGAAATAAGGGTTTCAAATGTTGCATTCATGTTTTTTATTCAGTTACCCAATAGGTTCCTGTTTTGTCGTATCATCTAAATATGTCTAGATACATAATGTGAGAAAATATATATATATATATTTTTTTTTTTCATACAGTATTGATGACAGAGGGCTCAATTAATTGTGATAATATAATGATTTACTACTTTTTTTTTGGCATACTGTACCAACTTTATGAAGCATTTTATGCACCCACTTGACATCAGTGCTGTACACAATCATAAAATACAGTACAATTATAAAATAGAAAAGATCACATGTTAAATATGTATTAATATACAGACACATTAAAACAAAGTGAAACCTCTCAGATTGTACCAAAAAGCAAAGAAAAAAGACAGTTCTGAAGAAGACTATAAAGCGAGTGAAGATGCCTGTCTTATACCCAAAGAAAGGTAGTAAAGGCATATTTTAAAAAACGTTAGCCCCTAATATTATGAAAATATTCTCTTTATACAAAATGCATTTTTTTCTCTATTTTTTTTTTTTTCAAATGGTTGCTTCTCAATTAATTGTTACTCTATCAATCAGATCATTCAACTTGAGTTTAATTCATTAAATTCATTTGTCCGATTAATTAATTAAATTTTCCTTTGGGATTGATTAGGCATTTTTAAATTTCATTTAATTGATAGATAACTTAGCATTTTTAGAGCATTACTAGATTATTTTAATGTTTGTTATTCCTAATGTTTTGTCAGGACGGCATAGCTCTTTGGTTTTTGTGAGAAATTTAAGATGAAGGGTCCCTGCTTGAATTAAGTTTTTGTTTTCTGTGGTAGATCTTAAAATAAAAATGAGGATCAGGTCTGAGAGTGTTTAAAGATGTATAATCTGTTTAATGACGAGAATGCTGCCTGTCCTCTAATCTTAGCAGAAACTTTTGCCTACAAAGAGCGACGTCTTCGACGCCGACTTGGAGAGCGACAGCGATACAGATCGTCCTGCAGAGGCCCCCGTCAAGAAGAAGAAGAAAAAGAAAAAGATCAGGGAAGAAGATGATGATGAACCCCTTCCAAAGGAGAAGAAGAAGAAAAAGAAAGAAAAACGTAAAGATGACTTAAAGCCGCTTCCTGCACCAGAAACGGACGATGATGAAGAAGCAGCCCCGCCTTCGCCTCCAAAAGAGAAAAAGGCTGAAGCAAAAAAGCGCTTCGTGGACTCTGATGACGAAGACGAGCCGATTGTCTCTAAGAAACAAAAGAAAGAAAAGCCAAAGGAGGGAGGGAAGCATAAGAAAGACAAAGGAGAAGAGGAGAAGAAGAAAAAGGTGAAGAAGCAGAGGAAAATGGAAACCTCTGAGGATGAGGAAACTGCTCCCATGGAGGAGGATCTGAGCGAAGGCCCGTCTGAGTCACAGATGGATGATTCTGCATCAGCAGAGACTGTTACTAAGCCAGCGGAGAAGTCTAGTGTGGAAGATAAGGTCAAGCAAAAGAAGGGCAAGTGGGAGGTGAAGCTGCAGGGCATCATTTTCGACAAAAAGATTAAGAAGCCAGAAGGCAACCAGAAAGAAAGCAGCCTCCCAAAACCTAAGAGTCAGAGTTCCAAAAGCAAGGAGGACTCTGCTCTCCAGTCAGACTCAAGCGACAGCTCCACGCTGATCAAAAAACCTAAGAGCAAGTCAACCGATGGCACCCCCCCAACACAGAAAGCTCCCTCTTCCTCCACATCCTCTTCGTCATCGTCTTCCTCCTCCACCGCGGTGGCTACCAATAAGGCGAAGGAGGAGGAGGGCAATAAAGAGGAGGCATTGGGACAGAAAGACGCCAGCGGCTCGACTAATCTGTTTGAAAAGTTCCTGTTGAACTGCGAGGCCAAGGACCGGGCCCCTCGGAGGCCCCCAGCAGTCGCAGAGAAAAGCAGCAGCAAACCCACAAAGGTAAACATGATCAAATCATACTTAACACTTTTCAAAGGATTGTTCCTTTCAAACATCATTGACTTCTGTGTTTTCTGATGGGTTTTCTGTCCACAGCTGATAGGAAAGATTGAGAAGATCTCCAAGCCAGCCAAAGAGTCTCCGTCTCAGAAACCAGAGCTGGAGAAGACTGAGAGGACGAAGCAATCATACGGTATGCTGAAACACAGACCTATTTAAAAAGGGGGGCATGACCAACTCCATCCTAAAAACGGTTGATTTAAATATACCTAAACCCCAGAGGTATGTACAGAAAGCCAGAATTAGTCGATTAGCATGACTTTTCACATTTTGTCCTTTATTTTTGGAACAGAACTGGTCCTGGAATCTTCTTCTTGAGTCTTTGATGGTAGTGTTTAGAGACGCCTTGATCTGGCTCTTTCCAATCCAGGACAAAGACTATTGATCACTGTGCCTGAGAATGAAGAAGAGCCAGTGTAGGTAGCAGATCTGCTGAGGGCCCTGCCTCTGCTGATGACGTCACATTATGGCAATGCCACTCAGATAAACTGTATTTCAAGAATCAAGTCTTTTCTGTAGTCGCAACTTACTACTACCTATATTTTCTATTGTTTTACGTTTCTGTGGTGACCTAAAATAGCCAAAAGTAGAAAACTATCCTCTTCAGTCTTGAAGTCGAGTACTGCGTCCTAAGACAGACTGAGCTCTGACATTTATTAAGGTGACAAAAAGTCTCAGTGCTTCGTTTTATTCTTTATATCAAGATCTGAGGACAGGTGAAGAAAATAACTGCTTAAAAAATTACTTTTGTGAAGATTTTAGACAAAACAAGAGTTCAATTCGTAGAAATTGGTTGTTGTTGACACAAAGTTAGCTAAAAAGAGCCTAACCTGTTAGCTCCTGAGCACAGCTAGCCACAGCGCTTCCCCTTTATACCAGGGTCTTGCAGTTACTTTGTTCACCATAAACAGATTTTTTCAGTTTTGCGATCAATCAGGTAAAACGTCATTAGATATGCCAACGCTACAGATGCTCCTGAAACATGCGAGCAGAGTTATGTTATCGTTGTCCGGGCAACCATAATGTTTTGCATTATCATGCCAATCATTCAGTGTAACGTCACTTGATCTGGTACTTACACCTACCAGTTCTTTGAATAACAGGTATATTATTTTTTCACATTTTTTTCCCTTTGACTAATCGCATTGAATTTCACAAAACAAATTACTAATTAACAGAATTATCAGATAACAGAATTATATTTTTTTAATATTTAAATATAAAATATAAGCAACCTGCTGTAGATATTTAATTAATGAAATCCCCTTGTTTTGAATTTATTTTAAATGATAATGAAATGTTTGAGGTTCTAAAATTGCTTTATTAGCTGGACTGAAGTCCTTTTTAATTATTTTACAAAATAAATGTAACAAATAAAACAAATACATTTTTTTATACATTTTTTAACTGGCTTTTCTTTTTTTAATTAGTAGAATATGCATCACGGGTAACTGGGACCAGTTTATTTAGTCAATTTGTGTGATTTTTAAGACCAGATTAATCATTTTACAGTTTTACATTTACATTAATATCTCCCAGGACACATGTTAACACCACCACTAGATAGAAGTTTAAAATTAAACGTTTCGCTATCAATAAGTACTTAAATCCTCACAAACTTTTCTATGTCTCTGTCTGTTTCAGGTGCTTCTGGTGCTTTGTCTCTAGAAGGCCCTGTGGGTTAATCGTTGTAGAATCAGCAGTTAGATTCTGGGAATTTTGGGGGCTAAAATCAGGCTTATTCTTAACAGGCTGCTCCATTCCAGGACATCAGTTTATAGCTGAAGTTAATTTCATTCATACATGTTAGTTTATAGTTGAGCCTTTTTGGAAATTGTTTAGAAGAATGCACATAACTTTTCATTTTTTAGGTGTATAATTTAAAGAAAAGGTCAATTGGATCATTAAAAGCCCCAAACTAATATTAGATTTAAGCTGTAAGCTCACCATGAATGAAACCATTCATTGGCACTTTGTTAGATCAGGATGTCAGAAGATTTCAGTAAACTTCACAATCATTACAGAAGAGGATCAGGGCCACTGAAAAAAAAAAAAAAAAAAAGTTAACTCATCTTTTTCATTTTGTTTCAGTATAATATGAGAGAAAAGTCGGAATTCTGACTTTTTCTCACAATTTTGACTTTAATCTCAGAATTCTGGCTTTTTTTCTCAGAATATGACCTTAGTTCTGACTAAATTCTGACGGCTAACAAACATGTGAGCATCAAGCTGTAGCCATGTCTGTTTTAGAGACTAAACTACCTCTCTTGTTTTAATCACCTTCTTCTCTTCCAATAATGAAATGGCATCACTGGGGACCCCTGGGGCACGTAAAAAGTCTCCTAAATCCGTCATCCGCCCTCCCAAACAACTCACATCTTTGTCAGTGAAGCTGAGTGCTCCCACATCTCTTCCTTCATGTTGCCCATCTACCGTACATTAAGATCCAAATTTCTGAAAAAAAGTCAGAATTCTGAGATTAAAGTCAGTATTCCGACATTTTTTCCCATCTTCTTTTTTTTTTTTTTTTTTTTTTTTTTTTTTTCAGTGGCCCTTATCCTCTTCCATATTATGCAAGGTCTTGCATTTGAAAATAGGACCTGGTGAAGTATGTTTGTGTAAAGAAAGAATAAATCACCAGGTCCTATTTTAAAATGCATAACCTCACAGAAGAAAAAACATGTCTCATAATTCTGAAACATCTTTAAGTTGATCTGAGATGAAATAGCAGCTCTCTGGTGGTTCTCACTCACCCCTTACCTGAATAACAAAGGTGCTTCTTACCTCAAACACACTCTAATAAGAGCATAATATTTGTTTGTTTCCCCCCTCAGTCCCCAAACCAAGCCAGAGTTATGGCTTCAGCCTGGACAGCGATGAGAGGGAAGATGAATCCACAGGAAAAGCCCGACCTGCAGATGATTCCAGAGAGCGAAAGGAGAAGGTCGAGGAAGCACAGCGTCCGTCCTGGGAGAGGAGAACCTCAGCTGATGACCGGAGGAAGAGGAGGGAGGACAGTGAGCCCCGACTCTTCATATCGTGCGACGAGAACCAGGAACCACCAGAGGGCAATGACAAATCTGGTAAGTCTGGTTTCTTTGACGGTTTGAATCTTAAGCTTTATTTTTCATCTAGTTTTAGCCTCAGATCCAGCAGCTGTCTTAATGACGTTTCTGTTTTGTTCTGTGCGGTGCAGAGAAGGGCCAGGCCACTTTGAGTCTAGGAATGGATCTGAACCTCGACTGGATGACTCTGGATAACTTTCAGAAACATTTGAATGGAGAAGATGAGATCCTATCGGGTCCACCGTTATCACCCAGTGAGTGTTTCCCTTTTTCATCTGGCTCCTTTGTATGTCAGAAGTTTATAAATCATTTCTTTGTTTAAGGGAATAAGTTCCAACAAGTATTAAATGTCCATTTCTTCTAGCTTCCATTTAATCTAGAATTATAACTAAACCACAGTTTAGTTTGATCTATTAAATTATCTGCTTTAACAAAGACATTACTCTATTTTTTTATATAAATTTGTATTTTCTCATAGATAATTCTGGAATAAAAGCTCCAAGAGCAGGCAATTGTTGAATCTTTAAAGACATATCCGGATGATTTGGGGCAGAATGAAGGTCTTCATTAAAATATTTCTCTCTTTCATCTGTAAAATTGATTGATACTTATTTTTTACAGCCCCTAAAAGTCCTGCAAATGATTTTAGACAGACGTTGTGGAGAGGTTTATAGCAGGGCTGGTTATAGTACCTCATACCAAATTTGCCTCTTTGAAAGAGCATTGTTATTTCCACCCTACTGAAAGTAAGAGATGAATTAGAGCAGCCATATAAATACATGATCGCTGAACTAAAGCTGAATGGAGATGCATGATGATTGAGGTGCAGCAGAGATGAGATGGGAAGGTCAGTTATAAGGTCAGAATCATGCTGTGGGGGTGCTTTTCTCTTTGGCAAGTTGAGTTGAATTTGAATGGAGCCTAATAATGGGGTAAACATTTCAAAACATTATCAGATAATTGTTATGTGGGGTCAACAACATTGATTATACCCTGAGCTAGATTGCGACAATTCATCAGAAATCAGAATCATAAATACTTGAATAATCCCAGAGGGAAATTACTTTTGTTACATGCTCCAGTTACAGTTTTATATATATACAGTGGGTACTGGTTGGAAATGGACGGTTTCCTGCGTGATTCCTGCATGATTCCTGCTTGATTCCTGCGTGAATCACGATGTATTTCCTGAGGCCAGTTTTTTTTTATTTCAAAAGAACTGCAATGTACCCGGACAACCACCAGGTGGCACTTGGGAGCTCTGCCGTGCTAAAGGTGACGTTTGTGGGCCTGCAGTCAACTGAAAAGTTTATTGAAACCATTTGCATAAACAACCAAATCTTCCTTTTGGTCTTTTGTTTTACAAGTTTTGGTAACTTTTTTTGTACTCCTTAAACCAGGCTGTTAATATGCTGTCTTTAAAGCAGGTTAATTGGGGATCTCGGTGTGATATTGTGCTATTTTATAATGTTTTTGATTAAAATAACGTTAATGAATTAATTTAACATAGTGACTGCATTATCTTATTTCATGAAAATTGGTGCGTATGGGCGCAGTTATAGATACACCTCCGATCTTATCTGAGAACTTTTAAGGCTTACAGTAAGTGGGTATATTTCGTTTCCTTTCAATTTTTACATGAGTTTGTGAAGTGTATGAGGCGTTCTGGCGTATCTCAGTGTTTATTATTATGATAAATGTAGCAAAAGCTTACCAGAAATATGTTCTTCTTCATCTCAATAAAGACAACAACTAGGAGCAGTAGAACTGGGCTATCAAGTGAGCACCTAAATTAATTGCAAACAATCTTCCTCTTTTTATTTCTATTTATCTGCATCTCTATTATTTAATGAAAAATGATTATAATTAATCTTTTTGGCAAAAAAATAACTGAATCAATAAAGGTCCGTGGATCATCCGTCTATTCGATCTTAATCCTAAAAGAAAAAGGAAATATTGAGCCAATATGTAGTTTATTTGTCTATCAACTGTTGATAAATAATTTAAAGAAAAAAAACTGATTGACCAAAGAGGTAAATAAATGCACATGTGGGTCTTCAGGAGTGGCTCCATCAGAGCTGCGGACAAAGCGCACGTCGAAAAACACAGCAACCATTTACAATCAGACACGTGAGTGTTTTTACTCTCTACCAGAGACCAGGACGTTGTCTGGTCTATTATAGCAGAGCTGGAGCTCCCTAAAGTTTCGTGGATATACTTGTTTTAATTATTGACTTTCTGACGAAGTCCTTAGTAGTTATTCCCGTTAGTCTGATGCTAGGACTGTTATTTCCCCCGCTGTCTGTGAACGCAGCACAACTGCGAAGTTGTAAATTCCATCATTATAATAACCTTCTTCATCTCCTGGTCGCGTGCTAGAAATGCAGATGAAAAGAAGAAATCCACACCCGCGAATATTTTTTTAATGTCGGTATGTTTCGGGCGTTCTTCTTTTAACCTTCATTTTCATCCAGTATCCAGTCCTCACTATCTGGGATGTGCATGATACCAACATTTACTTCTGTATGAACTTTAGAAATGCGACCGCGTGACTTCACAGTGTTCAGCTGTCACATCATTATTAAATGACGTAGTTATCATGCGTCAGTAACAGGGAGGTTACCTGTTACAGGTGCATGAACACTCTGCTCTTTGAGCTCATTCATGCAGTCTGAGCTTGTTTCAAAATTAAATGTATTAATTAATAGTGGATTATTATAGGCTACTTATAGCTGCAGGATATTTGATGCCATGTTACCATGTCTGACGCCCCTTGCCGCCACCCTCTCCCTCCTGCTCCCCCTCTTCCGCTACACAAATACTCATATTAAAATGACGTTCCAACACCTACAGTATTACCGGCCTAGGCAAGTAGGTGTCCTACACCACTTTGGTTCATAAAAAAAACAAGTTACGTCTTAAAATGCAGAAATAATGTTTTTTATATCTTGATCTAAATTCACCAATCTGTGGTAAACTAAAACGCTCTGATCTTTCTTTCTGTCATTTTGTGTGTGTGTGTGGCATCTGCAATCCATTGGGAATCCCAGAGGGAGGGAGGGGGGTTCATGAAACGTCATTCCATCACCTTTTCCGAAAGGGGTTCCACAAGCTCGGTATCCAATCAGCGCCGTCTTAGATCCTGCGCACTGTAACGCTCGGATATTTCTTTCTGTCATTTCATTATAATTTAATTTTTGTTAAATATTCAAATAAATAAGATGGACTTTAGGCTTTAAAACGTGTCTGCTAGTTTAATCAATAGAAAAATAACGCCAAATGGCATGAACTGACTAATCAGGTTTGACTATGAAAATTCGTAGTTGCGGACACCCCGAGTACAAGTATTTCATTTTTTACTGCTGTTGTAAGCTAGGTATCCAATCAGCGCCATCATAGATCCTGCTGCGCACTCGTTTTGGTGAGAATTATTCCTCAAAAATTATTATTTCCTTTTCCTCAGCATATATAATTTATAACGAACAAAATGTGTCTTAGCCGTTGTCTTAGCCTATGAAGTAGGCTAAGACAACGGCCCGTTATGTGTTTATTCATACTGAGATAATGAATGGATTTTTGCCATTTAAATTTTTTTTTTTATTTAAAAAACGAAAGAAATGGAAATGGGGTTTTTACAGGTTTGCTTAAAAAAATATTTATATAGTAGCCCATAATATAATAGTGAAACATAAAGTCAGGAAAATGTTTCATAGAAAATATTTTTTATTTGCATTTCAACTCAAATTAATGTATTACTGATAGCAAATGACATGTATCTCTTGACCCTGGGAATATTACATGCCAGTCGCTCCTCCATTTAAGGCTATGACTTCATCGATTACATTGTCCAGGTGATCTATGTAGTTATTACAGTCCTTTCTGGTGCATTTGTCCCTCCAAAATGACTATAGGAGAGATCAGTTCGTCACTGCTCTTGGGTTTGGCCTCGCAGCAAATGTATAGTTTCATCGCAGCCCAGACTAACTCGATGTGGTTGAGATCCGGCGACTCAGCTGGTGTTGGCACCCAGTTAATCCCCTCACTCAGGATGCAGGCTCTTGCACTGGCAGCCATGTGTTTGGGATCGTTGTCTTGGAAAAACCAATGTGTAGACATGTGGAAACGCTCTCTCAAGTATGGACCCGCAACTTTTTTGATGCTCTCTTCCGCATAAGTGTTGATCCATAGTAACATCAAAAATGAGAAGCGGGCCAGGGCCACCATGGGAGATTCCATGGGAGATTCCGCCCCGAAATAATACTTCGTGGCCACGCAACAAGTTTAATGTGCGCACGAAATACTTATTAATAATATCAATAAATCCGCCCCTCTTTTCAGGCTTATGTTAACTGTAATGACTTATCTTGTACAGGCTGCTATGTAAACGGGCCTTTAGTCCTTCGTTTAGCTATGCTGCGGTTGTTTACACTACACCTTTTCCACCTAAAATGGCGTCTTAGCAACAAATGTCACGTGACTGGCGGATACCGACTGGGTAAGCAAATCGAGCGCGCCTTAGACCTTAGAGAGGGCGCGCTCGATTTGCTTACCCAGTTGTCCATGAATAATATTAATATTATTAATAAGTATTTCGTGCGCACGATAAACTTATTGCGTGGCCACGAAGTAGTATTTCGTGCGCACGTTATACTTATTGCGTGGCCACGAAATACTACTTCGTGCGCACGAAATACTACTTCGTGGCCACAATAAAAAAAAATAATTTGACCATGTCATCAGAGAGGCTCCATACAAAACGTTCCAATGCCACAGTTGACTCGTCGGTGAAGAAGACGTTGTCAAACTTTTCACCAGCAGCCTTCCATTCTTGAGCTTGACGTAGACGCAGTTCTTTGTTTTTTTCCCGGGTCTTTGGAGTAAAACTGGGCTTCCCAAAATTCCAGCCAAGTTCCCTCAGGGCCTTTCTCACTGTACATAACCCTATCGTAATGTTGTGCCTTCGCTGTAGAAGCGCTCTCACTTTCCTTGCCGGCAACTGTTTCAGGATCGTGTCAATTATTTCCAACACCTGACTGGTCAGTTTTCGTGGCTTTCTGATTTGAAGGCACAATCCCACTCGTCTGCAGATGTTTGGTGATGGCCAAAGTCGTCCAGCCTTTCTTCCGCAGACTCCTGATGAGCTCACTGACTTGCACGTTGATCACAGCCATCTCTGACAACAGCTTAGAAACACCACTATTTATAAGAGCAGCAGGCAACATTCCCGCGTTTTGTACCGTGCTTTGTTCTATCC